ATAAAAAATACTAGGTAGGAAAGCAAACCTTTTTCTCTGTTCAAGTCTGTACAAGTGGTTCAAAAGCCATGGGGTTTCCTCCAGGGCTGGCTTTGGAAGTCTCTGTGTGGTAAGGCCATCCAGAGGACACATGAAAGTGAATGAGCCAAAAGAGGATCTTGTTTTTGAGAAGTCTATGTCTCTTGGCCTTGGCTGGCCCTCCTGACGGGCATCCAGCACCTGCAGGAGCCCTGAATTGGAAAGGGGAGCAAAAGGCGTGCAGCTCCCAGGAGCATATGGGCCGTGTGCGTCTGCTGGTCGGGCACGGCGGCTTCAGCCAAGGCTTTTGAGGGGACAGAACGGGGCACGTCGGGACATTTGCAGGGAGGAAGGGTCAAAGGAGTTGGCTTTAAGTCTAGAAAAGGAGGAAGAAGGAGTAGGGTAGCAGCCTTCCAAGGAATGCAAGGCTCTTGGTGGATAACTTCTGCACAGCCACAGCACAAGGGAAAGATCAGGCTTACTTGCAGTGTTGGCAACTGATACTAATAGCCGCAAAAGCGACTGGTTCTCTCTCCCTTGTGTTACAACCCGGACTGGGAGCTCAGGGAGTTGTAAAGGTTCTGTGATCCCCTCGGTTTAAATTAAGGTGAAATGACACCAAGAGACCAGTTAAAATGTTTTACTTGCAGTAGAAACAGCTTAAACTTGGAAAAGGATAGTAAGCAATGGGGTCTCTTATTGATAAATCTATAAGAAAGGAAAGAAAATAAAAGGAAAGGAGAAGAGTCCAGTCACCACCCCTTGAAATCTATAAGAAAAAAGAAAGGAAAGTAAAGGAGAAGAGTCTGGTCACCACCCCTTGTTCCAGCATTGACACAGCTCCAGAAAAAGTTTTCTCCTGTCTTTTAAGTTCATTTTATCAGCTGATTAGCATACTAGATAAAGAGAGGCAGGTATTCCCGGAACTGTTTCCATGAGAGATGAGGTGGTCTTGTTCCCTCCTACCACCTTTACTTCTTCCTCATTTTTTTCTTTCTTACATGATTGTCCAGCCTTTAGCTTATCAGGAGGCTTATCTAAGGGATTTGGCACTACAGCAGCAAGGGAGTGGAGCCGTGCATCCTTCGATACACTCCGCCCTTCCCTGGGCAGCATTCCTTAGACTGATCACAAAGGCCACAACTTGTCCGTGGTGCTTCTGTGTCGAGGAATGTTTGAGGCATTTCAGTACCTTTCACCTTGTTATTGGGGTAGGAAATGACCAGGGACAGGCTGTGACTCCCCTCCCTGAAGATTTTAGGGCATGGATAACATCCACTGTGGGTTCAGCTGGGCCCAGTAACACCCACTGTGAGTTCTGCTGGGTTTCTCCAGTTACCAGTCCTGCGATGCGTCTCTGCTGTCCGATCGACTCCTTACGAGAAGTCAGTCCCATTCCTTGAGGATGCGGCGTGGTGGTAGTGGCACATCCAAGCTGCTCAGAGGGGAATGGCCACTTTCACTTTTACTTCTGGTTTAGGCGCTTTCACTTTCGCCTCCTCACAGTCTGCACAGAGACTGTCAAGGGCCTTCTGCTCCCTCAAATGAAACCTGGTTGTGTCAGGGTTTTGCATGTGTTTGTGTGACTGCAGGCGCTTCCGTAGGGTGGGAGCAGATCTGAAGGAGCCTCTTAAATCTGAAAGGGGAGATGAGGGTCACAGCGAGCTGCTGGGCTCGGTGCCATGCTCTGTGATTGTTTCATCTCATGTATTTATGTATTGTCACAGTGACTTTTTTTTACTTTTATTTTCCATTTTGGACTTTCAGTTTTACACTGTAGCTGGACTTGCAGGGAGGAACTAATGTTTGAGTTATCACCTGCAAAATTGCTGTTCATGTTGTTATAGGTAGATTAAGACCAATCACATCCAAATATGGATTAATGAATCTTTATTAAGGTAAGAGAGCAAATGCAGCGCTGGGGTGGCCGAGCTCCGTTGGCCAGCTCTGTCCAGGCTCACCAAATTGTTCAAGTTTCAAACCCCCTTTTATCCACACAGTTGCCAGTCCAGTTTCAACATCTTTAGCATGCCTCCTGGCTTCTTTCGTAATCTTACCTTCTTCTTTCTTCTCCTTGCTCCAGGTAATTCATCAGAGCAGTTAGCTTACAAATTTCATTAGCACAAGCTGTTTTACAGGACAAACATCTCGTGCCAGGACAAACATCGGCCCCAGCTCTGTCCAGGCTCACCAAATTGTTCAAGTTTCAAACCCCCTTTTGTCGCCAGTCCAGTTTCAACATCTTTAGCATGCCTCCTGGCTTCTTTCGTAATCTTATCTTCTTCTTTCTTCTCCTTGCTCCAGGTAATTCATCCAGAGCAGTTAGCTTACAAATTTCACTAGCACAAGCTGTTTTACAGGACAAACATCTAGTGCCTGGACCCCCAACCGCGGTAGAACAACCCATTGATCTCTATAGGCAAAGCAGGAAATTCCAATGCTACATTCTTATCATTCTGCAAATTATTCCTTTTTTTTTTTTTTTAACCACATATAACAATGTTGCATTTCCAAGAGCTCCCCAAGCTTTTTATTATTATTATTATTTTAAGCCTTTAGCTTTTACCCCTGAAAGATAGAGAATATCCACTGCTTTTGCTGATTTAACACCCCACGCTCTCAATATGTGTTCTGCACCAAGTGAGCTTTTTAACTCTGTGATCTCATTGTCACCTTGGTGTCTCACATAGGCAGTGTGGAAGCCCACGGCTGGCCCCCAGCTCACACGTTTAGGCATGGCCTTTCTCATATTCCAAGACCCTAAACTTGTCAATGATGCAGAGTTGCGAGGCGCTACCGGTAGGGACAGCAGAATATTACACCCTGAAAAATGAGATAGTAGCTGGAGAAGTAGCTGTGAAATTAAATAACATCCGCTATGGTCCTGTGCTTTTGGGATATAAAGAGAGGTTGAGGGAGATGGGCTTGTTTAGGCTGGGGGAGAAGATGCTGAGGACAGGGCTGTTTCTCCTTGGAGGATGTCTCCAGAAACAAGCGTTGTGGTGCTCCAGCAAGAAGCAAAAAAGGACGTTATGTTTGGTCCAAGCCTTTGAGCAGAGCTGTGAGCTGGGATGTAATTTCCTGATCTGATTTCCCTGGAGGAGTTTGAACTCCCTGGCTGTTTATTTGAGATCCAAAAGATGCAAGAGACACAGACAGAGCAAACTGAAAGACAAGTGAGGAAAAAAAAATGAGAAAACTTAACATCCCTTCTTATCCTCATTAGGCTCAAAGAGAAAAAACAGTAATTCTGAGAGAGAGCTGGAAGACCTGTTTATTTTTCATTTTTCTGTGCTTGAGAGCCAAGTTGTGTTCAACTGCTTTTTTACTACTTCTAATGATTACAGAGGCATCACCTGAAACTGAGGTTTAGAAAGCGAATACAAGAGGACACAAAAGATATTCATTCCCCAGAGCAAGGTTGAGAGGCAAAAGTTCTTTTAAAGCTTTTATGTTCTGTGCTCCCAATTTACATCCCCACCTGTCTCCTATGTGCTTTTCTTAGAACCATTTTTAGAGCTGTCTTTATACGGTTTCCCCCCATTTTTTGCCTTGTCTGGATTTGTCTTTTGCTTGGCACAACGCAGACGCTGTCTCCCTTCCCCTGTTAAGCCCCAGAGTGTGAACTGGTTGAACGGGCTTAGAGCAGTGTAGCTAAATGAGTTTAATACATGCAATTTGAAATGTTATTTTCCCTGTTCCTTATACTAGGTCCTTTTTTGACCTTAAGTAATTTGAGAGGAATAACAAAATTTGTGGCGTAGGGAATATTTCCGTCTTCTTTTTAATTGAGGGGAGGAGAAGGAAAAAAACTATTAAAACTTACCCTTTAAAAATATGAGTCAAAACCGCAAGCAGGTTGCAGGGTGACAACAGATGCTATCTTGCTCATCACCAAAGGAGTGTGGACCTCTTAGATGTTAAAATGAGAATTTATGTATCTGTCCTTAAAAATTTCAGTGAGGTTTTTCTTAAGAGAGCAACCAGCATGCAAAACCTGTTGTTCAGGTGGGGTTTGGTGATTCTATATTTCTTTCCTTATAGATGACTGCTTTATTTTCTAAAGTTTATGGGTCATAAGAAATAAAACTTTCCAATGTGTCTATGTTGCAAACTCAGCTTGGGATTTGAAATCTCATAGTTCATGAATCGCCACCAGTAATAAAGGTTTTTAAATGTGCAACAGAGACTGAGCCCAGGATTTCCTGTGTTTCTCAGTGTCTGCTTTATTTAATATTTGGATTTTAACAGCTGCAAGAGCACAGATACTGCAGGGCTTTCCTTTTTTTCTGCATCCATATTTAATTTGTCAGCTGTTTTGGGACCTCTTCTTGGTGGGATGCTGTTGGAAAGTGTTTTACTGGGACGTTGTCCTTTGGAGATACCAAGAGAATTTGGGCTTCGAGAACACTGCCCTTTGAGGCTTCGAAGGAAGTCTTGCTCTCATGGTATTGAAAAGCACATTTGCTCAAGACCTGAAGATCTTTATAGAAAAACAGATAGCCCCGAGACACTAAGCATGCACTGAGATTTCCTCTGTGTGCAGACATCAACTCTCACACCCTAAAAGAGCGTGCAACGAATCTAAGTAACTTTTTAGCGCAAGAGAAAACTCTGACCTGCTCAGCATAAGGTTGATTTACCACCAGGCTTTGCTTTTAGCAGTTGCTAAGAATTTTTTTTTTTATTATTATTATTTTTTTTATTCTGTTGCAGAGAAAAAACTTTAAAAGCTTACTGGCAAGGACTTACAAGCGAGCTCCTATTCTTCCTGCCAAAGGGCAATTGAACTTGCAAACAAAGACTTAGGGGTTTCGTGGCTGGAGGGGAGCTGCTGCTCCCGATGGGAGCCATCAGCTCCGTGAAGATCTGGGCTTGTTAAATGAGGCATTCGGCTGCCACTCGCCTCTGCTGAAGCCCCGTACTCATCTGGGGATACCCAGAGTTAATATTTGCACCTGCTTTTTGCCTTCTCCCTCCAGGTTTTCATCCAGAGTCGGAAGAGTCAAGTTCCCTTTTGCAGACAGCGGTTTCAGTGCTGCAGAGCTCCTACTTGGACTCTACATCTCAGGACGGTTTTCAGTACAGCCAAGCAATTCTGGTGGAAAATGATGTTTTTCTAAGTGAGGTAAGGCCGGTGGGGGAGCAGGGTGTTGCTGGCAGCTTGGGAAAGGGTGGTGTTTCTCTGGGAGCTGCAGATGCCTGTAAATGCTGGTTTACTGGCAGGTCTGTCTTTCCTTTGCAGCACTTGGCTGATCTGGAGCTCATAGAGCTCCATTAGCAGTTCCTGACTGAAGGGAACCTTTTTTTTTTTTTGCTTTCTCGCACTTCTTCCTTCCTAATGTGATCAGGAACAAAAGGTCCATTCAGCCAATGTTGCCAAACATTCCACTTGCAGCTCCTGAAGCAGGCCTTTGGGGCAGATTGAAATCCTGGTTTGATGCCTAGCAGGAGAGCTTTAGCCATTCACAGGGAGGCAGATTTTCCCTGCTATTCTTTTGTCTGTCCTCACACCAGTGCAGGCGCCAATATTTCCCTTTCTCCAGCTGACTGGGGCATCTATGGAACCACTTTGAAAATGCCTTCATCCCTACACTCCCTCTGTCATTGGCGTGGAAGACAGGCTGTCTTCTCTGGGAACTAGAGATGACCAGTCTGCTTGTTGTCATGAATTAAACAGTTAGACATTTTGGCTGCCTAAATCTGGAATAGTCACTGTGGAGCTGGATAAAAAACGGGGAAAGCAGGTATTGAGTCCTTTGTTGATTTGTCTGTGGGTTCTAAAGCCAAAATAAGCAAAAGCAGTGATGAGACTGTTGTTTTCTTATCTTCTAACCCTGTTTAAAAAATCCCATCCTTCTACAACTGATTTTATTAAAGCCCTAAAACATCATGGATTCAAATGCAGCTCTGTTTCCTCCTGTGATGTTCCGCCTGTCTGCCCTGTGAACATAGTCTGCTTTAATTGTCAGACAAAAGAAATTGAAGTAATGTGTTATTTGGTTGTAGCCAAACCTTCTGAGCTGTAGTCTCATGATATCACCTGGCCTCTAGTCAAATAGTCTAGGCTTCCCTTGGTCAGTGGAGAGAGAAAAAGAGGGGTGTCTCCAAGCATCTTGCCTTCTGTAGGCATCTTCTCCATGACCAAGGCAATTTGTCTTCTGATGGCCTTAAACTAAATGTGATGCTCCACCAGCCCACATGCAGCTCAGTGAAACAAGCTCTCCAGCAGCCGACGATGTGTGGCAAGAGGGGCAAGTTGGAATAAGGCTGGATTTGCCCAGGATGAACACAGCGTGACACTGCAGGGCTGGATGTGCTTGCTGTCCCTTGGAGGACATTGAACATGTTCTGCTGGGGACAAAGGCAGAGACAGACGGACAGACAGATGCATGGATTGGGGGCCTTGTGGTGGGAAACTGGGTGTTCATGTGCCTGGGGGAGGGAATGGTGCGTGGGCACGTGAGCTGGTCCAGCATCACCTGGCTGCTGCTCCATATTGAACACAACTGGAGGTGCTTGGGACATGCCATCCTCACACCACAAACACGTGTCACTTGGCTCTGGCATGAGCAGACTAGAACAAAGTGTTGTTGTGTCTTCTGCAGCTCAAAGCTTTTGCCCAAGCAAAGGAAGCCGCCGGGTACAGCCAAGAGGAACTGGAGGAGACCTTTGCATTTCTCCTGTTTGATAATGAAGAAGAGGTAACCTGAAATGTTTATTCAGCTTAAGAAGTTTGATGCCACATGCCTGCATATGTGCTCTGTCCCACCAAAGCCCAGCAGATCTGTTGACTGAAGTGTCCTGGCTCTCTGTACGCTGGTTACCAGCGCAATTGCTACTGTATAAATAGTCCAGAGCAAGTTCTGAAAGTGACTCCTGGGAGGTTACAGTGATAGATCTTATTTTGCATCTCTCCAGTCAATTGCTGTTTGAGATTTGACTGCCTCCTTTGCCCTCTGCTGGGAGATGGAAGGAGTGTCCCTTTGTCCCAGTGGATTTATGGTCAAGTACAGGCAGGTGAAACCTTTCACGTACACTTAGAAGAGAAAAGCTCCTTTGTGACAGAAGGCAGGAGTTTCTCAGGTGGTTTTGGGCAAATTCCCTTGGTTTTGCCAGCTGGGTGGAGAGAAAGCCTGACGTAGCTATTGGGAAAGTTATTCTTGCCCATTTTCCACAAGGTTGCTTTTGATTTTGTAAAAAGAGTTTGTCTACATAAGGATGCTCAGGGAATCTAGTGGGAATTCACTTTTGACGTGATTTAATGATGCCGTGCTAAATCACAGTAGAGATGGTTTTGTTCAGGTTGAGAGTAGCCTGAATGCAGTTTAGTTCTGTTCAGTTTGGCTTGAGCTACAACAAAACCACTTTCAGTCTCCGTTTGGGGGCAGGAATTGTCCTGCTTCATTTTGGCTGTTTGAAATTTAGCACAGTCTGCGCCAAGTGGTCGAGCTCCTTGTGCAGACCTTGGGAAAGAGGGAGCTCTCCAGAGGACAGTTGGACCTTGTTTAGTGCAGGCATCTAAAATCCTTCAGCTAAATTGCTCTCTGGAGGTGCCTCTCTGCTGTTCAGAGAAGTTTAGCTGGCTAGTCTAAACAAGACGTTTGCTTTTTAGGAGGCAGAAGTTAGGTGTGATGAGTGCCCCATGTTGCTTATAAGGGGACTGACTACAGTTTGTCTGGTTTGCTTTTATTACTCACCCATAATGAGTTAAAACTGCTCCTGTTGTCACTCGTTGGTCAATACGTATTTGGGCTTTGCACACTTTGAAGCTCCTTTGGACGTGGGTTAAACCAAAGCCAGTGAGATGCTCCCAAGGTAGTAATTGTGCCTGTGGAGGAGTGAGCACGGAGTAGCAAATGTCCTTTACCTTCATTCCAGCCCCGCTGCATTTATTTTTCCACAGATTGCCCATGCAAATAAAGAAAGTTCAAAGTCCAGCCTTGTGCTTGCAGTGCTTTCTGGAGATGCTGGATTTTTTCCAGATTTTTCTAAGCTTTTGCTTCCGCAGAGGTTTTTGTAACAATGCTTGATAAATACAAGTATTTATTATCTGAAACAACAAATTTTCTTTCTGTGGACGTTGTGTTTGGTTTTTGTTATACCACAAGTGTTTTGGGACTGTAACCAGCATGTGTTTGCCTGTTGCAAGTATTTTGCCAACTGTTGTGCTGTAGATTTCAGTAGCCGTGTCCCTTATCTTTGAAAATACATGGTAAAAGAGGCTGTCTCTTCTTTTGAAGGCAAGAGAGGTGTGTCAGACAGGCCTCCGCATAAACAGCAGTTCTATTTCCACGCTTGGTGATCCAGCCAAAGGTAAGATTTCCATTCAGAGGATCAAGAGACCTGTTCATGGTTCTGGAGATATTCACTTCTTTAAAAACAAACGCAAAAGCCCAGACAAACTCACGGTACTGCCTTGTTGGTGCAAAGATCCACAGAAACTCCCATGTTTCTTACATGGGAAACTACATTTGTTTGGATCAAGCAAGCAGCAGGATTTTCCTTCTGCCCCCTCAACCAGATGAAGATGGGATCTTCCCCAGAGAATGTTACTGTCTCTTCACTTCTCCATTTCAGGTTTTTTCTCCCTTGTTAATAAAAATCTTGGTCACCAAAGTGGCTTTTTGGCAGCTCTCCCCACCGGTTTGCTCTTCAGAGTCTATTTGCTGAGCTTTTGCCAACAGTCCTGTTAATAACCAGAGCAGATTGTGACATGTCAAAGCCCGTTTTCAGTATGTGCTTGTTCCTTGCCCAAAGGTCTGGGGCCTCAAGATGTGCAGCGCAGGGCACGTTACTCAAAGAAATCCTTCTGCCAGAAGCAGAACGTCTCATCCCACAAGTCTTTGTGGGCCAAAACACCTAATTATTGAACAGTCAATGGCAGTGAATGCAAAACCAAGCAAGAATTGGTTATTTATCTGGGTGTGTATCTTAGTCCTGATGGACTGAGGTGAATATTACGGTGTGTCTCTTTGCAACCCTTCCCTTGCCCAGTCCCTGTTTCCCCCCCATGTACTTTTCTACAAATATAAAGCAGGGGTGAAGAGCTGACACCCCCTGCCCCTGCCTCCAATAAATCCACATATGATATGCCCTGAGCATGGAGAAAGGATGGGAATAAACTGTATCAGAATAGACCTTGTCACAAGGTGGAAGGTTCACGTTGACATCTGGGATGCTGAAAAGCCATGAAGAGGCAAGGAAGGGGCCTGGGAGAGTCTGTGCCATGCCGTGGGCCTGCTCTCATGCCCTTGCAGTATGTGTTTGCCACGTATAAACATCCAGCTTGCCTTTGTGTGACTCCAAATGGAGCAAAGTACCTGTCCCACTCGCAGTCTGACCTGGAAGCCCCTCACCGGCTCTTCCTTGAAGAGACAAGCCCTCGCTCAGAATCTTTTTGTGTAGTGTGGGCAAAACTGACGTTCCCTGGGCTGCTTCTCCCAGGAGAAACCCGAGTTAACCGTTTTCTTAGAGCTGGGCCTGAAACATACAATGCAGTTCCATACCAGCAGTCAAAAAGGAAGAGAGTCAGAAAGAGTTTCACCCTTTTTATGGCAGCAAGTGGTGCTCTGGTTTGCAGCATTGGCTCTGCAGAGACTCCCATTTCTGCGAGGAGGGTCCTCCTTAGGGGTTTTTTTTTTGGCATTTTGCTTTATGCAACAGATGATTCACATTATCTTGCATTTCTTTGTTTTCACAGGGGTTTATATTTCCAAGTATGCAGACTGTCTTCATCCAAGACCCTGGTATCATGGAAAATCAGGCTATATTGTCATTTGTAAGCTAATTAAGGTAAAATGCAAGTCAGTCTTACGTGGAATGGTTTTTAGAAGCTGCTATACAGTGCAAGCATTTTTTAAGGAGACACTGGTGCCTGGAACTGTAGTGGGGTGTAAAAGCAGTTCTGTTGAGAATTCATTGGGATTTTTGACTATGGGATGTGTCAGGCTAGAGAGCAAGAGATCCAGCTGGACTTGACTGGTGGCCTGCAGGACAGCAGAGGATGCAGAGGACCTACCTTCCAAATTCCAGTGCTGAGATCAGAAATTCCCCACAGGGTCACCTTTTTCCCTGGACTCTCATGTGTTTTGCGAGTTGGAGGAGGGAGCCCTGTTCCTCTGTGAGGCTGGTGTGTGGCCCCTTCTTCCCCTCCCCACTGACTCCTGCTCTCTGTAGCTGGCATGGGAAACATCCTGTTCCCCTTTGCTATCCTGAGCAGTGCAGATTTGTCTCCCATGCTGAGCTTGGCCGAGTCAGGCCCTCGTGTTTGGAGGGACACAAATACACAAAATGCCCTCACAGTGATGGGGAGTGTGGGGCTGCTAGCAACACTAGCTTTGGGGAAAAGGAGGATTCAACAGTCTTTTAAAATAAGTTTCTGTGAACGATTATGCGTATTTTTTTTTTGTTTGTTTGTTTTTATTTTGGTAAACTTTCTGGCACAGGGGAAGGTTAAGGTAGTATCTGAGAATTACACAACCAGTTATACCTGCCCATCTCCTGGCTACGACTGCCATGTCGCCGTGAGCAAAAACAACGTACCATCAAAGACCAGCTGCTGCCAGGCCTTCGAGCAGAGCCAGGTATAAGTTTGCAACAGGACTGGGTAGGCAGCTCACCTGCAGGCTGCTGGGGAGCGCAGGGCTGGCCCAGGCTCATTCCTCACCTTGTTTTTTCATATGTGTTTCCCTTCTCATCCCAGTATTACGTGTATGAAGTGGCTGATGGCAGCGCTGCCGAGCGGCCCAGGCAGATCTGCCCCTACATGGTCATCGCCTGCCAGTACAGGGAGCCAAAGGAAATGCCTGTCTTAGCTATAGAGAGCCTGTAAGCAACTTGCTGTTGTTCCAACATTACCTAGTCGCTTTTGTGGGCTGTTTTTCCTTTTCCCGTTGCTAAATGTTCCTCTTTTTTTCTCCCTTTTCTCTAGACCTGAGCTTAATCACAAAGGTAGGAGCATCTGCTGGTTGTTTCTGTTTTATAAATGTACCTTTCTCTGTTTGCCCTCCTCTCCTCTCCTGCTTTCTCTGAGCCATTCTCCCTTTTGCCTGTAGCATTGTACTGTCCATGGAGGGGGCAGCTCTCCATCCGGGGCCAGCTTTTGTGCAACATCGCCCTGAGGACCCCATACAGCTCCACGATTCCAGCCCAGCTGTAAGTTGCCCCTTTCTTTTCTTTCTGTGCAATTTGTGCAGTGGGAAGCATCGCACCTTTGGGTGTCTGTGTACCAGCAAAAGCCAGTTTTGTCTCTCCTGCCCCATCCTTTCATTGATCAACATCTTCCTACAGCTGTACCAGCTTACCACCTGCACTGTCAGGGTGTCACAAAAGTGGTGTTGGGCAACCAGGGGTGCAGTGTCACAGCAACAGCTGGATGAGGACATGAGTTCAGGCCCTGAACTGCAGCTGGAAATGGCTGTATTTTGTCATCTCTCTTTGTTAACTACTTTGGGGTGTTTATGCCAAATCAATTATCCCTGCTTGAGATTTTTCTCCTTGGGGGAAGTGGGCTTCCTGGTGGTGCATGTACGATCAGCCAGTTGTGTTTATAGATGAGCACGATGACAACTAAAGTACCGAGGTAACTGAAATGAGGTATTTAAAACCTTCAGTAGTCAGAAACCAACCAGCAGGCAGCGATTTGAAACAGCCAGTGACAGCCAGTAACACAACCACCAAGAGCAGTGCCTGGAGGTGTTTGCAAACAGGATCCTCAAATCAGCAAAGTGCTACGCAAGCCACACCTTCTCCAGCATTCTCCAGAGCTGCTTTCTCTGGTTTCACGGTGACAGGGCAACCAGGACTCTTTGCTATGCTTCATCCTGAGAGCCTTTATGCTTGTGATCTCACAGTCTGCTGCTTTATCCCCACAGGCCTCCCAACCTGGACATTAACCATGTCATGGGTTTGTCTGACTTGAAGAAAAAGCTCCCGGAAGCTGCATTTGGGAAAAGAAATTACATTGAGAGTGAAGGTGAGTGCAAAACCCGCTGGTGTGATGAGTGAATGTATGCTTGTGCTGCGCCGCAGGAATTGCCATGGGGGTCAGAGCTCAGGTCCACGTAGCACTGGGTCCTGTCTTGAAGGGTGGCTGATTGCAGACGAGCAAGGAAAAATACCAAGGCAGCACAGGAATGTTTTCCTGTCCATACTTCATATGGTCTCCTGGTGTGATACAATCCTCTTCCCAAAGCAGCCCTTTCATCGGGCCATTCCTGGGACAGAACAGGGTGGGAGACCCTGTTTTGAGACCTGGGCTCCCATCCTGCAAGGTGCCAAACGTGGTGCAACCTGTGGTTAATTACACTTTGGGGTTCATACTGCTGATTGGTTTTGGGGTTGGAGTTTTGACGAGCCTGGCAGCTCTCAGCCCCAAGGGGTTGAGCTCCCGATAGCAGTGCACTGCAGTGGACACGCAGTTACTGACACGGATCCTTGCACGTGGAGAGCTCTGGATGTGATTTGCAGAAGCTCCAGGTGCATTTCCATGTCATCTTGCACCAAAATAAGTGGGGGCTGCTGCCGTGTTGCCTCCCATCTGTGTATCAGCTCTGCTGAGCCAGGTCAGGGCACTGATCGGGCCGGCTGACAGCCAGCCTGTTTTGGAGGTTAGCATTCACCTTACGGTGCAGATGGACACAGGATAGTGCCAGGGCAGGGGAGGAGGCAGGAGAAGGTGGGGGGTGAGGCCACAGCAACACTCGATAAAGGTACCGTGGAGCCACAGGCTTAAGATCAGCTGGTGAAAGAGAGGAAATACTCAAACAGAAGAACTTTGCTGTGAAATTCAGAGAGGTAAGGTGGGTCCGAGATCTTGCCCTTGTTAAACTCCTTTTGGGGATCAGAGTGTGGAATAAGGAAGCTCCATAGCCGGGGAGAATATGGCATGTTGAATTAGGTATTTCCCTGTCCATTTAAGCACACATCATTGATTAAATTGTTTTTGCTAGCTGCAGAGATAAGATAGGAAACACCTCCTGTGAACCATGAGTTGAAGAGGAAACTCACTGCGATACGAATGCATATACCAGCTTGGGAAATCTTGATAAGCTTTTTTTAAAATCACAGAGCTTGCTCCGATTGCGCACCTGTCTTCCAGACTCAGGAGCACTTGTTTGGAGTTCATGCAGGAGGCACTATTCCAACATCAAATTCTCTCTCTCTTGTCTGCAGTCTGCTTTCAGGGTGTTTACTTCAGCCTGTATGAAGTAGAAATATCAAATAAGGATCAATATAAAATGGATCAGTTAGTAGAAAATCTAAAGGAAAAAGACTTGGTAAGTATTGTAAAACATTGTCGTTCTGGGAGGAAAGTGGCCTTTTAAATGATCTCTTGAAACTTTTGGTAACATTATTCACAGATTCTGAACTAATGCAAAATGGAATGAATTTCCCTGCTTTAAGTATTATTTTCCTGCTTTGTTATTCTCAAACATAGTTTAGTTTTTCCGTATACAAACTGTTAACTGAAGACTGCCCACTATGAGCTGGGAAGTGATCTCTAGGGTAAGCATGCTCTGCTGAGCAGAAGGCATTATACCAGGCAAACCTCTTCGTTGGCTATGTTTATGCCAGATGAGATTCTTTTATTGTCTTTATTAATGATTTTCCCCCTTGTATTGCAAACAGCATGGTGGACAAGAACTGCAGGGGGATCTTGCGTAGTAAGAAATCAGAAGCAAAGTTCCCTAATGCCAAAATGATAATTACTAAGCCAAAGACTAGAAGATAAGCTATCACGTGCCTGCCTTTCTCCCTCATGGCTCAAAAATATCCCCCACTCGGCTAGATACTCACTGTTACGCTGCTGAAACATCATGGGCTTGTGGGAGCTCCGAAGGTGTTGAGATTTATCCTTTTTTTTTTTTTTAAGTGGGGAATTTCCCTTGCAATCTATTATCTGATAAGGCTTTTTTTCCAGCACGCTGGGGCCTTTTCCCAGTGTGATTGTCACATCTCCTTGTGACTCCAAGGGATAAACCTCACCCCTGTGGAGCGCAGCACCTGGGTCTCTGCTGGGATTTGTGGTTGGGTTGGGTTTGGTTTTGCTGCTGCTGGGGGTTGTCTCACATTTGATGGTTCCTGTATAATCAGGGTTGTAAATTCACAGTTGAGAACTCACAGCTGGCTGGGCACGTCCTCTCCTCACTATAAGTTGGCAGCAGCCCACGAGCTGCCTGGAAGTTCTGTTGCTGTGCAGCACTGCCGAGGAACTGCCCACTGATGTGCAGCTTCCCCACGTGTAACGTACCAGAGCGAGTGTTTGTTGTGGATCCCTGTAAGAAAAGCACTCAGACTCCCTAAAGTATTGATGAAACTATCTCTGATTGGTAACAACATGAGAAGTAAAAAAAGGGGATAGAAAAGGCAATCCTCATGTCCCTTCACATGCAGGGAACCTGGAACTGTGCAGCATCAGTTGGACCTCTGGTTGGGGCACAGACCTGTCCCTGCTGCAGCTCATCTTGAGGTTCCCAGCACAGAATCATAGAATCACAGAACGGTTTGGGTTGGAAGGAACCTTAAATGTCGTCCAGCTCCAACACCCCTGCCGTGGCCAGGGATATCTGAAGGGACGTAAGCTTATCTACGCTGTCCCTTTTTTCTTCTCCTGTTCTCGCCAATAAAAGATATTTTAATCAATACTTTGCAGAGTCCAGATGCTGGGATCCATGACAACCACTTGTTCGGGTGCATTACACCGTGTTTGCAGCCACTGAGGGTTATAACATGCATCCCACCAAGCCCAGCAGAGCTGGGCTCACTAGAAGGGTCGGCAAAGATGAGGTGGTGGAGTTGTGGCCACGAATGGTTTGTTACTGGAAGCCATCAGGAGCATCGTTTCCCTAGAGCTTCCCCAGCCCCTGTCAAACTGGATTAATATACCTCCCTTATTTCAGCAAGGAAGCGGTCACAGCCCCTTTTAGGTGTGCTTCTTCCCCTTAGTGTGCTGTTGGATGGCCCGTGGGTGAATCCGCTTCGGCAGCAGCTCCCAAAGGTGCAAAAGAAAAATGCCCTCTGTCTCCTTTCCCTTTTAGTGGTGCACGGGCCAGGTACCCATCTTGTGTGGGGCCCAAGTGAAAAGGAAAGGGTGGCTGAGGCTAGGTGGGGGTGCCTGAGGCCAGCTGTACACCTCTGGGTGCTGACTGATGCCTCTCAGCTCTTTGTCAGGTGGCTCCTGCCTTATGGCTTGACTTCCCTCCTCACCTGCCTGAAAATGATCCCGTCCATGAGAAACCACAGCTATTTCCTTGAGCTGGATTTAGGCAGCAGAGATGCTGGCTCTTACCCCTTCTGCTCCTCTGGCTTGAGACAACCAAAGCACAGAGCTACTGTTCTGAATAGTGAATATTACACTGAAATTGTTCAGCATTTCCAAAGTTCTGCTGTCCTGGAGAAATGAGGCTGTGGGCATTAGTCCAACCCTCTGTTATGTCTGAATGTGCTGAATGGGATCAGTGACGTTTCACAGAGGATTAGAAGCCCCAAGGTTATCCAGTTCCTGTAAGCTTCCTGAAAAAATGTGTCTGCGTGGAAGGAAGAAATCCAAATGGGTGTCCCCATGGAGGGAAAGGCAGTCCAAGCCAAGCTCTGCGATGAGTCATCAAGCAACACCCAGACACAAGGAAAGCCTCAATAAGTGTACATATCTTTTTAGACATGCGGTCATCCCGCTCTGAGACAGAGCTGCAGACGTCTCTTAGACTCAGCAAATTTTTTTTTCACGTATTCATTGATACTGATGCTGCTAGTAAGCAAGCTGCATGGCCTGAACTTCAGTCGGGCTTGTGGCTGGAACGGTTGGTTGTGTTTTGTCGGATGCTTGTGTCCAGCTTTGCTTTTCCTGCTGAGAAAACCTTCCCCTTGGGCTGCGGAAAGCATTTCCTGGCTGAGATGCCCAGGAGCTTTTGAACTGAAGGGACTAAAATTGTTAACCTTATTCATTAATTACAGCTAGTTTGGCTAAGCGTATTTATTTTTTAAGGGACAGATGAGAGGAATTTGAGAGCTGAATAACAACATAAATGGGATTCTTTTGGTTACAGGCCCCAGTTGACCCAAGTGGCATGAAACAGTGTCCTCCTCAATGGGGAATGAGCTGGTAGTGTTGGCACACATTCACAAATTCAGGGCTTGTTGACAGTTGTGCTGAGTGATATAAAGTGTGCTAAGGAGGAAAAGGAGTGGCTGCTCTAACTCTGTTTGTGTTTATTATAGGCAATCATCAAATATTTACAAGACCAAGGAGTCCTTATCCTCCTCACGTCTTCTGCCTTGGCACGAGATGATGGTAAGACGTGGCTATGCAGAAACCAATATCTGTGCTTAAACATCCTGCCCTGTTTTAGAGATGGAGGGTGGGCACCCTCAGTCTAAACAAAACTTGTTGCTTTCTTTCATAGAATTTGACCCCAGGGAGCCTGTCAGCCTCCTGGCCCTGTTTCTGTTCACCTCATCCCGCTCGGTGTGCCTGAGAGGTAGGGAGTTTCCCTTTGCTGGCTTCAGACACAGTGTTTTGGGTGTGGGATCCTCACCAGAAGGCCCTCACGGACACGCTTCTCTTGAAGAGCTGATTTCTCTGCTCAGAACCACCTACAGCTTTAGTGCAAAGGGTGTTAAAAGAGGAGCCCCCACTCCCTAGCTGATCTAAACCAGGTTCCCTGCCTCGCCCATTCCCTGCACATCCTTACCCCTTTGCAAGAAGTTGATGGGAGTGACAGGTAATTACTTCTCTCCCTCTCAGTCAGTTTTCAGCAGCATTCACTCCCTGAACTGTCTTATGTGAGCACATGGGAGTCTGACTCCTGCAGAGCCTGGCTTACATCCTAAAAGTTGTGCTGGAGGATGTTCAGGGGGATGAAATGACACATGGGACTTGCTGGACCCTGCCTGGAGCTGATGTGATTTGCTAAACCAGCAGGAAAAAAAGCCTGCCCTAAAAAATAAGTGAATTGTTTTCTGAGGTAACAAGTGAAATGGGCTCTGTGAAAGGTCACTGCTGGCGTGGGGAGGGAGAGGAAAGGTGGGAAGGGGCATTGCTACCTAAAGGGTTTGAAGGCTCAGCCATATTCTGTGACTTCTCTGCTGCAGGATCTGTAAATCCTAATAGTGGAGCGGTGACGACTGGTCAGGGTGTGTGATGGGTGAGGGAGGGAGGCAGGGAGGTGGTGTTGGTGCTTTGCTGCCACCGAGGTGAGTGACGGCTCTGGGACCTGGGAGGTGAATTCAGGCTGTTTGCAGCCCCAAAACGTGCCGCTTTTCATGCAGAGCAAACACAGAGGCACTAAAGAAGAGAAAGTACATTGCACAATTTGAACCTGCAGATCTTAAAAGAAGGATGACCTTCGACCTCTGTTGCGTTTGCCTCAAATTTTCTCTGTATCTCTTGGCTTTTTGCCGCATTATGTGGAAATATTCCCACTACAACTTCCTCTTGCAGACATAAAGTTACTTCTCTGTTTCCCCTGGACAGCTTCACCCGCGCACCTCTCTCTGCATCCACTCCACCAGTAATACTTCTAGCCTTGCAGGTCCCCAAGCAGGAGATAAACTGGGGCCTTTTGCTCTGCGTAACTTCTGGCTTGCTTTTTGTTGAGTCATCCTAGGGATAAGCCAAGAGACTGTTTATGCCAGCACACGCTGGTATTTCAGTCCGCCCCTGTGTGAGTGATGGCTGGCATTGCCAACGGCGCTGCACAGGACGTACCCCTCTTCCCTCCCCGGAACATAAATCAGCAGAAGAGCCGACAGGACCCACCGGCACATCCAAGCATGGATTGCTTTGTCTTTTTTGGTGTTTAACCTCCAGCTATAAATTTTTTTCCTTCAGGATCTGCATACGAAGTGGGTTTGTAAGTCGGGTGAAGACGTGGTGGTAACCTGGCAGTGTGGGTGTGAATTCAGTCGACCTAACGTTAAGGACGTGCTGCTGGTGGCTGTCTTAGCGTGGCAACTTCTCTAGTTTCTCTCCTAGGTGTAGGAGAGAGACAGGCTCCTCTTGAGGCAGACTGAAGGTCCCAAGTGCCAGGTCAAACCTGGGATCATGTCGCTGCTGCGACACCTGAAGCAAGGGCCTGAAGTTGGGTGAGGTGAAGGGAAAGAGTGCCTGGAGAGCAGACTGGAGGTGGGAACTGACCACCCAGACATTGAGATCTTGTTAACCAGCCCCACAATGGGCAGAAAATACCCTCCAGAGCAGGGGGATCTATTCCTGAAAGGCTGACTGCGAGCACTGTGTGCTGGGGGAGAGGAGAATGGGGCAAGGAGGTATTTGTGTTGAAAAGGGTTATCGTGGAAGAAGGTGGTGAAGACAGGAGAGGGCACCAGGCGTAAGGAGCATCCCCAAGTGAAGAAGGTGCAAGATGGTCGGTAGGAAGGTTTGGGGCTGCAGCAGACGTTGTCTGTGGCGGGTGTTGATGCTGAAGAGGAGGCGAAGCCTGCGCAGCCAGAGAGCAGCTGGCGGCAAAGCAAAGAGGCAGGGGAGGAGGATAACATTGAGTAAACGCTCGACGTTGTTGCGTGTCGCGATCTGAATGCTGACGGCTTCCAGATGTTTTCCCTCTGGTGCCAGCAGGGCTCCGGCACGTGCTGTCCCGTTCTGCCTACGCGAGCAGTGTTACTCCATCTGGCCCAGACTGTCCCCTGAGTCCGAGACCTCTTCTCACTGGGATTATAAACCCTTTTTTCCTTTAAGGCTTCTTCTTTCTATGAAGATAAGCAGAGCTATGCAGGAGTTTGGGGTTGAAAAAGGGTGGTGGCTGAAGACGGCAGAGGTGCAGGGGAGGTGCAAAGAGAAAAGGAAGGTGAAGGAGGGACACGGTCGAAGTCGCACAGCTCAGACTCAAAGCGTGAATAATGTTTCCCGTTTCGAAACAAGTGGCCTCTGAATCTGGTGCCTTCCTGTCCAGACAGCCGTCGGGAGGAATGTAAGGCAGGCGTAACAAGCCCGCTGTGCAGACGTGCCGCAGCGTTCCTGAGCCAGCGGCGGAGGCCGGCAGCTGGGAGCCGGCTCTCAGGGACGCCTGGGCTCGCCGGTAACAAGGGACCAGCACTGCCAGGGGCCAATAGGCAAAGAAAATCAGACATCTGGGAGAGGAAGAGAAACGCCTTTGCCTTGCTGGGAAGAGAGGTGACGGGGAAGGGCGCTGGGGTTGTCTGCCTGGCCCTGCAGCCAAAAGAAACCTCGGGGTTGGATCACGGCACGCAGATGGGCCAAGCCTGTGGGTGCGAAGCACCGACATCGGGCTGCTAGGTTGCAGCAGATGAAAGCCGGCTAAGCCTGGCTCGTGCGAAAGGGGAGCTCAGCTGACAAGCTCTGCATTCCACATCAGCTCTCCGGGCGTTTCCAGATGCTGCTATGCCAAGCAGAGCCCACTTCCACGGTGATGCGTTGCAAGGGTGGACACCCTCAATCCGTGGGGCTCGTTGATTCCTACGTGGAGCTAAACCCAAGGCTAGACGATACCACACAGTGTACAGGGCAGTGTGTCGGTTCTGCTGAGAACAGGAGCATCAACTGTTTTCGGTAGGGTCAGTCCTCCAGCTTTAGAAAATCGCCCAAGGGTTCCTGTTGTTTATTTATACGGCCCCCAGATCTGCCCGAGAAAGTCCGTGTACCCCATCCCACTCCAGAGCGCTGATGTGGTGTCTTCACGTGAAGCGCGTCCACCCACGCTGGCAGCAGGTAGAGAGGGAGCTGCTGGAAGTTGCCTCTCCACAGGGACATAAACAACCCAAGTGATCTGAAAATGGTGGTAGTCAAAACACCCTAAATAGATTTAAAGGCAACCAAACCAAAACCCATGTATTTTCAGAGCTCTGACTGTCCTAAATGTTGGATTTAGGGAGAATTGCTGGACTGAAGGGACTTAGACCATGATGTGTGCGATCTCACCGTGTAATTTCCCACGGAATGGGGCTAGCTGATAAATGAGCGGTCTTTAATCTTAGTTTAATCCACTTTTGACTCCCATGTGCCATTCTTTTTTACCTTCAGCAGTTACAAGCATCCATCAAACCGGGACACCGCCCCTGAGGCTAGCTTTTTGTAGGTTGGCTTCTGAGTCTTTCATAGCTTTCATGTTCCCTTCGCATGTAATGTGAGGTGATTTGGGGAATTTAATCCTTTTTTAATACGAGTAAAATTCTGTTATTTTCCTTTCACAGTTGAAAATCACAATCCAAAAGATGAAAGGGAAGATGGTGACGATAGTGACATCTCATTAAAAACAACCTCAGTTTTGCCTGGACTCCGCTATGCCTTACAGAGAGCCGCCAGTTCTTCCCGGGAGGACGCAGTCAGTACCAGCATACGTATCAAACAGCACTTCCAGGAATATGCAAAACTTGATCAAAACACACAGCCCACCTCTGGCCAAAACAACGAAGTTCCCCTTTCTTCTCTCCTCTCGCCAACTGAGGATGAATGTACTAATCCCTTCAAAAAATACTCAGAGCAGTCCTTCTCCCAGCTGCAGCATTATCTCTCCGATCCCAGCAGCTATACTCTGGAAATGTCAGCTGCCTTAGGTTGTTTAACTGGTGCTGTTCAGTCTCTTCGCTGCGGTTCAGAGGCTGATTGTAAAGTGGACTTCCCTTCAGCTGCCCCACCGGACCCTGTTCCTCCCAACACAGCAACGAAAATGAAAGTCAGAAGTGAAAACCCAAAGCCCAAGGTGGGGCTGGACCAGAGTGATGACGGGCCCACAAAAGATGTCAGCTCAGCCAGCAAGCTGTGGGTGCAGCAGAGCAGGAGGAAATCCAACCAAGCTGTTGTGACCAGCACCAGGAAGAAATGGTCACCCCTCAAGATGCAAATGCATCCTATGGGGGACAGCGGCAGGAACAGGAAAGCAACCAAGAAGAAGAAAATCAGCATCTCTTTCTCTTTTTCTAAAAAGCCAGGCCTCACGGCCAATTCCAACGAGCCCATGCTTAAATTAGCCAATTTGAAGTTTCCACACAGAAGGAAAAGAGGTAAGTGCTATATAAATGGGGCTGACTTTCTCCTGCTTCTCCGGGGTATCCGGCTGGGAAACTCAGGGTTTGCTGGGAGCTGTGTCCCCTTGGCACCCACCCAGGTGCCCAGAGCAAGCAGACGCCTCTTGAGAGCACCCGAATAGGTCTGTGGTGATGTCTCCACAGTGTCTTGTTCAACCTGGGAAGGGCTATGACGGGGGATTTCAGTGAAGGTGCCTGAAACCTGGTGCAGCGGACCATGCCGTTGCTTCCCTTTGCTTAACGGGTGACTGTGCACAGGGAAATCGGAGAGGTCATGGTTATTGCATCCCTTGTCCACGGACTGTCTGGGTCAGTCAAGGAGCCGTGGTCATTGCAGATTGCCTAGATAACTGCCTGGTCCCATTGTGGCTCCCCGAGAGTCAATTTTCTCTCTGTAGCCTTGAGGAAACAAGAAGCAGGAGATTGACCGTGCCCAGCTTACTCTGCCGACAGCTGGTACCTGGCCTGAGCCACGCATGCGGGGTGTCTCGATGGCACAGATTGTCCTCTGAAGGCTGAGGATAGGCTAAGCCTGTCCCTTTGAGCCAGCCTGAGCCTCCACCTGATTTGTTGAGACACTCCCAAGTGGGTTGAGATGAATCTCGACCTTGGTGATGCTGCTGATGGAACTGGGAGAGGTTCTTGGGTGCTTCTTGGGAGATAAGGAAGTACCCTCAAGGGTACGAGTGTGCCAGGCAGGAATTAAGAGTGACTTATCCCCAGAGAACACCTATTCTAGGTCAGGAAAGCAGCTTAAGAAGTGATGCTTAATTTTTAATAACTGCTTACTGATCACTTGCATCAGTAACAAACCCATTTGTAAGATCAGATGCATGAATCAAGTCATTGAAGAGTACTCTGCTGCTGCCAATCACTTCTGAAGCAGTCCTTCCACATTCCTCAACTGGATGTTTTGCAATTACTCCTTTTGAATCTGAATATGTCTCCAACCGAAAGAAATGCCCTCCTTTTTCCTTGGCCCAGGTGCAGAGGTCCTGTCAGCAGAATTTGTGCACAAAACACACTCTGAACGTGCTCAAAAGGAAACCTCAGCTCCCAATGATCCTAGCTTAGAAACAAAGAGACCAAAGATACTGAAGAACCCAGACGTGAAAACGGTTCCTGTTGCTGAGACCATCACGAAGCAAGCAGAAAAAAAAGCCAAAAAGCAACCAGAAAGCGGTAAGAGTGCTGTTCCCTCTGGAAATCTTTCCTTTAAAAGCCGAGCCATCAAACACCACAGTTAGATCACAATGTCGTGGTTTGGGCCTGGTTGGCAGCCAACCACAATGCAGCAGCTCTCTCTCCCTTCTCCTCCAGCAATAAGAAGGGACAGAGAGCCAGGTTTGGGGTTCGAGATAGGACTGGGATGGGGAAAAATCCCCCTTTGTGATCACGAGCAAAAGGCAGACTCGTTAGGGGAAGAAAAAAAAGAACATACATTTATTACAGACACTAACAACACATAACAGAGTAGGACAGTGAGAAGCATTGCCACATCTTGAGAACACCTTCCCCCCACCCCTCCCTTCTTCCCGGGCTCAGCTCTGCTCCCGATATCTCTACCTCCTCCCCCAGTGGGGCAGGGGCAGGGAATGGGGGGTGCAGTCAGTGCTGCCACTTCCCTTATCTTCGGTGAGGGGAGTGTCTGGAACTTGTTCCCCCTGCTCCATCGTGGTCCCCCTCTCACAGCAGACAGTCCTCCACAAACTTTCTCTGACATGAATTCCTCCCATGGGCCGCAGCGTTCCCCACACTGCTCCGTCATGGGTCACTAACTTCCTCCGACTGTATTCCCTCCCACGGCTGCAGCTCTTCCCGAGCTGCTCCGGCGTGGGACACCCCCGCATGCTGCAATCCTCCCAGCACTGAATTACAGCAGCGGGGCTGCCTTTTCCCATGAGACCCCGGCCTTCTTCGGGCACAGAACCTTGATTAACCAGGCGGAAGCCACAGGCCATAAATCAATGTCTGCTCCACCGTAGATCTCCATGGGTGGCGGGGGGGGCCGCCCTGCCGTCTCCCCACAGGATACAGGGGGGTCTCTGCTCCGGCACACCTCCCCCCTCCTTTCTTCCTCCGTTCCTCCACTGACCTTGGTGTTCACTCAGCTGCAGCAACTCCTCCTCACCAGTCCCCCTGCTCGTCACCACGTCCCTTCTTAAATACATTATCGCAGAGGCGCAGCTGATGGGCTCAGTTTCCAAACAGAAGTGGAGCTGACGTGGAGCTGGGGGAGCTTCGAGAAGCTTCTCACAGGGGGCCGCCCCGATAGCCCCCTCCCCTGCCACCAAAAAACTCCACCACTCACTCAACCCAGGACACGCAACCAGCAGCCAAAGGGCCTCACAACATTTAGTGCTGAGGGTCTGGGTTGGGGTCTGAGTGCTGCTGCCCCACAGCCTGCAGGCACCCAGTTATGCTTAGTAGCGTAAAACACGAAGGCGACCGTGAAGAAACCACCGTTACAGGATGTACAAACCACACGGGGTCACTTCTGAGTCCTTTCCTGAGCCTTCAGTTTACATTCCTTGCTCGGACGGTTTAAAAAGCCTGATTTTTAACTGCTGAGCTCTGAAACTGCATTACGGGAGCTGATGGACAGAGGTTTATAACCTCTGCTCGTAGCCAGCGTCTGCCTAGATTTTTAGCCCATTAAATTGTAAATGCGGTCGTTTTAAAAAGAGTCAAATTGTCGCAGCATATTTAAGAGGCAGCATGGACAGCCCCTGAGCGTCGCATTTGCAGGTGCTGACCAGGAGTCTGCTGTTAAACTGAGAACCAGTATTACAGTGCCAAAATAAATGATGGAACGGGAGAGTCATTTTCTGTGAATTCGTCGTGTTTCCTCACACTTGCGCTTTGATGTGCTTTGATGTCCTGTCTCTGGTCTTTCTTTTCCCCCTTCCTGAGGGAAGTGTGAGGCTTTGGAGACTGGTTTAGCCACCTCGGCTTGGTGGATCCGTTCTTCTTGATCTTTTATTGCCACGTGTTCCTGAAACGTGGCACTTTTCATCGGTTTGTGGGTATCGAGCACCACCCCTTGTCACACGGGGTTCCTGGAGCAGATCGGGCCAGTGCTCTCGCACAGGCAGGGTGTCAGATGGGTCCTGCTGAATGCCAGGGTCTGACAAAACTGCAAAACAAGAGTGTTTAGCAGCAAGAAATACTTAATTTAGATGTCTTACTATGCAGTTCTCAAGGAAATTAAACGTAACACGTAGGACTTTAGCACAGATGTGATTTAATAAGGTTTTACTTGAAGAGAGATTTTTGTGCTGGTTTTTAGTAGAAGGCATTAGCTTTGTTTAATGACTTCATACTGTTCTTATGAACATGGGCCTTGAGCCATGGTGAGGGGCATTTTTAACGGTGAAAGCTGAATAAACACATATTTGCTGTGCTCTGGCTGCCTTTGGGAGCCCTCAGGTTTCTGTATGTGCTCTGAGTTACAGCTCAAGGGCAGGTTATGCTCTTGAGGGGGTGGGCAGTGGGAAGTGTGAGGGCACAGGTATTTTTTCTCTGTTTTAGAGGCTTGGGGGGTTTTGTAACACTGGATTATTGAAAGCATGGCACAGGGTTTATCTGTGGAGATTGCAAATACTCAAACTAGAAGAAAAGTTAAAGCAAAATAAAAAAGATTAAGGAAACGCCTAAAATACCTCAGGTTGTATTTAAGTGGCCAAACTGCTCCGTGCACGGGGGCCAAGGGAAATTGTGTTCACTCTGGATCTGGTGCCTTTTATATCTGAAACCCCCTTCCTGACGTCGCTTAGTTTCCCAATTCTGGATTGTTTTGTAGTAGCCATGGCTTGCATGACCATGGAGAGGTTGTTTGTGGTTTTTTTTTTGTTTGTTTGTTTTTTAAGTGTGCAAATTCCACGTTGGAGAGAGAGACACTGCCAAACTGAAAGCCTGCTTTTGAACCCCTTCTCGAGGTACAGCTGTGTGGCCTTTGTTTATTCTCTGACTTTGTTTTTCTCACACAGAGTGGAAGGAGCCGTGCTCTGCCCTCCCGAGTGGAATTTCTTCCCAGTGCCACGGAGTGGATAGCCAAATGAGCGAGACTTACCCGGGTGGGCTTGCTGATCTTGGTTTCGATCTGAAGGGGAACAACAACGAGTCCCACGCCTTGAACTTGCTGGCTGATCTGGCTCTGGGTTCTTGTATTCCTTCATTTATCCCCAGGGACAGCGGGATGATCGCTGTGCCCTGCAACCCCGCCGGCGCCGCCGCGAAGGACCAGCAGAGTCATCGCAAGCACAAATCCTTGCGTCTTGCTTCCGACCACAAATACCACAGGATGGACAAGCCTGCAAAGGGAGCCACCTCTCCTAGCAAAGCGTCACCGAACCAAAAGCTTCCTCCTGATGAAAAAATAGGCTTAAATGACTTGGCCTTTATTCCCAGGGAGAAAAGTCCTGGGATTTTTGGCAAGAACAGTGTGAGCCCCAGCCCTGCAAAACCCAATGCATTGCCTCCAAGAGAGACTCAAGAAGCTGCTGAGGTAAACAAGCACGCCTTCATCTCCGCCGAGCACTCCTACGCCTCGCAGATGCCCGAGCACTCGAAGAAACACGTGTATCCCAGAGGTTCCCCCTACCCTGGCCCAGCACCCTCCAGAAACGGTACCAGGAACGCCCGAGCAGGACCCCTGGTTGGGAAAGTCCTGCCTTTCCGCCACCAGCAGGACAGCACCCACCCACAGCCGCCCTCCCAGGCCGTGGCGATGAGGCGCAGGAGCAGCCTGCTCTCCCCCAGGCCGAAGGAGGACTCCGGCAGGTCCCACACAGTGAACATTTGCGGCAAGTCCGTGAAGGTGACGTGTCACTGGGAGGCAGAGTACCTCTTCAGTTTGGACAGCAGGTACACCAACGATGCCCTGGAGAAAACCGTCATCCGCGCCCTGCACGGGTAAGTCGGTCTGGAAGGGCCGTCTGCAGGAGACATCTCTTGCTGGATGTCTGGAGTGCTTTTGGAAGGGACTTTCTTTGCTCTTTTTTTGCTTTGCTTTCCACGATAATTGCCATTTTCCCCCATGCTCACACACCCAGTTTTGCTGTGTTACAGCTGGTGTGTCTTCCCTGCGAAGAAGGACTTGGGGATACTGGTGGGTAATTGGGCGTGAGCCAGCACCGTGCGCTCGCAGCCCAGAACCCACCCGTGCCCTGGGCTGCAGCCAGAGCAGGGGGGGAAGCAGGGCCAGGGGGGGGATTCTCCCCCTCTGCTCCGCTCTGGGGAGACCCCCCTGCAGTGCTGGGGCCAGCTCGGGGGCCCCCAACAGCAGAAGGACACGGAGCTGCTCGAGCGGGGCCAGAGGAGGCCACGAAGATGCTGGGGGGGCTGGAGCAGCTCCCCTGGGGGGCCGGGCTGAGAGAGTTGGGGGGTTCAGCCTGGAGAAGAGAAGGCTCCGGGGAGCCCTTCGAGCGGCCTCCCAGGGCTTAAAGGGGGGGCAGGAGGGGGGGGGGGGACTCTGGATCAGGGGGTGGGGATGGGACGAGGGGTGATGGTTTTAAACTGGCAGAGGGCAGATTTAGATGAGATGTAAGGCAAAAATTGTTCCGGGTGTGGAGGGTGAGACGCTGGCCCAGGGTGCCCAGAGCAGCTGTGGCTGCCCCCTCCCTGGAAGGGTTCAAGGCCAGGTTGGACGGGGCTGGGAGCCCCCTGGTCTGGGGGAAGGGGTCCATGGCCGGGGCAGGGGGTTTGGAACTAGTTGATCTTTAAGGTCCCTTCCAACCCAAACCATCCTGTGATTCCCACGGCTCTGCAGCTAGAATGGGTTCCTAGAGCCATGAACAGAAGTCCTCCTTTGCAGCTATGAGTTTCTCTTTGTTTTTTTTCAACAAACTGGAAATCACATCAAGTGATTTATGTCTGTATGTGGGCATTTACAGCCCTCCTGCACTGAGGCTTAGCACCGTGAGGAACCAGGAGTTGAGTTACCTTGTGCTAGCCAGTTGGAGGGAGGATGACGACGTTTCAGGCTGTATTTGCTTTCCCATCCAGGCCCTGGGACCCTGATCTGCCCGACGACGTGGAAGAGATGAAGCTGATACTTCATATGTGGGTGGCTCTCTTCTACAGCAAACCCGGCAAACTCCTGAGCAGCACGAGGAAGGTGGTGGAGCACAGCAACCCCGAGAAGTACGTCTCAATAAACAGCACAGGGGACTTTCTTGAGCTGAGTGATGACGGTGAGGACTGTTATGGGCTGGAGACGTGCCCTGCAGACTCTCACTTAGACCCTGACCAGACACCCAGCAGCTCTCTGGATCGCAGCACACATTACCAGGAACGTTTCCACCCGGCGGAGAGCCCTGCAGACTCTCCGACTGATGCTAATGGGAATCCTGGTGTTGTCGATAGTACGGTATCGTCTTCTTTGGGGGAGCTGTCCTGTGGGGAGGAGGAGCCTTCCTCCACAAGCTGTCCCGAGAGCTTTTCCCGTGCTGAACATGCTGATGAGAACCTGGCTGTGAAAGACAGGCAGCTGGCGGTCGTTCCTGAGGAGCGTGTGTGTGATGCCTCAGCCATCACTGTGGTAAGAGCTTGGGGTTTGGGTGATAGGAGTCTAGGGGGCACACAATGCATTTTACTCCTATAGGAGTAGGATCTTCTGAGAGGAGCGGAGCAGATGTGCTTGTGGGGTCTTTTAGAGCCAGGTAGCGGGGGTCCCCAAAGCAGGACAGAGAAATGACCCCCAGCATTTAGTTGCCCCAAGTGACTGCCACGCAGATGTGCTCAGAGTCACCATAAAAAATAAGCTTTCAGGCCTCGGTCAGGGTTTGGGTATCCTCTTGGACTGAGCTGGCATCCCTGGGCTCTGTCATGAGCTGTATCTATCCCTATCCAAGGGAGCAGGGTCTCGACATGCATGTTCTCCAAGGGTGAGGAATCCCAAAGAACTAGAGCAATTAAAAGCCCCGAGCTCGGCGTCTGTTCCTGGTTTCAACTGCAAACTGTGTAAGCTCCGATGAGGTCTCAGACCTGCGCTTAACCGAGGGAGGAGAAGGAACCACAAACACCCCAGAGCAGGACTCAAAAGCCTGCCTGTCTCCTGTGGGCAGCGGCGTTTGCCTGCCCCTGGTCGCAGCAGCCCAGACGTGTCGGGGGACACATCTCCGTTTGGGAGAGCTGAGGTTTGCTGGCTTGGAGAGATTTCCCCCGCAGAGATGGCAGTGCAAGTGTTTTGCAACATTTCCCTCGCCCTTCTGGTGAAGTTAGTTAATATTCCATTCCGAGTAGGGGTTTTTAAATTAATTTTTACAGTTTCTATGCTCTGCAGATTGTCAGGAGCAGAGATACTTGGGTAAATATAAAACATGGGTTTCTGCTGACATTTTTCAAGCCTGAATTCTCAAGCTAAAATAATTCCTTTAAAACTTCCGCTCTGAACAAACAGGCAGCTTCCATGGGGCTGCAGTTGTTTTACGCAAAGGGAAAAAATATTCCAGAGTTGTTTTTTTGCCACCTGGATTTAGTGCTGCGGAGCAGGCAGAAGTGTTTTAGGAGGAAACGTGGGATCACTGTCCACGGTGTTCATATAGCTTGCCTGGAGAGATAAACTCAGTAGAGATAAGAGGATGCTGCTTACACAGTTACCCCTGGGCACCAGCTGATGGCCCCTGCACAGTCTGGCCTACTTTTAAGCCATTTTGTGGTGTAAAGAAGGTAGAAAGTTTCAAACCCTTTCTCTGGCTGTCTGTGGGACTCTGCTTGCCAGCTGCACGTGGGGTAAAGATTCAGCCTGGACTTATTTTAGAGACAAACTGAAAACTAACATCCTCAGATGCTGTTGGAGTGGTTGTACTCACTAAGTTTGAGCATTTAAAACATCCATGTTGTCCTGCACGGGCGTCTCGGCTCCTGCATTTGCCTCCCTTGAAGATTAACCTCTGAATTGTGTTGTTTCAGGAGGAGCCAGCCAGGGAGGGACTGCCGGACGCTACGATCGTCCCCAGCCCTTCCAATGAGCTCAGCAAGCCCCCAGCTGCCCTGGGCAGGGAAAATCCATGCAGCCAAGCCCCACGTTCCAGTCCAGCTCCTTGGAGTGCTGCACCGAGTGAGCTGTGTGGACATGAAGAGGAGGAGGAGGAGGAGAGTGAGTGGGCAGCAGGATCAGGGGGTGGCCCCGGCCCTCCCGAGGATGGGGAGAGCGTGGGAAGTGCTGGGCACTGGACAGAAGTCAAGGACATCAGCTGGGCCGGTGATTCGATGCCTTTAGAAACGAGTCCCAAAAGGGCAAAGGCCGACGGAGCCAGTGGGGAAGGCAGGGAATCGCAAGATCCCTTTGGGCATCCAGAAAAAGAGGAGGAAGAGGGCAAAAAAGAGAAAGAGGACGCTGAATACGAAAGCGCAGCCCTGGGGCCTGTTGATTTAGAGTTGTCTGAAAGCGTTGATGCCAACGTGGAGCATGAACACAGCGAGCAGAAGCGAGTAAATTCAGCGTGTGCAAAGGACTTCGGCGTTCCTGTGGAGGGCCCTGTGCCCAGCCCCACTGCCTTAGCATCCTCCTGCCCGGGCAGATCAACACCAGTGCTGCCAGGTGGGACCGGGACTGGCCCTCAAGGGCTTCCTGGTGAGATGGCACCAAGCCTGGGCAGACTGCAAGAGCCCTGGGAGGCTCCAGCCACCTCAGGCACGGAGACAAGCCCTGTTGGTTTGCCACGCGGAGCCAGTCCAGCCGATGTGGGGTCACCCCGTGGCAGCGAGTTGCTGCTGCCCTTGCCATCTGACCCGAGCTTTGCCTGTGAGGCACAGCCAGACAGCGTTAGGGACGGCTTGGGACCTGCTGGAGAGACGTTTGGGGACGGCTTGGAGCTGAAAGACAAGGATCGTGCGCCCTCTGCAGAAAGGTGGGAGCCTGCTGGGAGCAAAGCCGGCGGCACAGCCGGCCTCGAGTCACCACACAGCCAGGGACTGTCACTGACCTTGTCCCCTGACTCCAGCTCCGCCTGTCTCGCGGCTCTCGATGTCGCAACAGACCCTGGGGCTGCTCCAGAGGAGCGGGAGGCCGTGGCAAGCATCCAGTCTCCATCGTGGAGCGACTTGGGAGAGAGCAGCTGCCTTTCCCAAAGGTGTGGAGGCTCCGTTTGCGCTCAGCTCGCTTCGCTGAGCTCTGGCGAATCGAACCAAGGAGCCAACGAGGTTTTGGTAGAAGAACAGCGTGGCAGCCCTTCTGCCAACCGCCCAGATGTGCTGGGTGAATCCTCAGGCCGCCGGGGCTTCACCTTCGACTCTACAGCCTTAGCAGGTGACTCTGCAGCTGGGGAGAGCGACGCTGCGTGCCTCGGCGCAGAGGAGTCCCCCAGGAGCGAGAAAACAAACACAGCGACGGTGACTGACGCCCCGCCGGAGCCCCAGACCTCTCTTCTCCACCTCCTGGAATCAGAGCCCTCCTCCTCAGTGAGAGAGGGGATGTCTGCCCTGAAGGAGCACCTCAGACAGCAGCAAAGATCCCCAAACTGCCTGTCCCCACCTGCCCACGGAGGCTCAGCTCCTGCTTCTCCCCGGCTCCCCTGGGACGGAGACGCAGGACCCCGCCTCTGCTTGTTAGAGCAAAGCGAGCAGGAGCCAGTTCCGTGCCAACACGGGAAGCCCCGCGAACAAGTAGGTGCTGCAGAGGCGAGCGTGGCGGCCGAGAGCCCAGACGGCTCCTTAAATCCCAGGCGTGCAGAAGAGCTGGAAAAAGACACGGGTCCGTGTCATGTGGAGCCAGCGGAGAGCTCCCCCGTGGACGTGCTCGTGCCAGGTAACCCGAGATCGGTGCCGCCTCCCCCTCCTCACAACCACGGGGCAGGTCTGCACAGCGCCGAGCCAGACTCGGTCCTGGGTGTGCACCCTGAGGTGTGCTCCCCCGGCCCCAGTCTGGCTCCGGAGGGTGCCCCGAGGTCCTGCTGCCTGGGACAACTGCCCCCACGTACCTGCTCCGGGCGTGCCAGCCCCGGGGCCCGAGCAGCAGCCGCGGAAGGGAGCTACGAGAAGGAATCCATCCTGCCCGAGGATTCAGAAGGAGGAAGCGGCAGCAGCCCTCTCGCCAGTCCTGCATCTTTTTCAGCAGGGGAGTCGCTCGTGCCGCTGCGTGAGCCCCAGTCTGGGTGCGAGCAGGGTGAGGCTGAGGGATCCAACACCTTGGCTGATCCGCACCGTGCCAGCACGGAGCGGGGAGAGGAAGAAATCCCCACTCTTCCCTTCCCAACATTGCCGTTACACGCGCACAGGGGGCTCTCTGGAGAAAGTCTGGAGCTTAGTGACACTGAGGCTATCTCAGATATACTCCCAAGGGCAAAGCTCCCCAGCCCAGGCAGACGCGTGGGCTTAACCTCTGAAGATCTGTTTGAGACTTTCTCCAGCGACTCAGACCAGGAATATTTTGGGAGGACTTCCCGGTCCCTGCTTAGAGGCAGGGGTTCCAACAGCACGAGATCCAGGGGTGCTGCAGGCTCAAGGACTAATTGCTCCTCCTCCTCGTCCTCCAGCTGGGTGCACGTGGAGGGGTGCAGCGAGGACTGGGGCTGCTCACGGGCTGAGCACGGCTGGCCGATCGGCCCGGGGGAAACCAGCAGCGGGCACGTTCCACCATATGTCAATATTAGGGACAGCCAGGGGATTGCCAAGGACTACCGGAACTTTGTAGTCACCAAAAAGTGCCAGGAGCAGATGGGAAGTTTTCAACCTTCAAAGAGGCTCAGCCGCTGCACCGGGCAGTCTCATTTGTTAAAGTCGCTGATGGGGACTTGGAGGGGTTTTGAGGAAATCACCCAACACACTTTGGACATGGAGTGTCTGCGTTTCCATTATAAACTGAAACAAATCCTAAGGAGTGGGAAACCACCCTTTTCTACCTCCGAAAGCATCTTTCCACAAGACTTTTCTACCCAGGTGATGTCTGAGACATTGCTTGGGCGAGAAGCTCCTGCCCCGCTCTCCCCGCAGAGCAGGAGCCCTTTGCAGGTGACGATCCTGCCCTCAGCCACGCGGCCGAGCGGGCTCGGCTGGCACCGGCGAAGCGGCCGGCACGGGGACCCGCGTAACCCGTGGCAGGACACCCTCTGCAACGAGGGGAGCAGAGCCCGAACCCCAAGTCGGGGCCGCGCGGCTCCTTTCCACCTCGGCAAGCTCAGATACGACCATAAGCTGAAGGACTTGCGGGGGGACATCGCCGTCATCCTCGACGAGTACGCCGAGTTGAACAGGGTGATGCTGAGCAGGGCCGAGGCGGGGGGCGAGGGCGGAGGGTCGCTCGAGGCGGCGGGGGAGCGGACGTGCCCGTCTCTCCCCGGGCAGGTGGCCGCCTTCGAGGACATGATCGAGGACCTGCGCCGGGCGCTGCGTTTCCACCTGCGCAGCGTGGCCCGGGAGGCCTGCGGCCGCGCCGACATGTTCTACCTGGTGGAGACGGGCGACGACCCTTTCTTTGCAAGGGTGAAGGTAAGAGCCAGTCCTGCCGTCCTGGACGGGGACGGGTGGTCCTGGGGTGAGGAGCTGAGGGCAGCAGGAGCAAGCACGGGGCAAGCTTGCTCAACCTGACATGGATGGTGTTTGGTTCCCTTAAGCCGGGAGCCGCCTCTGCCATGTCTCCTACCACCAGAAATTAGAATCCCAGAACCATTTACATTGAAAAAGACCTTTAAGGTCATCGAGCCCAACCATTAACCCAACACTGCCAAGCCCGCCACTAAACCGTGTCCCCAAGTGCCACGTCTACACGTCTTTTAAATACCAAAAGGGATGGTGTCTCCACCACTTCCCTGGGCAGCCCATTCCAGCGCTTGACAACCCTTTCGATGAATCAGTTTTTCTTACTATCCAATCTAAACCTCCCCGGGCGCAACTCGAGGCCGTCCCATCGCTTGAACATCCCTCGGGCCAAAAGAGGTCAGGGTTCCTGCAGGAGCAGCCCAAACTCAACCCCTCCAAGGTGGCTTTTGCTCAGGATCTCACTGAGGGGTTGGAAACTCGGGGAGGGTGATTGCGTGGGAGGATTTGCTGCTCCAAAATAGCAAAGAGGCCGGCTGCATGGGACGGTGAGACGCTCGAGGTGGTTTTCCTACCAGGTTTTTTGCCAACAAAGGTAAAAACGGCTTCTTCCTCCACTGCTGCCTGGAGCCCCGACCTGGGCCGCGCGGTGCCTTAGACAGGGGGACCCTGGGGGGGGCCTGGGTGGGGTCGTTGTTCCTCTCTCCTCGTCCCCGGGCACGCGTGTGCCGGGAGCACGGCACGGCTGTTGCGAAGGTATTCTCCCTACCAAACCTCCTGACGTGATTTCTGTTTCAGTCCTTGCTGAAGAAAGACGGCCACGTGGAGATGGAGCCTCTGAGCTTCTGCAAAGCGAAACGCCTGGACGCTGACAGGCTGCTCGTCGTCATCAGGAACGAGGACATTTCCTCGCACATCCACAGCGTAAGGCCCGAGTCGGTCCTTTTTTTTTTTATCTGCCAGCACTGTTTTTTAATATCAGGATCAGTTTGAAAGCTTTTTTTAAATTTTACACTACATATAGCTGCAGATTTAATCGTCGGTCTCTGCGGATGCACCGTTCACTGAAAGAACAGTGCTTCACGAAGAGCTGCTAAATAGCTCAAAACCACAAAGCCTGTCAGTTCTGCTTTTCTTCTGTCTCCGTTTTTAAGCCCTGAATAGTGTCGCTTGGAGTAGCCCAGCTCAGAGGAGCTCAGGCTGGGTTGATCTTGTGTAACCGAGCGGTTCATCTGGGCTTTGGCTTGCGGGCTCCGGTGAATAATGCACCGAACTGAGCTGCCTGCAGCTCCCCGTATCGCCGCTCACGGCTTTGAGGTTGGTCGGTGGAGACGGGAGGGTTGGGGCGATTGCAGCCAGGGGGACGGGGAGGGCTCCCCGGGTCTCCCGGGAGCGAGCCGTGAGCTGCAGAGAGGGGCAAATGCTGTCGAAAAAAACCACCGTGTGTGCAAAACCGTGTCTGCCTCGAGCAGGTCCCGTGCTTGCTGAAGCTAAAGCACTCCCCGAACGTGGCGTTCGCCGGCGTGGACAGCCCCGAAGATCTGACAGGTCACACGTACCAGGAGCTGTTTCATACCGGCGGCTTCGTGGTGTCGGACGACGAGGTGTTGGACACGGTGACGCCGGGTGAGTCTCGCTGCGGCCTCTCGCTCCCGGCCTCATCCCCTGGTTTGCTGACGCCTCCCAAAAACTTGCCGGCGCTGTCCTCCGCTCCCGCTGTAGGGAGAGATGATTCTTCCCCTCGATTTGATGCCTCAGACCCCATCTGGAGCGTGGGTCCGGGTCAAGGCTCCCAAAACCTTCGAAGTGCAGCGAGGGCCGCCGGGATGGTCAGGAGCTGGAGCAGGGGTTGTACAGGGACGTTCAGCCTGGAGGAGGGAGGGCAAAGCGGGGAGACCTTGTTGCTCTCTTCAGCTCCCTAATGAGAAGGGGCGGAGAAAACTGAGCCACCTGCCTGCTGGAGGTGCCCAGCGATGGGACAAGAAGTGACGGGGACGAGTTGCATTTCACCTTTTAGATATTAGAGGGGAAAAAATTCTCAGCGTGCCCGAAGGCTAGGCCAGGATTCCGGTTTCACAACCCGGGTTGTGAAGCTCCATCCTCGGAGATATTCACACCTCACCTAGACAAAGCCCTGGGCCAGAGACCCCCCAGGCACCCCTCTGCCCTCGGTGACGCTCGGGCTCTCGCTGTCTCCCCAGGCCAACTGAAGGAGGTGGTGAAGGTGCTGGAGAAGCTGAACAGAAGCGGGAGGTGGAAGTGGCTCCTTCACTACAAGGAGAGCAAGAAGCTCAGAGCAGACAGCAGGTAACGGCTCCGCGGTGGCAGCTCCCCCGTCCCTGCTGTCCCCGGCACCGCGGCAAGGACGTCCCCACCGCCGTGCAACGCACCGCCAGTCAGCGCACGACTTAGGTGCCTCTGGTCGGGTGTTGGCATCTGACAAGATGAATTTGAAGTTTTTTGTTTAAATACGAACTTGCCTTATCAGCGAGAGACCGTGTGCCTCAAGTCTGGAATTGCTGGAGCTCAGCATTTGAGCGTTAGCAAGCAAATTGCGGTATTTATTTTATTTTTTTTAATACCTATATGAAGTGGAGCAGCAGGACGTAGGACCTGGGGAGGATCAGATGGCCTGAAACGTTGTGCCTTGCACGTGATTTCGATGAGGCAGAGCTCTGGCAGCTGCTTCTTGCACCCCGCTGGATCTCCATAAGGCAGTTCCCCCTTCTCTTTGGCAGAGATGCCCTCTGTGAGCCTTACAGCCTGCCGGGGGCTTGAGGAAAAGCACCAATTTAATTTGAGGAGCTGCACGCTCCGAAAGCTGCCTCTGCAAACTGAGCTCCCTTCCCACCAGCTCACCCCAGCCCCTGCACATCCCCACCCCCCGTTAGCTCAGGGTGCCTTCCCGGGCTTCTGCCTGCCCTGTCATCTCTTTTTTTTTTTTTTTTTTTTTCTGTCTCATCACGTGTGGGGTTTGGGGGAGCTCAGGGTTTGTAATGCAGAGAGGAACCGGGGTGTCGTGGCGAGGGGGTAAAACCAACCCCTGGTTGGAAAAGCAGAACTTCCCCTGTTGCTGTTTGCCGCTTCCTTTACATTATTTGCGACGTATATTTAAATGATGCAATTTGAAAAAGAGAAGGAAGAGGGCAAATACTGTCCCCTGAAATGCCCTTTTATCATTTGGGACTCAGCGAGGGAGGTTTTTATCGGGCAGGCTGCCTTTGTTAGTGCCGGATTACGGGCCAGAAAGGCCGGCTTTCTAGTAACGACCTGCGAACAAAGAGGAAACTGGTCGATTCTGTCTGAGCAAAAAACGCTCCAACAAATGGGGAGAACCCTCAGCTCCTCACCACGCTCAGCCTTTACGGTGACAGCACAAAGTAACCGTCCTGGTTTTCGGTCCTGGAGCGGTGAGGTGTCGCCGCTTGGGGTCAGGTATTTCATCGTGGTGTGTGAGATGAGGCCGCAGTCTCAGCAGCGGATGCTGCTGTGGAAGCGAGTGTTTTCCCTCCGCTCCGTAGCATCTCTTGACTCCACTGGTGGTGGGGGGGGGGGGATTGTGAGCCCCCAGGGGTCGTGGTTTAACCCCAGCTGGTAATTGAGCCCCACGCAGCCGCTCGCTCGCTCCCCCGCAGGGGGATGGGGGAGAGAATCAGAAGGGTAAAAGTGGGAAAACTCCTGGGTTGAGATAAAGACAATTTAATAGGCAAAGCAAAAGCTGCACACAAGCAAAGCAAAACAAAGGATTGATTCCCCCCGTCCTGTGGGCAGGCAGGGGCTCAGCCATCCCCGGGCCAGCCGGGCTCTGTCCCTGGAACGGTGACTTGGGCAGATAAAAGCCATCACTCCCAACGTCCCCCCCTTCCTCCTCCTCCTTCCCCCAGCTCCCTGTGCTGAGCAGGACACCTTACGGTCTGGGATGTCCCTGGGGGCACTTGGGGGCAGCTCTCCTGGCTGTGTCCCCCCCGCCCCCCAGCTCCTCGTGCACCCCCAGCCCCTCGCTGGTGGGGTGGGGTGAGGAGCTGGAAAGGCCTCGGCTCTGTGCAAGCGCTGATCAGCAGTCACAAAAACATCCCTGAATTATCAACACTGTTTCCAGCACAAACCCCGAACACAGCCCCACAGTAGCTGCTGTGAAGAAAATTAACTCTCCCCCAGCCAAAACCAGCACGCCCAGTCCGGAGCTGCCTGGAGCAAAGGGCTTAGTTGGTTTTCCTGCTGCGGCGCCGCCGCTTGCTCCCTCCATCCCCATTTCGTGCAGGGGAGCGAGCGTAAAAGCAAAACCCCCCCCCCTCCACCACGAGGCTGGAGGAACCACACAGGGAGGGGAGAAGGGGGTGAAGCCCCTCGCCGCTTCACCTCGCCCCTCTCCCAGCAGGGCGGACGCTAACGCCCACAAGAAGCATTTGATCCTCCGGTCGTGCCAAGGAGCCGACCTCCTCGAGGTGCTGCACTACCACGCCTGCGACGCCGGGTCGTCCCCCAAATCCGAGTACGTCAAGTGCTTGTTGAACCTGCAGGTTCAGCACGTCCACGCCAGGTTCGCCGTGTATCTCACAGGTGAGGACCCGCTGCCCCGTGCCGGTGCCCTCAACCCCCTCTCGAATCAGCTGGGAGGTGGCAGAGGAGCAACCAGAAACACGCGGTTTTTCCTCGAATCACTTAGCTGAGGTGTGGGTCGAGTGCGAGCTGATTCGTTACGGGTCAGTGCAGGGAGAAGCAAAATGAACGGATTTTTTTTTTTTTTTTTTGGAGGGCTTTGCTAAATTCGGGCAGTTTTTCGAGCCTTTAGGTCACGCTCTTAATTCTGGCCTTGCTGGGCTGAGGCTGTTTGCAAAGCGGCGCTTTTTCATCTGCTCCCATTTGCGAAAGGGAATAAGCGCAGTGGGATTTGGGGGGGGGGGGGGGGGGGGGTGTTCCCTGTGGGTTTTAGAACAACCTCGGTTGAATTACGGTGCCGTTCCTTCCTTTTGCAGAAAAACCCAGTGTCGGCAGGGAGGCCCTGGAAAGCAGAGGAATCCTTGTGACCGACGTCGAGACTTTCCTCAGGACGGTGCAGAAAGCGGCCGCCCCCTTTAGCAGAAGCTATTGGTGAGTTTGGAATTGATCTCTTCTCCCTCCCCACCCCCCCCCCAAAAAAAAAATAAAAAAGCCGGGAGCAGCTCCTGGGTTGCAGGAGAGCCGGGGAACTTCCCCAGGTGTCGTGTGCCCGGGATCTGCTCCGGCTTTGCTGAATGCTCAGGGCTGATTCCTGAAGCCGTAAGCGGGGGAAAAAGCCGTGCTGGGCCTCGGCGGCAACGAGAAACACGAGGACACGTCCCTTGGGAAAGCTCAGCGAGGAGGAGCCCGGAGCGAGGAAGAGGAGGGGAGCGGAGGGCTAACCTGTGCCACGTCTCTGTTGCAGGTGACGAAGCGAAGCCGCGGCTCCTCCCCGGGCACCCCGCTGGGTGCTGCACCCAGGAGCTGGGTGTGCACCCAGAGGTTGGCTCCGGTTCTGTATATAGAAATTATTTAAAGATGGCCAACGGAAATCCCCCCCGGGGGGATTTACTCCCCGCCATCAAGTTGCATATAGGACAGAGGTTATTTTAACATTACACAGTTTTAAATTATTGGAGTGTTTTCAAGTGATTCGTGCAGCTAATGTTGGAAGAAATAGGAAACTAAAAAGCCGTTTACTTGAAGGAGTGCTAGGAAGCCACAATAATAAATTAATTTTCCCCCTGGCTGTACGCAAGCCGCCGGGGCGGGTGTAACGCGCTGGTGGCCGGCGGCTCCGCCACCGCATTTCAACTCGCCCCTGTGGCCTCTTGGTACCGGTTCACGGCTGGGCCCCGAGTGCACCCCAGCACGTGGAAGTCCTGCAAACAGCCAGACGACAGGGATGCAGGAACAAAACAAAACACACACACAAAAAAAAAATAAAAACAAAAAATAAAAAAATAATAAATAAAGCAGCTCTTATTTATGGCAGCTCCGACGACAAACACGCTCCCTGAAGAAAACGCCGCGTTGAAAACCTTTGTAAGATACCCTGTCTATTGATGTGGAGGACGGGGTTGTCCTCTTTTTTTTTTTTTTTAATAAAAGAATGCAAGAACATTATGTACAGGATGATTTTTTTTTTTTTTTTTGTGTATAGAGTTTGAGTAATAAAACCTAAGTTTCCCCCAGCGCTGCTCCCCGGGGAGGGGTTTCCCCCTGCCCCTGTCTCGCCCCTCAGCCTTCTGATTTCCCAGAGCTCAGAAATCAGCTTTGGTTCGCCGCCTTAACCCCAACTTCGAAGGGCCACGCAGGAAGGAAAAAGAATGAGCAAGACTGTTTGACTCAAAGGGAGACTCGGGGCTGCAGGCTCAGCCCGCTGCGTCCTCGCGGGAGCCAGAATACCCAGGTTGTGGAAGCCCCGAGGGGAAGGAGCGGGTCTTTCCACGTGCCCCTCTCGGTTCGAAGCCGCCGAAGCGGCTCGAGAGAGGAAGCACAAGGTGAGGGAGAACATTCCCCACCGGCTTAAAAACAGAAAGGGGGTTCCTGGAAGTGGCGGCGGGGAAGTGGCGAAAGCCCCCTACCCCCAGGGAGGGCGGGGAAAGGAGAAGGGGCTGGAGTTGGAAAAAAAAAAAAAAAACAAAAAAAAACCACAACCCAAAACCACCCCCCCAGGTTCCTCTGCAGCAACAGCATGAGAGCAGCACAGCTCCGGCTGAAGGGGAAGATCCGAGCGCGGGGATCAGTCAGGCTCGCTCCGAGGAGGAGCATCTCTTACTCAGAGAGAGCTCAAGGCCCTGGCGAGAAGCTCGAAGAGGAAGAATTCTTTCCTACTGCTTCAAGCGAGCGCTATTTCTGGAGGCGGAGGCGGGGGGGGGGGGGGGGGGGCTGCAGGGAGGGAGCTGGAGCTGCAGCTGGAGCTCGAGCTGCCCAAGCGAGGAGGGCTGGGCCTGGTTTTGAGGAGGAACCGCTCTGAACCACTCCGGTTTCGACCCTGGCGGGCAGAGATCCAAAGGATCTCGGAAAGGAGATGCTCCTCGTACAGCTGAAGTGAATCAGACCAGAGCCCAGGACTGGTTTCCAGAATTTGGCTTTACTTCGCAGTACAGAAATCATTTGGAGCCTTCAGGAGACACGAGAAGCAGAGAGGCTCTGTCAGACCGATACCGCAGTGCCGTTTGGTCCAGCCGAGAAGCCACCAGGGTACAGAAAAATACTTCCACATCTTGCCTGCTCTGTAATTTGTTCTCTCAATTTTATTAAGATTAAAACACAAAGGAGCCTTAGGCACAGCTGTGTCCCAACCGATGTAAACAGTTTTAGAAGCTTAAGTGGAGGTTAAGTTCTGTGCCCAGAACTAAGCCAACAGTTGCTGCTACAATAGATGTGGGCTTTGTCCATAATACAACTTGCCACAGAGTTAGATCGATGGGAGAGACTTTAGGGATGCTGTCCACAATAATGGAGTGCTCAGTTTCTATTTTCCTTGATATCAGGTTTGAGTGACAACCGTCACATCTACTAGCTCACCAGAAGCACATAATTGTGAAGGATGGTTACAAACGATTAAAAATGCAAGGTAAGACACAGCTGTCAATGAGTTATTTCAAATCTACACCAACGTCTACGTCTGCCAAAAAAAAAAAAAAAAAAAAAAAAAAGGAAAAAAAAAAAAAAAAAAAAAGGTTCAGTCTGCCTTTCGTTTACGAGGTTAGTCGTTAAATCAGTCAGTAATTTGCCAGATTCTGGACAGCAGCCCTACTAGAATGAAATAATTAACACATGATATCCAAAAGGGGAACATTACCAGTGCAGTACTCTTCAATCTCTCAGAGATGGGATTACAAAAGCAGGCCTTACAATATTGAATTTCGTACAGTGTTCATTAAGTTCCTTATATATTCATATTAGCCGATTTAAATTTCTCCTAATTAGAGATTCTCATTACTGCTGCTCCTCCTCCCCGTAGATATCGTTTTTCTTGCGTTTCATCTCTTCGAAGTCAAACTCTGATCCCATCATCCTCTTATAAATATCTTTGATGTCATCGCACGTCGTCTCAAAGTGAGTGGTGGCGTCGTAAGTGCGAGAAATAAAGATCTGGGGAGAGAAGGAGCCGCTTAGCACCGAGCCTCTGCCTCCACCCCCCCGCCCCCCAACCGGAGCTCGGCGCTCACTAACCTGGCTTTCGGTTCCCAGGTCGGTCGGTGCGAACAGGTCACTGATGCTAACGAACCTGGAAGGAGGAAAATAAATAATAATTAAAAAAAGAAAAAGCTTCAGAAGGGTTTTAGAGCACCGCTGAGCATCAGCATCGGTGCCAAGAATGGATGAAGTAAAGGGCATCGCTCTGCCCAGCGCCTAAGCAGTCAGGGCGCAGAGGAAATTCGGAGTTTTAACACCTCTGCCTCCGTGCTCGGGCTCAGCGGAGGGGAGAGGGGGCTCCTCGGGGGCTCACTTCTGCTCGATGGGCTCCAAGAGGTCCAAGGCCGGCTTGATTTCCTTCTCCGGGTCCGCGGTTTCCACCGTAGTGCTGGCGATGGCGATGTACTTCCCCTGCGCCGCCACGTTGTGCGCGGAGGAGATCATGCAGACGTAGATGTCTGAGGAAACGCATCGCGGCGGCAGCTCAGTACGCGCTGGGAAGGGGCGGCGGGAAGCCGGGGCCCGACCTGCCTCGTCCCCGAAAAACCTCCTCGTGCGCCCGCCTCTCCCTGCTCCCCTGACGCTCCCCAACCTCCTCGTCTTGTTTAAGAGCACGTTGGAATGAGTTCGGTCCTTGCCCCGCTGTCCTCCGTGCTCTCGGCCGAGGAGCGCGGGCGGCTCTCTCGAGCTCTCCAAACTTCGGCTGCTCGGAGCTACGACGGCGACTGAACGCCGGCGGGGTCCCCCGCAGCCAGCCCACCCCTCTGGGGCAAGGGCGAGAAAACACTTCCCACCCCACCCCACCCAGAGCCCTTCCCCCCCCAACCCTCTGGTGCAAGGGCGAGAAAACATTTCCCACCCCCCCCCACCCCGTCCCAGAGCCCTTCCCCCCCCGTGCTCCTCGCCCACTTCTCCCGGGTTGGGGCGTGTCCCGCCGGTGGGTTTGCACGTGGCTTTCCCACAGCCCTAAGCTGAAGGCGCGGCCTCGCTGGGGCCTGAAGGATTTCTCGACAAGGGTGTGAAGTCCCGCCCCGAGAAGCGCCACATTCCCCGCACGCGTGGGGAGGGGGGGGGGGGCGAGGCCGTTTAACCCGAACACAAGAACCCACCCGGCGCCCTCCCCACGCACCTGATTTTCGGTTGACCTGATTCTGTGGAATGATGATCTGGCACGAGTTGGCGTCGTTTGTGTTCTTGATCGGGTGGCTCAAGATGCAGATTACCCGGATCACTTGGCCGACCTTCGTTACGCGGTCCGAGACGTAGCTGGGGTCGCAGATGAGCTGTTTGCAGCGCGCAACCTGCGGCGACAGACGGACCTCGAGTGAGCCCACGCGGCCGATTTTGGAGGAAAACTAAGAGCCCTTTGAGGGAGCTGGTTTGATGTCACTGCCACGCAGCGCGCTTCAACTTGGGCAATCCAAATCTCGGCGTGTTATTCTTAACTCTATAGATCAATCTGCGATCAAGCGCGGCTTCCCCTTGTCGTTCAGAGCAGTTCAGCTCTAACACTAGAGTCCAGTCCTTCCTGTCTAGGACCACAACTCGCTGCGGTCGAGGCTGAACCAGATTTGAATGGACCAGTTTGCATTAGAACTCATTTTTACGGTAATAATTCAATATTTGACCAATCTGAAGCCTCCGGGCCTTCTGATAATTCAGAAAACAACTCTCCCGCCCCCACGGAGATTTAATTCCAGCTCTTGGAGTAGGACCTACTGCGCTGTACGCTCACCGCGCCGAAACATTATGTCTTAAGAAAGCTGGCACGGGGAAAAACAGCACCAGCCAGTTTTGATCCTAAAGCTCCGATGAGGGTTTTTCTACCACACGTGTTCAGATGGGTGAGAGCCAGCCTCGCTTTTGAGAGGCAAGATGTGGGCTGGGGGGGTAAGGGCAGAAAAATTATGAGGTAGCCTACCTCCCCTTCGGACTTCACACCAACCACTTTGCCGTTTTCTATCACAATCTCTTCAATAGGCTTGTTCAGCATGTAGGTGCCTCCATATATAGCGCTTAGCCTGCAAGAGGAAAGCTGCCTCAGCACGTTCCCCAGGTGCGAGTTTGGTTTTTAACAGCCCCTTCCAGCCCCTTGTTTCTGTTCCACTCGCACAAACCCCCCCACTTCAACTGCTTCAAAATACTCTGCTTAAACATCTCCGCAGCAGGTGCTGCCTGCTGTTCTTTCTGCAAGGCATCAGCTGGTGTTTGGAACAAGTTATAAATGCAATTACAGCCAGCTAGGAAGAAATCTGTTTGGTGCGACCCGGTCAGTCCTACAGCCTAAGAGCTGCAGGTTACAGCGCGTCGGCAGATCCGACCTCTCGGCTAGGCAAGACGCTGCCAACAGCACCTCTGAGCAAACCCCAAAACTACCACGGCGAACAGGAACCGGGGTAAACAAGCCCCAAAAGAAGCAAATCTCACACAGAGGAATCGCTTCTTAAGATGGTAAGAAAACCCTTCACGACCGCGTCATTTTTACGCGGCCTCAGGTTCTGGAAGCCCGAGCGCTGACTCCAAGGTACCACAGCAGGGCTGAGGAAACACCGGAGTCCGAAACAAAGTTCTCACCTTGCAAATCCCTGGGGCAGCTCTCCGAGGCCATAGAGGGGATAAAGGTACGGGCTTTTACCGTATCTAGCCAGCGACTCGCTGTAGAGCTTGATCCTGTTGATTGTTTCTTGGCATGGTTGATCTAGATAGCTGGAGAGGGCAGTTGCATGATTTGTAACATTTCACAAAGCCAGATTTGCAGCGGAATACAGAGAGCAAAATATTTACTTCCCGTGAAGTTTCCTTCCCCAGCTTCCAGCTGCTCCTGGCAAGTATTCCCCTGGAAATTCCCTTTTAGAAACACTTAAGTGTCGCAAGGGGTTTTATTCAGGAAGGAAATGCTTCATTAACCCCAGGAACCCACAAAGTTTAAATATCCCATCAGCAGAGGACCTGGTAGTTTTAAGATGCAGGGGACAGACACACACTTTGTGAGACACCCTACCCCCCACTCCCCAAGCCTGTGCTGTAGGCACCCAGCACCCCAACCGATTTGGGGGAGCACCGGAACCCACACTTACTCGTCAGTCCTGTAGAGCGCGAGGGCATGGCCCGTGAAGTCTATAACATCTTGGCCCAGGTCAAACTTCTTATACACGTCGCGCATGGTGGTCTTCTTGGGATCAACGCCTTCAAAAGTCCGGGGGTCGTTCTCGTCAAAGTTGGCAACGTACACTAGGAACTTCCTGAACCGGCGTTTCTCAAACAAGCCCATTAAGCCTAAAACCAAGGTATTTTGTCAGAATTTACACAATGTCTGGCCGGAGGCCCGGCTTCAACACTCCTCCTAGCTGGTGGAAAGCCTGCAGAGCACTCTCCTCTTGACCTGGTGTAAAGCTCAACCTGAGCGTCCAGAAGCAGAGACCTGTGCTTGGGATCTACCATCCTCCAAGCGTGGCGATCAAAGCGAGCGGTGCTGAGCTCTCCGGCAGCCTCGCCAAGGAATTAAAGTGCTGCCAGAGTCAAAACTTCAAGCACGAGGTTGGACAAGGCACCATTTATACGTTTTAATTGTCTACTAATTGGAGAAGCGAGACCGGACCTGCTGAAACGTGAAGGCAGAGACGGGACCAAAGGCACCTCCTGCTTCTGCCGGTGTGAGTCTCCTCAGAGACCGCTCGCGGGACGGCAGCGCGGCCAAATTGAAGGAACGACTGATTCCTTCACAACAAACAGCAGTACCTGCCATGAGGAAGGCTCCAACACACAGACAAGCCACGTTCTGGGAGCCTTATCTGCAGGAGTCACTTTATCATGAGACTTTTCAGAGATGCTGCTAAAGACATCCCACATCTGAAGCCAACCGACTGCTCTCTGCTACCTCCTAACGTATTTCACCGCACTAGAATGAACGACCCGTACGTTTATCTGAAGAGGGAAATTTAAGCAGCCGACAATTAAGATTTCAGCTAGGTGCCACGCGTCAGAATTAATCATGCCAGTTTGCCTGCTGACAAACGTGATGTTTTTCACACACACAATTCCATCCAACAAGGGCCCAATGTTAAATATTTATGGCAGAGCTGGGAGCATAAGCCCCAAATGTAACCTCTGGAAGAAGCAAAACTACTGCCAGATTTTCACCAGAGGAGCCTCGGAACAGGCAGCCTGACCTGCTCCATTTGAAATCTCCAAGAAAACAGTAACTCAAGGCTCAAGCTGCAAAGTGGTGTTTGAAGTCAGATGAGCTGTAGGAGAATCCTACACTAAGCACAACGCGTTACTGAGCTGGAGCCTACGCACGGCACCACGTGAGGAGCGTCAAGATTTCTTTCCTACGTGAGCCCAATCTTGAGATGTGGGTGGCAGGGACCTGTCTTGCCTTTGTTTAGAGACAGAAGCCTCGGGAGGAAACAAAGTAAGGTGTAACTACTCACTGGATGCCAAGGCTTCTGCCTCAGTGGAAGGAACTTTGTAGATCTTTCCTCCCTTGTAGACGAAGCTCCCCTCGATCACCTTGAAGTCTAAGTAGCGAGTGACTTCTGTGTAGAGCAGCATCTTTACCAACTGACCTGGAAAGGAGGTTTGGCACAAGTCAACCAGCTGGTCTGTAGCCAGAAGCCAAGAGAACAGGGCTTCTCAAGGCAGACAGTTCTCTCAACACAGCAAACCCTCCAACGGCAGCATCGCCTTCAGCCCACACAGCTCAGACACCTTTGTGTAACAGACCGGCTGTGGCAGATCCTAGTGCAATTATCGGGCAGTTTTAATGCTTTCTTACAGCTTCCTTGTCACCCCTGTGGTTTGCCATCAGTCCTCTGAGTAAAAGCCATCCTGCAGCACGTTAACCCGCTGCAGAACGCTGCTGCTCTTTGCTCCTTGCAGTTCACTCACGCTCAACGTGACAAAAAAGGTCGTTGTCTTGGGACCACAGCAGCTCCTCATCCTCGCTGCTTGGACCTGGCACAGCCTGCGTATTAGCTGTCCAGCCAACTTACCACCAAGTAATTCCTGGCTTGCAGGCAGCTTGTGTCAACACACGCCCACTTACCTGTCCCCCACTGCCACACCCCCAGAGGGATGCTGTCCCTTAGAAAAGCACCGCAGTGGGATTCCTGTGCAAGCTGAGAGTAAACCCAGACTAGAGTAACCAAACCTTGACTGGAATCACATCAAGTCTTCCACTGCACTACCCTTGAGCACGACTGGCACTACACAATACGCATCTACCCCCTCATGCTTCAGGGGCAAGAGGTTCCAGTAGCAAGTGGCTGGTATTTGGCAAAGGGAGTTGCCCCTGAACTTGCTTGCATTGCTCACTGCTTCACCGAGAGCAGATTTGGTCTAGAAGGCCTGTCCCAAGACTGGAACACATAGATTAAAAGAACGAGGATTCGTAGCGCCGGTAAGGGATGACAGAGTCCGCAAGCCATAAAATAGGAACAAGGGGAATTAACAGGCATCATGGAATCAACCGTTCCTTCCTAAGCCGTGGAAGAGTAACGACGCGCAAAGTCATGGCATTAACTCTGCCTAGAAATGCAAACCCGTTAGGAGAGGACGTTCGAAAACGGATGCTCAAACCTTTCAAACGCTCCAAGCTGGAGCCATCTCCCGGGTTGGAAAGGTTCACGGCCGAAAACGAGTCACCGAGAAGCTGTGGTGCTTCTGGCACGAACACGCGCAGGTCAGCTCGAGCGAGCTTTCCGCGGCTCTTCGATGAATGCTTCCACAAGGCCATGAAGAGACGGCCGAAGGGCTCTTTGTTCTATTACAACACTGAACACTAACCCAGCCTAAGCTTACGAGGCAGATCAGGGAGCTCAGTATCGCTTACCGTTAGCCATAAGGAATTTGGGAATTAGGTCCACGTTCCAGTCTCTTCCCCGCCCCATCGATTCTGGTGGAGTTCCTGGTAGATTAAACCTTTTGTAGAGCTTCGGAGAGAATACAAAACTTATTATAGCAGAGGAAATATCTATGGGTGTAATCTCTCCCACACAGGTACACACTTTCCACCCCCACATCTCCCCAGCTGAACATAAGCTCTTCACAGCAAGCTTTTGGCCAGTGTTTTAGCTCCAAGTTGATTTTTGATGCAATACACGACGCGCATCCAGCAAATTCTTACAGTGAGAAATCAGGAAGCATTATTCTGCTCATCCAGTCTTTCTTCCTCCAAGGCTTAAAGCTTGGGAATTTATGACCTGCTGAACTGCTTAACATAGCTAAAGGTAATCTGATCAAAGTGCCTACTTCAGGAGAAGGCAGGCTCCCCCGTATATTTAAATCATACTCCCCGATATAAATATTTAACCCAGTTAAGCAGCAAGGAGAGCGGTGATTTCCTGACATCTAATTCATCAGCCACACTGACAGCTTTAGGAGCTACACAATCACAGGGTGCAAGCTGTAACCAAACGAGGTGGCGCCTATCTAGCTGGAAGCGCTCACAGACCGAGGACTGAGCGTAACATCAAGGCACAGAGAGCACCCCGCATTCGCTGGGCCAACATCTGCCGGCAAGCGTGGCAGTAACCATTTAGCTGAAGAGTTTTAACATCTAGCTGTTGGACATTCTGCCTCAAACGACTGCTCAAGTGCTGCGTGCTTGAATCTGGGCTGGGAACTACGGAAAACAAGTGCTAGCTAGCTGGTTTCTCCCCCACTTATCTGCTGTGGAAGTGCCGTAAAACATTCCTACTCAAAGGAAACCCTTAAGAGTAATTACTTCGAGTCCACCCCTATGATAGCTCAAAATAAAGCCCCCTTTATGTGCTTTATTGTGACACAATAGGCGGGTGTCAGCCTCTGTACTTACATCCTCCAGGGGTGTAATGGATGCGCTTTCCCCTCCATAGTAAGAGTTACGATCCATGTGAAGGACTTTCTTTCCATTCACCGACATGATCCCGGAGAGGATGCATTCCTGCAGAGAGGGGAAATTAAAGGACACAAGGGATAAGTTGGTTACATTTGAGCCTCCTTCCATTTTGCCCGATGATGCTCTCTCAAAGAGCATGTCCAGACAGCCTGCTGCATGCCTAGAATTGAAGGTACCTGCACAGTCCTTTGAGAAACAAACACACCAGTTGCCTCACTCCAGAATTAAGACATGCATGCTGAAAGACTTCTGTTTGAGACAGATTAACCCCTTACTAGGTTTGCTGGTTGCTCTGGGCAAGCCAACCCGGAGGTTTTAACTACACAACCACCACCTATCAGGGCTCCCCTGGGGCTATTTCTGGGAAGTTCACGCATTTGGGCCAGATTGGGAAAATCTATACTCCTAAACCGCCCAACATCAATTTAAGGACGTCCCTAGAGAGGCAGCATCTTCATTGATGGGTGACAAGCAGGAGCATGAAGTCTTACCCAGACTTCAGTTAGTCCACTCAAAACCTCAATCTTTGGTATCTGCCCCACTGGGATACACGAGAGAGTCAACAGCTACTCTTAGAGGGTAGAGGTAGCACAAGGAACAAATTAAGCCTTTCGGGAGCTTTATTATCTCAGTAGACACTTTGCTGTCCTTGCTATGTACCCACTGAGATTAAAACCACCAAGATTACTCTGAGCAGCAGATCAGCTGCTATGTCTGAACGCAACAGCAAGAGGCTGCGACTAATCTTGGAGGGACACAAGTTGTAGCTTGCAGAGCCAGCTAAGGACTCGCGGGCTAAATCCCCATTAAAACACAACTTTGCAACTAACCCAGTCCCCAGCGCTGGCATTCACAAGCCAAAGAGCTTAACAAAAACTTGCATACTTGCGTGTTTAGGACTTCTTATTGTGGAAGTCTAACTGATCCTTCTTGCTCTACACCTCAACTCTCTCCAAAGGCTGAATTACATTTGCAATTGAGCTCTCATTCACCATCAACATTATCCAATTTGTAGGTCCTGGCCACATCTCGCGTTATCTTTCACTCGGCCCATAAAACCTCACACCCAGCTGCTGAGAGATGCCACCACTGCACATCTGCTTGGCCAGGAGCGGAGGAGGCGTTTGTTCAAGAGAACCAGCAGCTTGGCCCTCCTGGCAAAGAGCCACACCTCCGTGAGATCCTTCGTGTTTAGTCCACACGCGTATCCCACCGTATATACTTGACTTGCAAATCCTGACTCTGGTCAATCTTCGGGCTAAAGGAAGCTTTGAAAATAATCTTCAATTTCACCAGACAAAGGCCAACCTGCGGTAAAGGCAGCTTTCAGGAGGGGCTATTTTGTTCCGAAGTGTCTCAGCATCTGCAGGTGCGTGGATGGTTGGCAGGGATCGTTGGCGTAAGGACTTGCTGGTTTTGCACTTCCAGGTGGCAACGGGCAAATCTTCTCTGCTGAGAGAGCGAGGCGATGCTAGCCAGCCTAGTACCCACCAGGACACCACGGTAACTCAGCCAAGGCCCCAAAGAGCAAAAACTAGAGCTGCCTGGTGCACGGCAAGAATGGGATGCTCTGAGTTTAAGCCCTGAAGCGATGGGGGATTTCCAACACGGTGCCCACAAGGCTTCACGGTCACCACACAGATCCTGGACTGGGTTAGCCACAGTACTTTTCACAAAACCTCTCCGTAATCCTACGGCATACATCCTCCGTGAACTCCCGATCCCTCATGTCCTACAAGGCCCTACCACTTTTTTCAGACAGGCTGAAGACAGCAGAGACCCTTACAGCAGGCACGGCTGCACCAAACCCTGTGTTCAGACACTACTCAAGAGCACCATGAGCCCTACAAGGCTGAGGAACTGCATTAGCAAAAGGACAGGTGGGTTTTATGGTGTCAGTTGAAACATTAATGATTTACCATGGGCAACATGGGACTATCACACCGAGTGCATCTCCACTAGGCAGTGCGATCTCCTTCCTCACTTAAACGGAATTCTCAGAGCTCTTACACAAGGGCTCCGGTTTGACTCTTTGCTCTAACCTGCAGTTTTACTCCCGCTGGAAGATCTTCCAAAACCCTGGCTCACCAGCTCTGCCAGATGGTGGTACAGGACCGCCAGTGTCCACGCTGGAGCTGAGCCATGAGGAAACCAACCAGGATTTCAAAACAAAATAAGTATCAAACGGAGAAATGAAGTTACAGTAAAAGCTGCAGAAGCTACATTCTTTGGTCCAGATGTCAGCTGATTTCCTTCCTCCATTTAAGGAAACTTCAAAGTATTTCTTGCTCTGTCTTCCCAGAATAGCACACCCATCACTTCCTTCAACAGGTTGCCCGCCCAAATTGCTGGCATCTCCCTAGAGTGAATTTGGGTACCAGCAGAAGATAAGAGGTCTTAAGTACCTTTTCAATCTTATTTCATACCCATTAAACGCAGGTACGGGGATCGAGGTGGAGGTATCACAACGCTATTTTATCCAAGGCTCGTTTAACAGGTTCATTTTATCACCCAGGTTCCTGCAGAGCCCCCGAAGCGTTGAAATCCTGCACAGGCCTTTCACCGTCGCTTCCCTTTGCGACCGATGAAGCGACGGCAGAATCATAAAACACACGAGACGCACAATAGATTTATCCTCCCAGCTCAGCAATTCCTTTCGGCGGCTGCGCTGGCTGACTGCTGGCTGTACCCATCCACCGGTGCGCTAGTCTGCGTCTAGGAACCGCTTGATAAGTCATTATGTCGTTTGGGTCAGGGAGCGAGGAAAACAAACAGCCTGTACTGATAAGGGAAGGGCTTGAAACCGTTTAGACTGCAAACATAAAAGGGGAAGCGTCAGAGTTCAAATCTGTGGCTTTCTGGCTGTATTCTAAACGTCAATCCCACGCAAACGGGTAAAACTGAGCAGCTGCTGACAGCAGAAAGGGCACCAGGACGCAGCAGGGAAAGCTCCAGGTATCCAGCCGGGGTCAAACACAATCTTCGTGCAAGTTACAGCCGCGCTGTGGTACTATAATCCACCGCTCCGGCCAGTTCAGGTTACGGTGGGCTCCCGAGAGCTCACATTGTGTTGCTGAATGAATGACGGAGCGAGTCTTAGAGCGATCGATGTCGTCTCCGGCACCGCTCGGCCGCTTTAAATGGCCGGAGAGCGCAGAACCAGAGAGCAACGTGCGTCAGAAACGTAGAGGCAGCACATTCGACACAAATCCATGAAAATAAATAGGGTGACTCGGAGGTACTGGTGTTTCCATGCTTGCTTAAACCCATCAGCTCTTCCCTCGCTTGCAAGAGCTGGTCATGAATAGACCCTTCTGCATGCAAAAGCCTTCAGGAATCGAGGGAAGGAAGTAGGTTTTCATGGATTTTCTCCAAGTAGGGCGGCAGTTCAGAAAGGCTGCGACAGACCGAGGAAAACTTGAGCCAGCGTCAGTCCATCTAACAGTGCTGAGGGGAAGATTCTGCGCAAAAGGTTTAGCAAAATCCCTTCATCTTCCAGAAGGCGTTTTGGCAGGGCAAGAGCGTTTTCTTAGAAAGACAGGGCCGTGCCGTGGCGAGCAAGACGTTACGCAGAGCTCGGCGGCATCGCCCAGGCTACTCCACCTCTCGCATACGCTGGCTACGTCTACCGTGCCGGACTCCAACGAGCAAGACTCAAAGCTCTGCTTAGCTCTACCAACTCGCTGCACTTGAGCAATCCCCTCAGCTACCAGGGGATGATGCAAAGGACAAGTGACACTCCACTTGGTCCTCGCAGTCACTCTGATGTCCCTTATTTAGGCTCTTTAAGCAGTGAGGCCTGTGCCTATCTGATTAAATATATCTTGAACCAAAGAGTTTGGCTTACGCTGCTCCTACAGAAAGTGAATTTGTATCTTTGCGATGGATTTATTTAGCTTTAGCGCGGTGAGGCAGCTGGCAGGTAAGAAGCTTAGTTTGACACACTGGTGCCTGCAATGAGTGAAAACTCAAGCAGGAACATGGTGGTCATCTACTGGGGCTGAACAAGATAGTTTAATTATGCCAAACATTCACATCAAATAACCCACGTTGTCCAGAGCATAGAAAGCAGATAATGAACGTGCGTCAGAGGGCACAACATCTCACTCCGGAACGTCCCGGTGAGCGAGTATTGAGCCATTTCCAGACCAGAAAGGTGTAAATTAAGGTGAACTGAAAAGACAAGTCTGAAAATAAAAACACTAGGTGTTCTCCTGCCCGCCGATTACCGCACCAGATTAAAAACGAGTTTGTGCAGTAGGTCTGGAGAAAGATGCTGCCTAATCTGCAATGCACGACGCACCTAGCAAGCCTAAGCCAAGGATCTTAAAGCTATTAAGACTTGAGTAACTTTGAGGAGTCATTCCCACCAGGGAAATGCCACCATCCCTCCAGGACAGAGCAGCTGGAAGACCTACCAGCTCTCGCACCAGGGCAGCCAGACCCACAGCGCTTTGCAAAGACCTGCCCTGCAGAGTTAGCACACAGTTAGCGCTCGTATGAGCGGCCTGAAGTTAATGATACCCTGTGTAAATTTGAGGTTGTCGTATCAGCAGTCATTCAGGATTAAAAATGCGCTGGGATTATTTTTCCCTATGCTGCCAGAAGGTATCTTTAGAAGCTTGGCACTGCGATAGGGTCTCCAGTTAGGATACGTAAGGGAAAAAGTTAAAATATTTTAGTGCCAGTAATCCCAGTCCTAAAGCTGCCTGAGCTCTTCATTACTGGTTGAAGAAGAGATTAACACTCAAAATATTGATGTTGCACTTTCAAATCCATCAAAAGTGCCATTTATGGACGTGCTCTTCTGTGTTTACGTAGCGGTGGCCCTGTAGACCCAACCAGAACGGCCACTGCAATGGGTGCATTTGTGGCTCTTTTACAAAGGCTCCAACGATTTATTTTTTCTCTTTAAATCAAAAACTGAACTTTCACTTTGGAAAGAGAAAGAAAAAACCCTCCAGATCAGCAACCCCTCGCTGCCTCTCCCAGATGATCTGGTTTACAGCCATTTTACGGGGTTTGTAGAAGTCCTAGCGATGGATACTGGGACAGGTCAACCGGTAACTCTCACAGGACAAGACACAAAATGGGCACAACCTAACAGGCAGCCTGGCAGAGGGGCACGGTGCTCAAGTATCTAGCAAACAGGAGCCCTGGTTAATCTCGTTTTGTTCAGGCAGCATCAAGATTGGTACTTGAGATGCAAGTCAGGTTTTTCAGCAGAGGAGACACAAACTCACTCAGCTGTAACAGTAGCCTGATGGGACTCCAACTCTACAATCCATTTCTGCAAGGGGCAGCTTGAAGGGAAGGCTGGTTGAAAACATCATCAGAAGTTTCATGACAGTTCAAGGCTCTTTGGAAAAGGAAAGAAACAACTGAATGTGTTTACGCGGCGTGTTTTCCAGTTCCTGTTCCTCAGGAAGCCTGACTCTCCCAGCACTGCTACCAGACCAAAGTTGGAGGAGCAGCTTTCAAGCTTCCAGTTTGATGCCTCATCTGAGTGCAGGAAGAGTCCTGTAGCCCAGCCTGAACCAGGCTCTGCTCCGACACTACTCACCAGCCAGAATGGTTGAGCCAACACCGTGCATTTCAGGATGGGGAACGTCCTGGCTGCACCAGGACCTTTGATTTCCCTTCACTTGCTTTTCCGCCCGAGCTGCTCGAGTCGAGATGAAATCCATCCTGCTCTAATTGGTATTTCAGAGGTAAAGCCTGCACATCAGAAGCAAAATAAGCGCTCCTGTGCACTCTCAGGCTCTGGAGTTTGGTCAGCACACCTTAAAATAAGGCCGTAATTTATTCCTTTTAACTCAACTGCTGATCATTAGCATTAGCTTGTCTTAAAAGTGATTTCACAAGAGGCCTTTTGTCAAATTTACATTGGCATTTGTCAGTTTGAGATTAAGCACGGTGCTTACCAACTTGATACGTGGCTCATTCTAAAGCATAAATTAACATTTTAATGGCGCTCAGATCTATTGGAGGCCCCTTCATGAGAAGCTCATTATATTTCACCTCCCCAAAAGTCCGTTTCCCTGCTTTGGTGAGCCAGAGACAGGATTTAGGACAGATTGCAGTTTTCCCTATCAGAGGGAAGAAGCTTTTGCCTCATAAGTCATTCCTGCTACCTCACAGGAAGAGCCTTTAGAAAAAGGAATGAAAGCAACCAGGAAAGTTGGGTTTACCCTAGGGCAGCAGCTGGAAAGACGCTCCCACATTTTGCACATTTTCTTTGTGCCACAACCCGGTTTCGTTATCATTATTCCCATACGCCAAACAGGGAGATGATAAACCAGATCTGCCTTAAAAAGCGGCCGTGCCCCAGTCCTGTGCCAGCAGACATGATGCCTTCGCCACTGTGGCAGCCCCGTCAATCACAGCACCAAAGCCACAGTAGGAAGGCACACGCATTTCTCTTCACAATTACCATCAACAGAGGAAGTGGGGGAAATCCCTCACGGCCAACCCCAAAGATAGCTCTTTGTCTAGCCACCTCTCCCCGTTAACAGGAGGCAACAAAAGCAGGAAAGGCGATTTAACAGCGAGGAAAACCTCCTCTCCACCATATTGGATTTTCTTCCCCCCCTTCTTCAAACAATGCCTCTTATTTGTAACCTGCAATCCACCCTTCAGCCCCTACTAAACCCGCAGCGGAGAAGCTAGCGGTGGCCCCAGGCATCTCCCCCGTTCGAAGGAAGGCAGGAACCAGAAAACCAGAAGCAATCCCCACCAGCAAACCTCACGGGCAGCGGCACTGCCATTTTTTTTTTTTTTTTTTTCTCTCTCTCTCAGCAGCCTGCAGCGCGGTCTGCATCCTCCACAATAGGACAAAGCCCCACCATGGCTCATCCCCCTCCCTCCGCTGCACCCCCCTAAGTGCCATCAGCTGTCAGCTTTCCTCAGGGATGACCAAGATGAAGCGAGAACGCAGGAGAGGATTTTTTTTTTTTTTTGGTGTTTTTTCTTTGGGAGGGGAGGAGGGGGTTTGGGGGGGAAATCAGACAAATTTGACAGGCATGCAGGGCTCGCCCGCCTCCCCATCCCCCTCCTGCTGCAGTCAGAGCTGGATGGAGAGCCGAAGGCTGCAAAGGCGGAGCGGGGATGGAGGGGAGGGGGGGGGGGGGAATAACCAGGTCTGCCTCCACCCTAAACTGGGCTCGGCTCTGGGGAGGGCACGGCTGGATGGACCTGCAGCCACCTCGGGTTTGGGGGTGAAGGGAAAAATAAAATAATAAGGATTGAAAAACAATATATATATATATAAATAAATAAAAAGCAAGCAATAAATTCCCGTTGGCGTTTTATTGTCCGTCGTCCTCCACCCTCCCTCTGCTAAACAACTGCATTTCCTGGGGCCTCCCACGGGCAGTGCCGGGGACCGGGGGCCTCCCGGGAGCTGAGGCGGGGGGGGACCCAGACAGCCGGGGATCGCGGGTGGGGAAGGGGGGAAACATCCAAACATGGGGGGCTGTTATAATCATATAAAAACCAGAACCCAGCGCGGGGGTCTAGGCAGGGAGGAGGGAAAGGGACTCAGGTGGCTGAGCGGGGGAGGGAAGAAGGGGGTAGTGATGAGGGGTGCTATGATAATTAGGTGATATATGAAGGAAAGCACCCAGGTGTTCCGAGGGGGCGAGGGAGACGTAAGCTCAGCACCCAGGCCCCCGCCAAATGTAATATACTGGGGGGGAAGCAGCGAACCCAGGCACCCCAGCCGGGGTTCTGGGGGGGGGGGGGGGGATGTGAGCGCCACAATGGTGACAGATTAAGAAAATGCCCACCAGATCCGAGCGAAAGGGAGGGGGGGGGAATAATCAGGTGAGAAATTGGGGAAGGGACCCCGACATAGAGGGAAGGGAGTGGGGACGCGGGTACCCGAAGCGGGAAAGGAGGGGAAGGGGGGGGGCGGTGGGGGGGGATCAGAGTCCAGGCTGGGAGGGAGGGGGGTGTGTGGTAATCAGGTGAGAGATGGGCAAAAAGCCACCGGCGCCCCTGGGGAGCGGGGATTAACACCCCTGGGAACGATAGGGGGGTGGGGGTGAGGTGGGGGGGGGGGGGGGGGGGGGGACGGCGGGGCGGGGCAGGGCGGCGGCCGACCCGCGGCAGGCCCGAGGCCCAGGCGGGCGACGGCTCCTCCTCACCGTGAGGCCAGTGCCCAGCACGATCACGTCGTACTCCTCATTCATGGCGGCGCGGGGGAGGGAAGAACGGGGTGGTGCGGGAAGGGGGGGGGATCGTCTCTCGAATCTCTCTTTCTCCGCCGGCCGGGGCTGAGGCGAGCCGGGCGCTGCGGGGCCGCGGGAGAAAATGGAGCCGCCGCCGCCGCCGTGAGGAGACCGCGCCGGGAGGGGGCGTGGCCGCGCCGCCCGCCTTGCCAATCACCACCCGACACCGCCCGCCATTGGCTCGCCGCGCCGTCGCTAGGGGGCGGGCGCTGCGCCGGGCCGACGGCGCTGCCACCGTGGTGGGGGGCGCGGCGCGCATGCGCAGCGCGGATCCTCCCTCTCCCTCCTTCCACCCACCCACCCCCCCCCCCGGACAGCACCGAGGGGTCCTCGATTATTTTTTTTTGGGGGTGGGTGTTTGTACACGCGTGTGCACGTGCTGCGTGGGCCAACGGCGCGTGGGTGCGCGCAGCGGGTGGGCGGGCTCCCACGCGGAGCGTGCGACACGCGTGCCCACGCCACGGCGGGCGCGAAGGGCGCTTGCCCGGCCGCCGCGCCCCGGGGAAAGGCTCGCTTCGTTATCTCGACGAACGAGGAGAATTACGCGGCGTTTCTCCTTCCCAAACGGCCCCTTCGCTTCCCGCACGCGGCGCCTCTCCCGTTTCCCCCTTTTCCACCCCAAAACACGTGAAGGAAAGTTTGTGCTCACGCTTAGTGCGGCCAGTCCCCCGCTTCCCCAGCACAGCATCCCCCCAAAGGGGACAGCGCCTTTTTGACAAAATTTGAGCTTTTTGGTTTTGCATTCAAGAGCTGTTCTGTTGTTTTATTTTTTTTTTTTTTTTTTTTTTTCTGATTTTAATCCTCACCGCTACCCCGTCTCCACCCTTTTCCTTGAAGCCACGCAGGAATTCCCCCGGCTGCCCGCTGGTTTGAACGGCCCCGTGGATCAGCATCGCGGCGAAGAGGAGCGAGCCGGGGTGGAAGCGTGTACGCAGCGGCCGCGGCAAAGCTGCTTACATACCTTGGGGCCACCGGAGCGGATTAGGCACCCGCGGGTCTTAAAGCATCTTAATTTGATCGTAGGGTTGCATCCTCCGCATCTACCGGGACGTGAAACGCCGAGGGGAGCGCGGCGGGAGGCGAGGAAGAAGCGGGCAAAGCTCCATCACGCCGCTGCGGTGGCTCGGACGGGAAGCGGAGCGGGCGCTTTTAAAAATGGTTTTAATATTTGGAGGAGCAAAGCGTGGAGGGGTGAACGTGGCTCCAGGGGGGTGGGATCTGCCGGTCCTGAGGCGTCAGAGAACGGTGCTCATGGACGGAGCGGGTGTTCCCTGCTGGGCTTGCACCAAGCTCCTTCAAACCCAGGTCAGTTACAAAATGAAATCATAAAAATCTTCATTTAAGGGGTGTTTAATCTTCCTTTAAGTGTTAGTGAAGGTCAGGCAGCGCTGAGAGGTCAGTGAGAGAGCACACGAGGACTGAGCAACATCAAGAGCGCAGCGGTGACGTTCTCCAGGAGCTAGGGACAAACCTTTCCGCGCCCAGATGCGCAGAAATGGGTGGCAGCATCGGGCCCTTCGGGGATGCCCAGGTTTTGGGGTCCAAGCAGCAGGCACGAGGTTTTCTACCTCCTCTCCATCGTGGGTGAGCATCAGGCAAGCGGCGATCGGCACGAGCCACCGCCACAGATCTCCGTTGGAGAAGTCAGCGACGCGTGAACAGCGTGGGGTGGGATGGAGCAACTCGGTGGCAGTTGAGGTTGGCTTGGAGGAACAGAGCGACATCCGTAGGGACGTACCCACAGTGGAAATGTTGAGACTGGTGTGGGCATAGGTTGAGTGGGAATTTCTGGCTGTGGGAGCAGCAGAAGAGATGGCAAAACAGTTGGTGGTGAGGCACCTGTGGGCTCTCAAGCTCTTGGCTCACGTCTACCACCAGGACACCAGGGTTGAGAGACAACAGCCAGAGAGTGAATCCTCGTAACTCACTGAGAAGGGGAACAGGATAGACTGGAAAATCACCAGCAGCTCCCAAGAAGTACAAAAGGGCACATCCGATGCCGATACACAGTCACCAACCTAAGAAAATCCTGGGAGCCACGATGAGGACAAAATAGCTGCAGTCTGTCCTCAGTGTCATGGTAAGAAAACCCAGCTAGACCACTCAGGTACACGCATCTCGGTGCTTGTGAGTTTGGAGGGGTGTGATGGAGCGACCGCCAGAATAAAATCAGTATTATTTAAAACTTTCCCTTCCAGGAAGGTCTCCCAGCCATGCAACATTATTTCCTACCTATCCACACGCTTCTACTTAGCATCTCAGCCACGTCCTACAAGACGAAGGCATCGGGTCTTCTCCTCCAAGGCTGCAGGAGCAGGAGTGGTTTGCGGGACCCCTGGCAAGCGCCGGCGCTGAGGATGGAAGAGGTGACATAACAGGAGAGCGTCGAAGCCGCGCGCCGGCCGCCGGGCTGGGCTCCAAGCTGCCTTCAGCGCCGCGTGGCACGGAGCCCGGCTCTTGGGCTTCCTCCCCGGGGAGCAGGCGCTCACGGGGGTCTGCAGGCAGGCTGTCTAGCGCTGCCGAGCTCTTCCCGGCGTTTTGCAGGGACGCAAAGGGGTCCCGACCCCTCGCTCCTACTTTGCGGCGAGTAAGCAACCCCTACAACAGCGAGGGAGACAGCAAGGGCTCTTCTCCCAGCTAATTTTGCAGTCAGAAAGATGAATCCACGTTCCTTTTCTAACGCCCTTTTGTACCTGATCATCTGCGATAACAGCCAGTTTGTTTCTGTGCATCTTTTTGTTGCCTGAAGGGCAGATTTAAAAGAAGGGTAAATAAAAGACAGTGCTGGAAACGTGCCGTTACGCGCAGTGCCTGAGCTCCCCGTCCCAGGGGGACGGGCCCTCTGCTACTGTCCAGAAGTCTTTGGAAATCACAAAGCACTCTCAAAATAATGCAGATTTCCTTTTGCCTTTTCAAGGTGTTTGCCACAGCCAGGAGAGCTACAGACAGACATTTGAAAACTTGCTTTCTCACAAAAGCTCAGACTCGCAAGCAATCTGAGCTCGTTAGCAGGGATATTGGGAGGAAACAGCTGTTTCATGGTTTGCTAAAATCATGAAAAGTGGGAATAAAGCAGCCCCTCGCATTTACGGGGTTGCAGTACTGCCGTTTTCTGTTCTGAGGGCAGGACCAGATTTCTGGAAGGATTACGAATCTTTAGAGGAAAAAAGCCACTTGCTCACTGGCTCAGGGGCTGATACACCTCCCACCACCCTGCACCATCAGCACCTTCCAGCATGAATTTGTTTTTCCTCCCTGGTGGAGAAGAATCTTCTTCACAGATTGAGAAACAAGACAGGGGAAGACTGGCAAAACACAGGTCTTTGCAGGCGTGTTTGGAAGAGTCTTAAGATGATGTCAAGCCCCGCTCCTGCCCCTCGTGCAAGCTATCAGCCCCCTCACACAGCCCCCCAAATTATTTTTGTAAGCACACTGCCTCTCCTCGAGCAGCACAAGCCAACAGAGGCCCTAACCCTGCTGTTTAACTTGAGGAGCGTGGCACTGTTGTCGCTCTGGCTTAGGATCATCATGACAAATTCTGCTCTATGGACCGCGGGGTGGAAATTTTTCACTCAAAAAGAACTCGGCATCGTCTTAAACCCTACCCAGGAGCACGTGGGTCACGCGTCAACCCATGGCATGAACACCACAGCTTGGGCAGAGCAAAACCTAGCTCGCTCGCTCAGTCATAGGCCTGATTTGCCAAAACTGCAGAATCCCGTTGGTTTTTACGTTCTGACATTACATACAGACAGGGGAGCGCCATGTTTCTATGCAAAACCAAATTTCTAATTCCAGATGCCTCCAAATAAACCAAACAGCTACAGTAGCTCTTACCTTTATGTGTATTTCAGACTGTTAGAGACTTATTGGCTACCTGAAATATGAAGCCATTTCCCCATACACTTCAAAAAGCAGATTTTTTTTTTTTTTTTTTTTTCAAGTTCATCAGTGGTGAGAAGTTCCAAGCAAGACTGTCTGGAATAACAAATAGCTCTTTTTCAGTCTGACCCAAAGATCCTCGATGTCGTCACAAGGTTGATGTCTTGCTATTGATTTCAGCAGGCTTTGGGCTCAGGCTTGGGCCACAAAAAGGATGTAAGAAGTTGATGCAGCTTGAAGGCTCCCTGCACTTGTCCTCTGCAGCTGAAACCTGATGAAGGAAGAGTCACCAGGGGCTCACTTACACAGCACTGCACTCAGTCTCTCTCGGGCCACCCGAAGAGGTGGCCACTTAAAGCAACTTAAGAGTTTAGTGGAGAGCAGGTCCATTAAAGGCTATAAAAATTAATGATCCAGGTGTATCTTCTCCTTCTGGAGGTCCGCTGTATGGAAACATCCCAGCAAGAGCTAGGCAGGCTCCAGCCAATTGAAGCCATGCAGGTCCCCAGAGGTCATCCAGCGGTGGCCCACGGGCACCTTCCTTGGACGGTTATACCTCAGGGACCTGCGGCCCCAGCTCTTTGGATGTGCTGGGTGCTGCAGAAGAAGAGGTGAAGTTCAGCCCTGAAATTTGGAACTGAAAGAAGAACAGCCGTAAATTTACAACGATGGGGTCAGTACAGGAATGCAACAGCCAATAGACCCATTCTCTTTTTGAGATAATCCTATTTAAAACATGCTTTTCCTGTCCATTATCTTTTTAAGATAATCCTACTTCAAATACATTTTCTCCCAAACAGACTTCCCAAGTATCAAGCTTGGTTTCTCTGCTCAACCCTTGTGCAAAACCCCCGTAATTTTAAACAGGTGTTTGCCTAAATCTGAATAGTTATTAAGCGATAAGTAAAGTACCACACTGAAATGAAACGCGTTTCTCTTTTTCCCAGTTGCTCTCACGCGCTGACGTTCGTTTCCTGGAAAACCTGGATGACATCTGGCTTCCTCGCGAGCTGCTGCGCCAGCGTGCCCGTGCCATCCGGGGCATCCCGCAGCCCAGCGTGGAGCAGGATCCGTGCGGCGTCCGCCTGCTGCCCAGCGCACGCAGCGTGCAGGGCTGGAGGGGGGGGAAATGGAGACAAAATGTCGAGATAAGAGCTGAGATTGCCCAGTGGGTTCGGTCTCAGCCCGCATATCAGATGAAAACATCAGATTCCCAGCGAAGGAAACACACCGAGGGGGGAAAGGATGGATGGCTTTTCCCAGTTGCAACACGTGATGGCACAGCGGGGCTCAGCAGCAGCAATGGGATGACTAAACGTGCACGAGCAGGGCACGCATCCTCTTCCTCACCCAGCCACGCTGGTAGAAAAGCGATCAGCCTGGCTTACCCCAGCTATTACCCCCGCTTCCCCCCCTCACAGATTACTAGTCCCTCCAATCCATCAAGCGGTACTAACGTGGCTGAGCCAAAGCGAACCAGGTTTGGGAGCATTTAAGCCAACTTGGTTCATTCTGACTGAGTTGTGGGCAGAGGGTACTCACAGCAGGAGGCTGTGGGACAGAGCAGAAGGCCTCTGGGCTTCTTACTGCTCTGCGTTTGGGGTTGATTTAATAGTGATGGGTAAAAGAGGGGCTTGAAACTACTCTGGATGTGACCGGGATCCTTTGTGGGCTGGGGGTCCCTGCCAGCTCATGCTAGGATCAGGAAATAAGTGAGAAAGGTTTCCACGTGCTGTGTACAGCAAAGAGCATCCCATAGGAAGAGGCTGAAAAACTCCAGCCCAAGCCCCAGCTCGTCCCACAGACCTGTCTGACAGCTAGCACGCTGATCCAGCGTGGCTCCAGCACAGTTAGGCAGTGCTGTTACGCTTGGTTTGTGTAGCAGGGTGAGTCAGCCTTGACCTCCTGGCCTAATCCTGCCCAGGAGCGAGTATCTTTTACGCCGAGGGTCGTTAGCTCCTGCTGCAGGCTGATGTTGATCATGGGGCATCCTGATCGCCACGGATAATCCACGCAGGACACTTTGCAAGAGCAGAGGCTGGGTGAGAAGCTCCCCGGGACGCAGTGACGCTAAGGCAGCGAAGGTGCTGGGGAACGGGGCAGGCGCAACGAGCCACCACAAAAGTCCCAGGGTTGGTCAAGTTCTGCAAAGCTCAAATTTACTCACTGGGGGAGGGTGGAGGAAGAGCTGCTCGGCGCTGAAGCGTGTTATTAAGCCAACCTTAAGACTGGGTAAGTTGCCAATTTTGGCAATGGCTGAAACCATTTATATAGACTTTTTTTTTTTTGAGAGATGCTGATGCAAGAGATGCCTCAGACTCTCACACAGGGAATGCCAACTTACTGGCATTACTATAGCAACTATATTTACGTTCAAGCTCTCTGTTGTTATTTGCTCATAAACCATTTCTAGGTAGTTTGCTAAGGAATTGAGGAATTAAGACCTTGTGCACTCATTGTATTTCTCTGCCCACCCTAACCGTTTCAAACTGGCTAATTTCAACCAAATTTGATGGCGAGGCAGCCGTAGCAAAGAGACTAAGCTCCTGAATGTCTCAAGCAAAATAAGCAGCTGGGTAAAGAGAAACACCAATTAGCATCTCTGTTCTTCCCCCAAGGGAAAGGCCCCAGTGCAGGCTCAGACACACCATTAGACATCAAAGTCCAGCAGGAAGAGAGCCAGTGAATGAAAGCTGAAAAAAAAAAAAAAAAAAGAAAGAAAAAAGCAACAAAAACCCAGGCTTCACATGTCACGCTGCTCCAAGATCCATTTGCAAACATGCATCTGGCATCTCCTTGCATGCTCGGCTGAGCAGACGCAGCGTGAGCTGCTTTGGAGGCTGGGCTCCTGTTACTAAAGCGCGCTTTCACTGTCAAACAGAGGGTGAACAAATCGCTCGGCAGCCTTACCGGAACGGCTCTTCCCATCCTTTGCGTGGACGTCAGCTCCAAGGGACAGCAGGGTCTGGATGGTGCGCGTGTGTCCTTCCTGTAGCAGTGAGCACAGGCGAATGGGTTATTGATTCAGAACCAGCTCTGCATAATTTCTCACCTTTGCATTCAGCGGAAATAACACCGGCCTGAAAAGAAAAGAGGCTGCAAGCAATCTGTCCCTAACACACAGCACCTGGAAGGGCACAGACGCAGATTCACTCTTTCATGGTCAAATCTGGGGGTAGCAAGAGCTGCTTCAGGTTCCAGAGGACCTTACAGCAGCTGGAAATGAGGGTCAGCTGCCCGTGGCAGTGTAGATTGGGTTCATTAGCCAGGGATTGCACAGCAGACACACCATGTTACCCCAGGGGAACTAGCCAGAGAGATGCCACCGAGCACCTTTTCCAGCCCTTGTGCCAGCAGCCCCTGAGAGGACTTGGAGCTTGGCCCTCTGTCAGTGTGTCTGCACACCTTGCGTGTTCCTGGCAGGATTTTTGATCCCGAGGCTGAAAAAGCAGCGAGAGGCATCCCAAGAGCATAATTCTCTCTGCGAACACTCAACACAGTGTTTTAAAAATCAAAATTAAGGCCAATAGCGCTTCAAATCACGCGACAGTGCCGAGCTGTCTCCGGTGGAGGTGGTGGCACAGCCGAAGACCGAGAGTGGTGTGTCGGCAGGGCAGGTTGTGACAGACACACAACCCAGTCCAGATCCAGGCAGGCAGATCAGCTCTTAGACAAGTGGAGATCCCATATGATCTTCCCGATCACCATCAATAGATCCCCCTTGTGCAGCCAGGTGTGAGGAATTTGGGGGACTGGCTCCCCGCGCAGCTTTGCCTTTGCTGGTGGCTGTGGAGGAGTTAATGCACAAATGACCTCTGGCAACTGGGTGACACAACCTAAAGATGTTTCTTAAGAACAAATTAGCGTGCTAATTTGTCAACCAATCTTGCCTTTGCCTCTCCAGTCCTCGCCTCCAATCAAGTAACTCAATTAAATTGCTTTTAACTTCAGCTGGCCACAGAGCTGGAGGATCCCTGACTTACCTTTCATAATTGGCAGCTGGCTGTTTGTTAAAAGGACTAAACGTCAGCAAAAAGCCGTGTTTTCCCACACTGTAAATCCACTTCAAGTACCACAGGGATCTAGAATTGCTCTTCCTGAGGTGTATTTCAGCTCAGAGAGCAGAACCTACTGCTGAGGTGGACTACTGCGCATCTGCCTGCTGCATTTCCTAAAGGATTACTCCAGTATTTGTAATGCCCTGTGAGAAGACGCAGAACACCACGCTTACACACTGTCACGACGCACAGCGTCCTCTATCTTTCCTCTGCTGGTAGCCAGTTTTAAACGCTGCAGGGTAAAAAGCAATACAGCCCCCCCCACCCCTCCTCTCTGCACAAGCTTCTCCGTAAATAAATCCTCTCTCCCTAAATAACACGCCTGATTTCGTAATTACTTCTTCAGTGCAATGAATTAGTCTTTGTCGTGTGGCATGAGAATGGAAGGCTCTTATTTTTATCCCCACCACCCACTCTTTTCCCCCATTATCGTACGACTCGGTAGCATCTTCCCCCCTGCTCAAGACTCCCATTTCCCTGCTGCGTGTACACCCCCTCTCAGAGGCAAAGACAGCAAGCCAGGAACTGCTTTAGCTGCCACAGTCTTGGCAGCAGATTGAGTTGAAAGCGTAATTTGATTTTCATGTATTCATAAATGCAAAGTAATAAGAAAAGAAGAAAAAAAAAAAAAACAAAAAACCAAAAACACAAACCCACCAGCCAAACAAATGATGCTGTAAATATAAAGTGACACTGAGCCTCAAGAAGGAAGAGAAACCCATCAAATTGCTCCACAACCAGCCGCTCGCCAAGACAGAGCTGGGATCTTCTCCAAGGCACATTATATTCCCCAATAGCCTTGCTGTTAAACGTACCCTTGGCAACCGAAAGGGCTTTCAACATGGTTTCTCAGAGCATGAGGAAGGGAAGCTGGGAGAAAGGCCTCCTTTGTGGGAGCCAGCAAATGCCACGGCTGGGTCCTGCTGGAGAATACTGTTGCCAGCATTCCCAGTAAGTGTCATTGATGCTTTTGTAGGAGCGAGGCACTGGGATGCTGTTTCGTTCCCTCTACAAGTCTAGACCGGGCTTTGAGTGCTGCATGTTAAAGCTCAGGAGGTTTAACAAGCAGGGATCTGAGCAGGGACCTTCCCTTGCCACCGGCTGCCAGCATACTGCACCCTGTGGTGCCACAGCACGAAGCAGAAGGGAGGCAGCAGGGTCCCAGGAGGGGATCCTGGTGAGCAGTGAGGCTTTTGGGATCTGCTCCGCGCTCCCAGGGAGCGTTGCAGGACCCAGAGCCCACCAGTGCAAGCCCCGCTTCCCGGCGTGAGATGGGAGTTGGAGAAAGTTCAGATGACTCCGCTTGGAATTCAAAACAGCTCCTGTGTGAAGGACACAGATAAGCGCCTAGGAGCTCCCTCCGCCTTTCCACCTCTCCTTTCTCACATCTGGCCATGGGCAGGCCAAAATCGAGGGACAAACAGTTGCTGTTTCACAGCTTCTTCTGTCTAGTGAGCTGCTGACATGGAAAGTGGCTAATGACCCACTGGGACCCAAGCCACCAGGGCTGGAGAAAGACAGAGAAAGAAATCTGAGCAGCATTTCATCCATGTCTCCTCTGCCACGCAAGTGAGAAAACACCAGTGAAGAACTGTCACAGCTCACAAATTGTTGGTACCGACAGCTCCAAGTAACTAGCAAGGTGGATTCCCTTCAGGAATTGCACTTTGGTCTAAAGGCAGCAGAGTAGAAGAGTAATGCTCTGCAGAGGTGTGGGTCAAGTCCTGTCCACAGCACGGCCAACTGGATGGGTGGCAAAGGAGCTGTGCCCTCTCGCCTCTGCTCCTGCACGATCCCACTCAGCCACACGCCAGGCAGGAGGGTTTACTAAGCCACAGCACAGGCAGCGGTGTGGGCAGGAGGGTGGTGAACAGAGCAACTCGTGCACACCACCACTCTGCAGACAGTTGGACACACTTAATGAGGGTCTAAAAACCATTAAACAGGGTATGGGACTGGTCAGGAGCAGATAGACAGTGACAGAGGATGAGCTAGGAATGTAAATCCTCCGTCTAAAACAGCGTGTTTTAAATGCCTGCCTGGAGCACACCAACTGGCAAAGACTTTGTAGAGGAAGCCTGGGAAAGGGAACAAACCTTGGCTGCGTAGTGCAGCGCCGTGAGCTGGAGGGCCGACACTCTTTCGTTGACATCGACCCCCAGCTCGGAGACGAGGAACTGGATGGATTCATCCTGGGCTGTGAGGGCTGCCCGGTGCAGAGGTTGAGCGCCCAGCGCGTCCAAGGCTGAAGGACAGGCCTGGAATGGGGAGGAGGGAAAGGGAAAAACAATGAACAGCCTGGCCAAAGCTTCAAGGACAACCATCAGCCCAAGCCAAATGCCGTCTGCCTGCCACGGGGACGGCAGTGAACACGTAGGGTGTATGAGCAGGACTAGTGCAGTTGGTAGCACTGTGATTTGCAGATCAGAGCCAGCTGTCTGCTGAGCTTTTTAAGTGATAAGCAAAACTAATGCCAAAAAAAGAACCACCAAGCCCCCTCTGTCTTCAGCTGAAGCACATATGATGGGTTTCAACTCTTTAAAGCAGCAAGAAACAACCCAGCTCCAACTTTTGTGCTGGTGGAGAACCTGGACGCAGGTAGAGGGAGGGAGATGGGCGGATGACCCGATGAGGTCTCTTCTGTGAGTTTCTGAACGCGAACCGCAAAGACGTTAAAATAAGAAGGGAAACAGAAGTAACACACAATGCACTCATCTTAAAGAGTACAATCCAGCCTCCTGAAGTCTAGTGGGCCTGACTCATGGTTTTATAAAACCTAGAAGGTAGTAACACCGCCATTAGAGTTTCCAGTGCTGCTTTATGGCAGCAAGCCAAGGCACCACAACGAGGAAATTAAATCAGCTATTCCATCTTCATTGCCTGAAATGTGAGACTGAAAACATAAGCAAACTTCACAAATGTTTTATCCTGCAAGGACCAGATGAGCGAAGACAGGCACATGAATGTCTCCTGAAGTCAACAAGTACCTACACACTCAAACACAACCTGGGCATCAAACCATCTCTGCTGGCTGAGGCTACGTTTTATGGCTGAGTAAATCCAAAGCTTGTGATCTTGAAAAGTCTGGTACCACATTCCCTGGCCCACTCTGTGCCACGCCGGGTGCTCAGCTGGCCAATTCAACCTGCCAGCGTGGCACAGATTCACTGGTTTTGCCATGCTAGCCTTCTGCCAGGCCAACAAGGTGCACATGGTGTCCAATAACCTCCAGAGCTGGCGGAGGGGAGAGCCAAAGTGAGAGCAAAGTAGGTGAGAAGGGAGGCACAACCCCACTTTGGTGAGAATCAGTCATGAGGTGGGCTCCAACCACCTCGCATCAATTCAGCAGTCAATAAATAACGCAGTGGTTTGGTTCCTGCTACGCACAATCGGCTTTAACGATATCCCTGTTACGCCTTGTATGTTGGAGGAAATTGGAGATTACTGGGAGACAACATGGAAGCAGCAGCTGCTGTGAGAGAGGGAGGCTAGAGATGAGCTGCTGCCAGCGCAGCCAGACGCCTCCATGTTATCCACCCTAAGAGCTGCCACGAGAGTCTCCACGCTGAGCCCTGACACTCCCGAGCGTCGGTCTTGGCTTTGACACAGCTGCCCCCGCAGCGCTGGGCAAGTCCTGTCCCCCTCCTGCCACCACTTTGTGTCTCCATCCCCCTTCACCAGCTACGGGGACATATCCCTGCCCCAGGGGGAGATCTTCACCATGACCTGCGTCCTGGTGGCCTTACTTAGCAAAATCTTGCTCATCCCCAGGGGGAATTTGCCTTTTTTTGCAATTGACTTCTTCATAATTTGGGCATTTGCTTCTTTACAATAGGGGCAGGATGAACGCGTGGATTGCCTGTCCTGGCAGTTCTAGGTCAGGTGCTGGAAGGAGGTGGTGAGGTTTTTGGCACCTACCTGGTGTTTTTCCAGGAGCAGCCGGGCAATGTCGACATGCCCGTTCTGGATAGCATCCATAAAGGGAGTGACTCCACATTTGTCTCTGCTGTCGGGTTTGTACTGGCACCTGGAAGAGAAGACAAAAGCCAGGCAGGAGTTATCGGTGGCTCTAAAAATCCTTACGGCACTAGCTGCTTTGCATTGGTGGGGCAGGAGTCTATCAGCAGATGGGATTGCAAAAAGCCTGCCCATCAACCATGCATAAACCTGTCTTGGTGCACTATGGCCTGGGGTATGGTCTGCTAGGGGATTTCGGGGTCAGAGATCTGGTATTGGGCTGCTGCAGCTCGCTCAGATGCACAAAAGCCAGGGGTCTACACACTGTTTTTATTTCCCTTCCTTGCCCCCCTGAACAGAGGATCTCTGGAAGGGGCAAGGTGTGTACAGGCCTTGCAGTGGCAGAGGGGAAAACCACATCCTCACGTCACAACGCCATATGCAAAAAAATCAAAGCCCACAGGTCTCGCTCAGATTAAAGCTCCATTGAAATGAGAGAAGACCGAATTAAAATTGAAAGCCTGGCTCAAATCACAGGGCTATGTTTATGCTGGGCCAAGCATGGACAGGAATTAACAAGGCTGGGATGGGCTGGCTAACAGGAGCTGCGGCTAGCGGCAGCTGCGATGCTCAGGGAAAGCTGCTCCAGCTCTGGCAGCGGGCAGTACCGGTTAGGAAGGTAACAGGGTCAGGATGACTGGGCACAGGCTGATTTAAAGCCACTTCACAGCAGAGCCACAGCCTGACAATAAAGCCTGGAGGCTAAGTCCAGCCTAGAGGAGCTGCACCCAGAACCAAGCTTTCAGAAAACAGTTTTGTTGTTAACATAAGCCTCGGACACATCGGAAGCCACAGGAATGAATCAGCACAGAAAAAGAGCCGAGTTATATAACCAGGGTTTATGTCATAGTGAAGTCAGAGCCCGTCGGAGCGTCCTTGTCTCAAAGGCCCCTTAACCAGCTGTAAAAAACCTGGAGGAAACGGAGACGGCCTCGGGATCGCACGCAGGGCAGCTGTGCAACCCGGCTTCCCGACCGGCATAAACACCCTTTGTGTCCGGGCGGTGAATGGGAGGCGGGGGAGAACGGGGAGGCAGAGGCAGTGCTGGGAGGAAGCTGGCTTACCGCTCCAGGAGCAGCTCCACAGCGTCAAAACAGCCGTGCATTGCTAGGAGAGAGAGGAGGAAATGCACGGTTAATTCATGTTTTCATGCCACCATCCGCCTACAGTGAAACATAATCAGGTTTCTGACCCTTTTGGCTTATTCATGATGAAGGAAGGGGTTCCAAATTAAATCCAATGCTTTTTATTTATTTATTTAGTAATTAAAGCATTGTCTCCAGATCTCAAGTCTTCCCTTTCCCTGATCCTATAGGAAAACACCAGATAAAACAGGGAAAAGGCAGGCATATAAGGCACCGTCTGCCTCTACCTGCAGAGTACATGCGTGAGAGCATACATGCAATTAAGCTGACACAAAGATCTTTTCTTGCAAGTATTTGTTAATCCCCGAAATGAAATCTGTGAGAAGCACAAGGAACACAAAGCAGGGAACTGGTGAATAGCTGGATGGTGTTTCCACCCCTCCTCAGCCACTCAAACTACCCATCACTCCCATCTCATCATCCTAATGAAGCATCTTCACCCAGACAGAGGGAAAAACAACAACAGTGGGGGAGGATTTGAACACCATGCACTGAAATATTCTAGTTTTTTAAAACACATTGTGGTACAGCAATATAAGGACAGCCTTGATCTGTCCTTTTTTTTTTTTTTTTTTTTTTTTTGGCAGGTCATTTTGCAAAACAAATGTAATACATTAAAGAAAAAAAAAAAAATCAGACCAAGCCTGGAGCTGCTACATCAGGCTATTTTCTCTGTGCGATGGGAGAAAGGCTCCTGACAAATGTGTGTTACCAGCAATAACCTTCAGACGCAGCTGCACAATAGATGCTCTTTAAAAGCCCAACAAGGCGCTCCCATCCTCCCAGACCTTGGCCATTTGCTCCTGCTCCCTGCCCATTTATCACCCCTTCACCTGACCTGATGTAAATACGGGCAGAGCCACACTCTTAGAAGGATTTTTGAAATGGAGGCTTTAAAAAACCCAAGCTATGTGAAGAAAAAACACCCCAAGCAACATGATTATATCCTTTAGCAGCAACAGAGACACAAGCAAGCTGCAGCGCTCAGACCCACTGTTGCACTACACTTCCTCTAATTACATCTCCCCCACTCTCTTGCCTCAGGCTACAGATATATGAAGCAGCAAAGCTTAAGGAATCAACACAAAAAAAATTGCATAGGGGCAGAAAATTACCCATCATCTATCCAGGGCTAACTGTGCCAGGAAGCCAGCTGGACTGGTCACGGGTTAATGTGCTCATATCCACACCCTTGGGATGTAAATTCATCGAGACAGTGGTTCATCTTGACATGATTTCCCCCTGCAGCTCCAGCATCATCTCTGGCCCCTCACCCGTGCCCCTGCCTCAGGAGCTGTGCCTGTGTCAGTGGGCTATGCGGTGGTGGGTGTGGGGATGCTGGCACCAGCACCCACCCAGCAGCAGCCTGGGTTAAAATTATGTTGGGGGAAAAGGTGGTTTAAGCAGCTCCAGCTCTTCCCACTGCCCCGTCACTCCCACACCAGCTGCTGCTCTGCCAATGTGTGGTCCAGGGTCTAACCTGGATCAGTAAACCGACCAGAAATCAACCCAAATCATGGGTTGATGGCTTTGCCATGCTGAAAGTCAAACATAGGAGGTGACACAGAGGTGGAGACACCTCTGTGACACAGAGGTGGAGACACCTCTGTGAAGCAGTGAAAACTGGGAGCTGGATCCCACCGTCACTATCTGCACCCAAGCACGACGAGGCAGGGAGGAGACTTTAAGCTCAAGGTCAAAACCACCCCTTTTCCTCAGAACAGTCCTCACCCCACTCCTGACATTGTCCCCAGACCCTCAATCCCCAGATCCCAACCCACCATCCACCTCCCTGTGGGAAGAGGGCTGCAAGGGGGCTGCGAGCCCCGCCTGCTAGCCCAGGCACAGAAACACAAATCCTGGGATTGAGCAGGGACAAGACAAAGCACAAATAAATGAGGATTAGCCATTTCTCATTTCAGGCAACCCGCTCCTCGCCGCCCAGCCTGAAACATCAAACAACTCAGCTGCTATTTTTCATTCCCAGGTCAAGCACAAGGACTAAGGCACAGCCAATGCCCCTGGGCTGGGACTGTCACTGCTGATGAGCACAGTGTGGTGGACAGGCGGCTACTGAGGGGCCAGAGAAGTAACAGCGATGACAGCCAAGGAGCAACACACCCGACAGATTAATTACAGCACAGCAGGGGTCTTCTCGCAATACCTCGGGTCTTGCCAGAGAGTCAATCCCTATTAAATTGTTTGAGAAATGAGTTTAGGTAGCCAGAGTTTTGAGCGGTGGCTCCTCGCGCTCATCTCTCCTGTGGAGACACTGCCAAGCACTGGGACATTCAGCCTAATCCCCGCTCAGGGACGGGGCACGTTTCAGATTCAGGTCAGCCATCGCCCCCCCCAGCCCTGAGCCTGCCCCACAGCATCACCCTGACTTCACCATCCACTCTCACTGCATCTCCTGAGGGCAGAGTTAAGGGGATTTAAGCTCTGGGAAGACCCAAGCTTTATCTGCACTGCCTAGCTTACACAGGTCTGTGGGTAAACAGACCTGATACTTTGTGAGGGGCAATGAGACATGGTGGGACAAACTTTATTCTGCACTAAAAGATTTTTGGGCCTTTCAACTTACTAAGACTCGGAGAACTTAACTGAGGCACACCTTCTGAATCATTCATAAATTAAGATGAATCACTCCCTCTCAAGGATGAAAGAGTCAGAAAGCCAGAAACCAAATCCAAACCGCCTGTGGGTCTCTGTTCAGCTAACTGTGCCCTTCTGCTCCCCACCACACCTGGTGACGTCTATAGTTCTTCAAACCAGTTCACTTCCTTTCTTTGTCCTTTTAAACCAACGAAAGGGGCAGAGATGTGGAATCAGACATGGTGAACTCCAAACGTAACAAGAGCCCCAGTGTATTCCCAGCAGAGACTGTCCTTCCCCTTTGCAGAAAGGCACTCTGGATTTGTCACCACTAGATACTACCTTCTCAAGAGCAACGTGAGAATACCAAAACCTGCGATGCTACTTCTGGAAGTTATGCCTAGAGACCCTACAGCTCTTCAGATTTGCCATAATGACCTAACCCACCAAGAATTCAGACAAAAAAGTATAATTTCGACAGACATGTCTCTTGTACAAACTGAGGACAAGGCTATAAACCAAACTGGTAAAAACGTCTATCAACAGACGCATCCCAAAAGATGCCTCTCAGCAGCTCTGCTGCTTTTAGGACTTTTAAAATGCCAGGATATACTTGGGGCCTTGCAGATTTTCGAAGAGAAATTCGCAGCTTTATAGGCCAGCAAGGAAAAGTGTATTGTAATGTGTTCTGAGCCGTGGGAGCTTAGACCTATCTGTCACAGGGAGGCAGAGATGGAGACAAACACTCTGGACCAAGGAAGCCAAACTCAGTGGGTGGTCACGAGCGCTCCTGGGATGGATCCACCACTCCCAAGAGAACATAACTGTTACACACCACAAAACCACGCTTTGAGTACAAGCAAAATCCAGTGAAATGGGAACTGAGGATCCTCCAAATCTCACAAGCTCAGCCTTTGGCACATCACTAAGAAATATTAAGCCTAATTCTTGCTGTTTATTTATCTGAAAACAACTGTCTGTTGTGAGGTGAAACCCTGCAGAGATGCAGCAGAGCACTGTCAGCAGACAGAAGTTCAGAGAGGTGAGCTCCCACTAACATCCACCACTGGCCTCTTTTAATTTAATTTCAGTAACTTAATATTTAACTCTTTCCCTGTTGTTTTGCATCAAGGTAAGTGACACTTTGCTTCTCCAAACTAAACGTTAGATGAAACAGCAGCCCTTTTCTGTTCTCTGCTGCCACCACAGCCCACTCTTCCAACCCACCTGGTGGCACTGGGACCCTTTTTTACCTGCTGTGTGCAGAGGTGTTCTCTTTATTGTGCTCTCTGTGTCCCAGCTGCTCGGGGACACGTCCAGCAGGTACTGGAGGACATGGGGATGGCCCTCCCGGCTCGCGATGTGGAAGCAATTCCAGCCATCCTTATTCTTCAGCAATGGGTTGGCTCCATGCTCCACGAGAGCTTTGATCACCTCCAGGTTTTGTCTGGTGCAAGCCATCATTAGGGGAGTCCTGAAAGAAAGAGGAGACAAACATAATAACAAGAGAGACAGTGCCTGATGAACCTGATGGCTTTTGTTCTAATGTCTGAGCTCGAAGCATGATTTAAAGTTGTCTCTAGCATCAACTGGCCTGTCTAATAAATCACAGTAGCTCAGTGCCAGCTGCGGTGAGCTAGCCAGAAGGAAAACATGGCCTAAAACCACGCTGAGGTAGTACAAAACTTTGCTGGCTAAAGGCAAAGACCTTCTCCAAGCCTGAGGCTGAATTTATCATCTCACCTGGATGTGGATGCTTTGACTGAGGGTCACCACGCGCTGCATGTGGAGCCGTGAGATTTTACAACACTGCTTTTTCACGCAAGTAACACGGGGGTCTGGGCTTCTGGGGACTCCTGATAGAGCTGTTGGTATATCAGTGTTTCTAACCCGAGCCAGGCAGCTGTGGCTGCAGGCAGCAAACCACAGGCAACTCCACATCTCCTGGCAGTAGAGCATGAGTGTACCAGCAAATGCCACTCTGGAACATTACTGATGCAGCTAGCCTGAAAAATGAACCTTTTTAGTTTTGTCTTGTTCTGCATGTCTGGGGGCAACCTTTGATATTTAAAAGCATAAAATGTTCCAGTGGTAAAGACAGATAAGGACAGGAAGAAAGTGCTGAGAAAGGAGATAAAATCTCCAGTGATGGAGATTTTTAAGAAGAGATTAGACACACGTCTGCTAGGGTAGAGCTGAGCCTGGGTCTCCATGTTTTCTGCTGCTTCGTTTCTGTACAGTGCCTCAGATGAGCGTATATTTTCAATGCAAATGAGACTTTGTCCGAGGGCTGGGACATGCACTAGCAAGCACGTAGCTCTGCATTTTTAAACCGTGGATGGAAGGATACTGCAAGCCTATCACACAAAACCAGGCTCGCACACGCGCCTGCACACAGCTCGTGAGAACTCAGCCTCCCTCTGCTCCCCCTGATGTCAGCAAGACGCTGGCACAGCCTTGAATTAGGAGGACTGGGACGTTGCCTTTGTATTTGTGTTAGCTCAGCTTCAAAACAACCTCCTCTAGCTTTAATACGTGGGCTAGGGAGAATCTCGGCTTTCTTTTGCAAGGTGAGACACAGAAATCTCCCTCCCCAAAAAGAGAATTTGACATTCATCAGGCCTGCTGCTTGTCTGTGGATTAGGCTGTATTTTTTATTCCCAATTCTCATTCCCTCACCATTTGCTTATGTGTTACCCACATGGCACACAAACAAAAGCCCTGAAGAAACCAGCTGTTACTTGAGTTGTCGAGACTGTTGATATTATATCAGTAGCAAATATGATTTAAGAGGTTCTGTTTGCTAGGGGAGAAACAAACTTACTTTTTATCTTCTTATTTCAGAAGACTGGGACACAAAAATGTGAATCAGGATCACTGATTCCCATCAACCAGGGGAGTGGGGAAGAATGAATAGCTGTGGAAGAAAGCTTTTAAATTGGATCTGATACTGAAGCAGTAATTTACAACTTCTATGATAAACAGGGGAAAATCAGTAATAGGGCTGAAATTTCACCCAGAAAGCCAACAGTACCGTGGGCTGCATCCAGAGCAGGGGGGGCAGCAGGGCCAGGGAGGGGATTCTCCCCCTCTGCTCCGCTCTGGGGAGACCCCCCTGCAGTGCTGGGGCCAGCTCGGGGGCCCCCAACAGCAGAAGGACACGGAGCTGCTCGAGCGGGGCCAGAGGAGGCCACGAAGGTGCTGGGGGGGCTGGAGCAGCTCCCCTGGGAGGCCGGGCTGAGAGAGTTGGGGGGGTTCAGCCTGGAGAAGAGAAGGCTCCGGGGAGCCCTTCGAGCGGCCTCCCAGGGCTTAAAGGGGGGACAGGAGAGGTGGGGGGGGACTCTGGGTCGGGGGGTGGGGATAGGACGAGGGGTGATGGTTTTACACTGAGAGAGGGCAGATTTAGATGAGATCTAAGGCAGAAATTGTTCCCTGTGCAGGGGGTGAGGCGCTGGCCCAGGATGCCCAGAGCAGCTGTGGCTGCCCCCTCCCTGGAAGGGTTCAAGGCCAGGTTGGACAGGGCTGGGAGCCCCCTGGGCTGGGGGAAGGGGGCCCTGCCCGGGGCAGGGGGGTAGGACTGGGTGATCTTTAAGGTCCTTCCCAACCCCAACCATTCTGTGACTCCATGATTCAAAATGACAGCTCCCGCAATCACACTCCCACCTTCTGCAGCCAAACCCCTTTAAGGTATCGCTTTGACCCACTTCAAAGCAAACCAGCGACCTACCAGTCTGCCTTTTTCAAGCAATCTACGCTCGCGCCTCTCTCCAGGAGGTAGGAAACACACTCCCTGTGGCCCATGGAGGCCGCTTCATGGAGGGGTCTTTTGTAGTCGCTATTGACCACCTCAACATCCATCCCCAGCGACTCTACCAGGTAGGCAAGGACATCCCGGTGCCCGTATCGGGCAGCGTGGTGCAGCAACGTGTCCCCCGAGCGCCCGTAGCGCTGGCTCTGCTCCGCCGGGCCCAGCTCGTCCCGCAGGAGATCCAGCCGTCCCTCCTGCACCAGCCGCAGGAGCGGCCTCGGCCTCTCCCCCTCCGCCATGGCTAGAGATCTGGAAGGGAGAGGCACAAAGCGGGATTATGGTTTCAAGCAGTGTGACTACAACGGCTGCTCCCCGAGTCAGGATAAACAGAAATTACCTCTTCCCTCCAGAAAAACAGAACCCGGCCTCTCCCTCCAGAAAAGCAGAAATTTCGTTTTCTCTCAGCGAATCTACAAACCAGGCTCTCCCTCAGGATAACCAGAAATTTCCCTTCTCCCTCCAGAAAACCAGAAACCAGCCTCCCCCTTCAGGAAAATCCAGAAATTTCTTTCTCCCTCCAGAAAATCAGAAACCAGCCTCCCCCTTCAGGAAAATCCAGACATTTCTTTCTCCCTCCAGAAAACCAGAAACCAGCCCCCCCCCCCCTTCAGGAAAATCCAGAAATTTCCTTATCTCTCCAGAAAACCAGAAACCTGCCTCCCCCTTCAGGAAAATCCAGAAATTTCCTTATCTCTCCAGAAAACCAGAAACCAGCCTCCCCCTTCAGGAAAATCCAGAAATTTCCTTATCCCTCGGGAAAATCCAGAAACCAGCCTCCCTCTTCAGGGAAACCAGAAATTTCCTGTCCCCTTATGAAATCCAGGAACTGGCACTTTCTCCAGAAGAGCAGAAATTACCTTTTCCTGCAGGAACAACAGGAATCAGCCTCTCCCTTGGGAAAAACATAAATTTAATTTCCCCTTGGGAAAATTAGGCACTGGTCTCTCCCTCCAGAAAATAAGAAATTTCCTTTCCCCTAGGAAAACCAGGATCTGACCTTTCCCTCAAGAAAAACAGTAATTCTCTTTCCCCTCAGGAAAACAAGAAATTTCCTTTTCCTTTGGGAAATCCATGAACCAGATGATCCCTCAGGAAAAACAGAAATTTCCCTCAGGAAAATCAGGAATCAGCTTCTGACTCCAGAAAAAAAAAAAAAAACAAACAAACAAAAAAAAACAAAACAAACCAAAACAAAAAAAACAAAACAAAACAAAAAAAAAAAAAAAAACAAAAAACAACGAAACAAAACAAACCAGAAATTCTCTTTCCCCTTCAGAAAATAATTTATTTTTCACTCGGGAAAACTAGAAAATGGCCTCTCACTCAGGAACATCAGAAATTTCCTTCTCCCTTAGGTAATCCCCCAAATTACTTATCCTTCATTAAAACCAAAAATTTCCTCTCCCTTAGGAAAAAGAGAAACATCTCCTTCCCCTCAGGAAAAACAGAAACCAGCATCGCCTTCAGGAAAAACAGAAATTTCCTTTCCCCTCTGGAAAACTAGACACCAGCCTCTCCCTCCAGAACAAGAGAAACTCTGTCTTCTCTTAGGAAAACGAGAAAATTTGTTTTCCTCTGAGGAAAACCGGAAACCTCTTGCTCCCTCAGGAAATCCAGAAATTTCTCTTACCCTCAGGAAAACCTGAAATTTCCTTTTTTCTCTGGAAAATGAGTAATTTCCTTCTCCCTCATGAGAGCCAGAAATCCTCTTTTCTCTTATGAAATTCAGAAAAAAGACCTCTCCTTCAGTAAAACCAGAAATTTCCCCTTCCCTCCAGAAAACCAGAAACAAGCCTCTCCTTCAAGAAAACCGGTAAATTCCTTTTCCCTCCAGAAAATGGGAAATTTCCTTTTCCCTCCGGAAAAGCATAAATTCCCTTTTCCCTCAGCAGTACCAGGAACCCGCCTCTCCCTCAGGCTGGGGACCCGCCACATTCCCCTCCCCTCAGCCCACGCCACGGCGGGTCCCTGCACACGGCATTCCCCGGCGGTTAAAACCCACCCGCGCTCTGCTGGGGCTGCGTGACGTCACGCAGCGGCGTGATGTCACCGCTGAAGTAGGGGGGGGGTTGGGCGGTGACAGTAAAACAAACTCCTCGGCCCTCACAGCGTTGCCCCACCGGTGCGCGGCTGACCCCGGAAGAGCTGCGCCATTGGGCAGCGCTGGGGTCTGCGGGTTCTGTGATTGGTCAGAGGGCGGGGAGGGGCGGGACCGGCCGAAGAGCGGGGTGGTGGTTCGAGCGCGCCTGGAGCGGAGTGAGCATTTGGGGGTGGGGGGGAACCTTCCCCTTAGCAACGGGGGGGCCCTTAGCAACAGGGTGCCCTTGACAACGGGGGGGGCCGAGCAGGGGGCCTCTTGGCTGAGAAGGGGTTGGCAATGAGGGGTCTTTGGCATTTGGGGGGGACCCCTTGCTGTTGGGGGGGGGCTTTGGCAGTGAGGGGGCTTTGGTGTTTCGGGGGGAGGCATTGGGATTTGGGGGGGGGCTTTGGCATTTTGGGGGGTGCCTTGGCAATGAGGGGGCTTTGGTGTTTCGGGGGGAGGCTTTGTCATTTGGAGGGGCGCCTTGGCAATGCGGGGCTTTTGTGTTTTGGGGGGTAGGCTTTGGCATTTGGAGGGGAACCCTTTGCTGTTGGGGGGGGCTTGGCAGTGAGGGGGCTTTGACATTTTGGGGGAACCTCTACTATTGGGAGGGGGCCTTGGCAATGGGGGGGCTTATCATTTTAGGGGGAACCCTTGCTATGAGGGGGAGGCCTTGGCAATGAGGGGTCTTTGACAATTTGGGGGTACCCTTGCTATTGGGGGAGGCCATGGCAGTGAGGGGGCTTTGGCTTTTTTGGGGGGGGGCTTTGGCATTTGGGGGGAACCCTTGCTGTTGGGGGGAGGCAGTTGCAGTGAGGGGGCTTTGGCTTTTTTGGGGGGGGGGTTGGCATTTTGGGGGGGAACCCTTGCTGTTGGGGGGGAGCTTGGCAATGGGGGGGGTTTGGCATTTTGGGGGGGAACCCTTGCTGTTGGGAGGAGGGCTTGGCAATGGGGGGGCTTTGGCATTTTGTGGAGAGGCCTTGGCAATGAGGGGGCTTTGGCATTTCAGGGGGGGCTTTGGCATTTGGGGGGAACCCTTGCTATTGGGGGGGGCCTTGGCAATTAGGGGGCTTTGGTGTTTCAGGGGGGGCTTTTGGCTTTGCAACTGGAGTGTCTTCTCGTGGCTGATGAGGTCCTTCCCCCCCCCCCCCCCCCCCATTCCTTACGTGATCGAAGCCATAAATTACCCTGACGGGGCCACGTGGCACAACCTCTGCTCAGCACTTTTGTGTCCTGCTGCTGTCGCCAGTGGGAAATCTTGGGGAAAAAAAGGAGAAAAAAAAAAATGAATGCAGGTGAAGCCTGACGCAGGTCATTTTGGGTTGGGGTTTCTGGACTTGAAGCCTGTGCCGTGGTCCTGGCACATTAGGGATTTAGCTCTCCTGGGAGAGCAGAAGTTTTGCCTCCAATCCTACATCCGATCTTGCGTGAGAGCTTTCTGTGTCTGACAGCTCCAGGAACAGGCACAGAGCCGGTACCTTGGCTCTAACTTTTGCCAGGACCATGTGCTTAAAAGAATTGGGACACTTCAATGATTCATACTGCTTAACCCAAAAAACTTTTCAATTTCAAATGAGAAATGCCATTTTTAAGTAAAATCGTAGAATAGAATCATTTAGGTTGGAAAAGACCCTGAAGATCATCAGGGCCAACCATAAACCTAACCCTGCCAAGTCCACAACTAAACCCTGTCGCTAAGTGCCACAGGACTGTCTTGCATTGCTTTTTTTTCTTCCACTTGCCTCATTTGCTGTGTGTTGAGGAACGTGGGATGTTAGAAAACAGCCTCCCCAGGGAGCTCAGTGCGTGCTTTTAACACTGCTCTGTCAAGCTGACGTGGATGAAAAGGAGGAAGCAGCATAACGAAACAAACTGACCCTTGGATCCTGCTGTACAAGAGCAGTCGATTAGTTTTGTGGCTGTCAAACATGTGAGAGGAGTTTATCCTCCGCAGCACAATCGAGTAATAAAAAGTGAAACTGCCTGAGCGGTGTTTTGCTGATAATTCTCCTATCTGAAGGAAGCCCATCCTGTGCCATGGTTTCGGGTTTCTCATGAGCATTTTCAGTAGAAACAAGTTGTGTTGTTTGTCCTTTTTCTGCTGGCCGTCCCATGTATGGAAGAGAGGAGCTCGTGCAGATTTCAAGTAAGGTTTTCTTAAAATAACTTTTCAGATAGTTTTGTGCTGCTTCTGAACCATCCTCCTCGCAGGGAAGAGCTGTGCTGCGAGTAGGTTGTGTTTCCTCCTCAGTGGAGGATCCCAGCTTGGATCTGTTTGCGAGAGGCTCAAGTTTGTGTGTTTGAATGTTGGCTTTGACCTTCCCCAGGCGAATCATGGTCGTCTCTTGCAGAGGGTTGCGCAGTTCAGCCTCCTCAGGCTTCCTTGGCATCCTCCTAACGCTACTTTGCATTTAGACAAGTTCCTGTATCTGCTTCCTCCGTGTTATGGTATTTTAGAGAAAGCCACAAAACTTGCATGGATTCTGATTTTATGCCGTTCTTTTTTGTTCCAAAGCCTCGTACATCGGAGGAATGGGGACTGGGGGTGCAGTTACTGTTGCAGTGACTGCAGATGTGTTGCCTTGGCACAATGCGTTGCCCTCCTTAGCATCTCGCCAGAGCCTTGTACAAGTTTCTCCTGGCTGAAACACTGGGACTGTCCCATACGATTTCTGAAAATAAACTGTATTTAGTCCCCTGTTAAAGGCGTGGATTGTACGTTGTTGTTTGCTAACAGGTTGGTTTGGGGTTTTGTTTTTTTTGCACGCTGGCAAAGCAGTGAAGCAATTCAAGAAAACGCACCTGACGGCCGATGACTGCGAAGCTCTTGCACGGAGCGCAGGAGGCTCATCCGCCCTGACGCAGCCGTTGAGTCAAAGACAAAGTAGAGGAGATGTAAACTGGGGCCTCCATCCCACCCACCGGCCACGGAGACGTCAAAGAGGTACACTGATTACAAATACCTTGAAGGCTGAGGGATTTGGGGGAGAAAAATGCTGAAATGGTGTGGAGCAAAAGGGCATTGTGTAATCTGTCATTGAACTTGTGCTGATAGGAGAGTAATTCCAGGTGGGGGGAGTGCAAACAGAAGAAATGGCTCAATTTTGAGTGGTGCATGCCTTCACCTCTGCCTCCACAAAGCCAAGTGGCAAGAAGAAGAGATACCTCGATTTCCCTCTATGAGGGAGAAGGTTTGCCATCACATGTGTGTTTAGTCTCTCCTCACACCAGAAATGCTTCTGGGTCTCTATTGCTGAGCTGTCAGAGACTGCCTGGGGAGAACAGCAGCTCTCCACGAGTAACGCTACAGCCTCTGCAATTAGGCACTATTAATGATGTGACTCCTGCTTCTAGATGCTCCTTAGGATCATTATTAAATAATAAAGAGCTAATTTTATAGGACTGCAAAAGTGTTGTCGAGCACTTAACAGATATTAATGACCTTCAGCTTCACTGGGGGTGGGAAACATTATGATACAGAACTTGCAGATGTGGGTCTCAGAAGTGCTGAAGCCTTAGAGTGCTTTTGAGGATTGATAAGACTTGGAGCTAATCTGCACACGACAGATTGTGCTCAAACTGAAGGTGAAGGAGCTGTTTTCAGATAGCTCATGGTGCAGGGTTAAAGGCCCAACCTCAAAACCTGTGTAACACCAAGAGTCACTACACACACTTGTAGGCGAGGAGATGAGTAGAAAGCAGAGAAAAAACATCCTGAATTATTCCTCCGCTCCTGAGTGCCTTGGTCACTGTGTAAGATGAGACTTAGGAGCATTTTGTTGTTTCCCTGGGAGGCTTGGGAATCTTTCTGTACCTTGGTGTAAGCTCTCACTTCACAGAGAAAATGTGCTGGTGAGCTGGTGAGCCAGGACAAGACACCAGAGTCCTAGACTCTGTGCTCATAGGCATACTTTTCCGTTTTCATGTCAGTGGTATCTTCAGCTAGCTCACTTTTAAAAATCTAATAATCTTAGATGCTTCAGGTTTTAGGGTATTGGACTCAAACATTAGCAGGGAAGCCAGTCTTTTTAAGCAGCAAGTGTCTTGTAAATCAGACCTCTTCAAGCCATGCCTTCATGAGCATCCAGAAATAAAACGCGTTAAAATCAGCAGTAGCCGCTTGTGATTTTGTTCTTCTTGAGTTGCCTCTTAGCTAAGCATCAAGATATGTTGCAGACTAGGAGCTGAACAGAATGAATGCTCTAAGCGCTGGTAAATTTAGTCTGTGTGCTACATGGACTGTGTGGCAGTCAGAGAAAGGAGAAGCTGCTGAGAGCAGTCTCTTGCCAAGTTTCAGTTTCCTCCAGTGCTTTTTGACATTGCAGCCAGGAAGCATCTGGCAAGAAATGGCTGTTTATCCTCTTAAAGGTGTCGGTCTCTTACACTGTGGTAGGAGGAGCCTGCTAGAGGCTTGGTGCTGTGACCTTCTCATGATGCAGAGCAGTAGCTAAACCCTGAAGCTTTTCTAAAATCTTAGTCTGCTTCTCGTTCACCAAGTTAAAAACAATAAATAACTACAGGGAGCCCAACCTCAGCCTGAGGGACACCACAACAACTCAAGTCTCACATTTTGTTTCTTTGCTGTTTCTCTTTCTTTGGCTAGTGGAAATATCTCCTATGAAATTTATCGTGCGGCCGTGTTTCTATCTAACGTGCATCCACTGTGTTATGTTAGCTAAGGATTGTTCATCTGAGAGATTGTTACGCAGACCATATCTTTTTCTAGAAGCTAGTGGAAGTGTCAGATGGACCTTGACAGTGCCCAGATTATGTGGACAGTACAAAGAGGTCAGTGTTGTTCTGTTGACTTCCATATGTTGCCAAAGAAGCAGTATGAAGCGGGACACTTCACCTGTAGTAAGCTCATGCATCTGTGAGGAACCCCGTGGAAATAACTACCACCTTACACAACCTCTGGTCTCCTTGTTAGCTCAGTTAGGAGCAGTGCTCTTTGCACTTGTTTCTGTTGACTTCACTCACGCTCTTCCTCTTTTTGCAGGCCAAGGTCAGCAGAGGAGCATCACTGATTACTTCAGGATCTCTCAGACACAACGAGTAGGTGCTAGTGAGACAAAGAATAGTAGAATCAAAGAAGAGCTACTGGATCCCATCTTCAGTGAACCTCATGGTTCCTTCGGCAGTGTCTCCACCCTGATGAAGATGAACAGTGATTCCTGCTCTTTTCTGGAGGATGAGGACTTCATACCAGCTCCCAGGAAAAGCTCCAGAAAATGGTCTTTGTCCACTGCAGCTGCAGGCGTTCACAAGCCAGAGCATGATTTATGGGGTGTGCCTGAGAAGAAGCCAATGGTGGTTCATCCAGAACACAGCCAGATCAAGCTGGAACGGAGCCAAATCAAGCAGGAACTTGATGATATGGAAATTGAACCAGTCCCTGATGCACACTACGGACTCCTGGGGACTCGGAACTGGGAAGTACCTCAGGGAAGTATTGATGAGCTGCCTGTTGAAGTCCTTAGGAACATCTTTGCTTTCCTACCAGTGACTGATCTGTATCAGAACCTGAGCCTGGTGTGTCACTGCTGGAGGGAGATAGTCAATGATCCCCTGGTAAGGACTGCTGTGACATTGGTTTGAGCCTGTCCCTTCTCCTCTGTTTTGTCTTAGTCTTGTGGCTGCAAGTGTTGCTGTAGGAGCATCCATGCTGCATCTGTCTCTGTTCCTTTACATCCCTTTATTGTTCCCTGATGCCCACAATCCTTTCTTACGAGGTCTTTTGTCATTTTTCGGTCTTCTGGACCACAGTGGCATCTTCAAATGCCAACCTGTATCAGAAGATCAGTATTGGGGTAACTTCCCTTGATGCATTCTTCCCAGACATGGAAAGAGAGCATCCTGTAAGACTCCACAAACTCTCCACTGTTCTCCTTGCAGCTTTTTTTTTTCTGACAGGGTTCATGCAGGAAATTCTGGCTACCAGACTGGGCAGTGTCCTCTTGTGGCTGGTGGCCGTCACTGTCCCCCAGCCTCTGTGTGTGTGTCTGTGTGTGTGATGCCTCTTGTAGTCAAATGGGTTTAGAGAAATGGACTTTTACCTCTTTTTTTTTTTTTTTTTTTTTCATGGAGTTTGGTTCATCTGCAGTCAAGGACCTCACAGTACAAACAGTCATGAACCCACTGGCAGTCATTTTGGCCACAGTGAGGCTCTCTGCATTTCAATTAGAGGTGGCTCAGAGACAAGTGGCACCACTAGACTCGCTCACTGTTCACACTGGAAACACCTAGCTTGTATGAAGAGGCTGTCTCAGCCTGACTCAGAGTGGTGGGGGACTGACTGCAGCCCAGATTTTCGTGGGGGTCCAAGTTCTTGTTCATGCCCTTCCGATAAATTTGGATGGGTAGGACTGGACACAATTTAGGACGTGTCTTGCCCTCTGCTTTGTCAGCACAGCGTGCGTGCCTTGAGCCTGAAGAGCTAGAAGGATGCATAGAAAATGCATACATTGAATGCTCAGCATGCTCAAGTCCTCTCCCAAATCTGCTCTTCACTCCGTAACACGGCCTAAAAGGCAGCACCCTGCCTGTTTTTACCAAAGAAGTCCAAACAGCAGGCTATGGGAGGGTAGGGCTTTGTGGACATGGGGATTTTAAGCACTCAGACCCCGCTCAGAGCAGATCTTTGTGTTACTGATGAAAATACCCCCATTCCTTTAATGCTCTGACATGTGAAACTGAACCAGCATCCCCCTGTTCCCGTCAGTCTAGAAAAAACAGCCTTTTATAGACATGTTTGCAGGCTATGAGGAACAAGTCTTTCCTTCTTTCCTCTGTTTCCTCTTTCCTTCCCCATCTCATGCTAGGTACCTGTTTCCATCAAGCTACAGGGACTTTTTGAACTCCAGGTCTTCTTTGGAAGTCACATTGATTAGCTTATTGCCAGAAGAAACCTATTTTCTAATGCTGTGAGATAAAAGATGGTGGTGTGTGCTTCACATTTTAGTTCATTCCTTGGAAAAAGCTGTACCATCGGTACCTAATGAAGGAGGACACAGCCCTGCATAGAGTTGAACAGATCTTGCAGGATTTTGCCATAACAAAGGACCAGGAAGGATGTGTGTTGGGGATGATCAGGTAAGTCCACTTCAACACTTGACTTTGTACCTGTAGATCCTCAGACCTTCTTTGCTTTGGGTTTTCTTCCATTTTATCCTATGAACTGCCAGGAGAGAAATGGGTTTGTTTTTTAAACAGGTGGGAGGCGTACAGGAAGATGAGGAAGGTTAAATTATTTTAAGAGTAGTAATCACCAGTAGGGTTCTAGAAATAGGTAAAAAAACTTTCCCCTCTTTCTTGTTCTGTTTGGAGCACAGAATCATAGAATCATTTAGGTTGGAAAAGACCTCTGAGATCATCGAGCCCAACCGTTAACCTAACACTGCCAAGCCCACCACTAAACCATGTCCCTACGCACCATGTCTACATTGTTTTTTAAATACCAAAAGGGATGGTGACTTCGCCACTGCCCTGGGCAGCCCCTTCCAGTGCTTGACAACCCTTTGGGGGAAGAAATTTTTCCTAATATCCAATCTAAACCTCCCCTGGTGCAACTTGAGACCGTTTCCTCTCGTCCTATCGCTTGTTACTTGGGAGAAGTGACCGACCCCCCCCTCGCTCCAACCTCCTCTCAGGTAGCTGTACAGAGCCATCAGGGCTCCCCTCAGCCTCCTTCTCTCCAGGCTGAACCCCCCCAGTTCCCTCAGCTGCTCCTCATAAGACTTGTGCTCCAGACCCTTCACCAGCTTTACTGCTCTTCTTTGGACACACTCCAGCACCTCAGTGTCTTTCTTGGAGTGATGGGCCCAAACCTGAACCCAGTATTTGAGGTGATGTACAAGTAGATGATAGAATCTGGAGAAGAAGAGGTGGAAAGGGGATCTAATTGCTGTCTTCTCCTGCCTAGGGAGGGGCTGTAGAGAGCATGATGCCAGACTCTTCTTGGAGGTGCACAGTGAGAGGACAAGAGGCAATGGGCACAAGTTCCAACATAGGAAATCCAGTTAGATATTAGGAGAGTGGTCAAAGACGGGCCCAGAGAGGGGAGGAATCTCCGTCCTTGGAGATGCTCAGACCTCAGCTGGACAAACGAGCAAACCTTGAAGTCATCCCTTCTTTGAGCAGTTGGCTTCTAAAGTCCCTTCTGCAGTTTCTGTGATTTTGATAGCAAGTGAGAAGTGATGTTTAGGTGAGGGAGAGGCTGCAAAGCCTGGGATGGGGATAGCCTTGTACTGATGTCTGAGGAGATGGAGAAGCTGAACATGGACTGGGATGAAGGGGCAGAAGAAAAGTCTTGACAGTGGCCTTTTGTCTTGGATGGTGTTGCCTCCTGGAGGGCAGGGAGATGCTTGTTGCACTAAAGGAGGAAAGAGGTGAGGAGAGCCTGAGCAAGAGAGTATCAGCAAGCAGCTGCTGGACTTGGAGTCTCAAAGGAAGGTTTTGGTGATGGACCTGTATGTCAGAGCACAGCCAGGTTGGGTACAGCAATTGAGAGATGCTGCTAGGAGCTTCAAGACAAGCATTAGATGACAAAATCAAAAAAGGCTGCGCTGTCCTGTTGCTTGCTGCCTTCTGGCACCCAACAACAAGCTTGGGAGAAGATGTTATATGGTTGCTTCCTACAGGGTGACTATGCTGGAGAGAGTGACGCTCAATTTAAGCGTTCCTTTTAGTATCCCTTTACATTACATCTGTCATGTCAGCATTAATTTTCCATCTCCTGATCAGCCAGGGTCTCAGAGAGGCTCAGCATCTCTGGGTTTAGCTAAAATTACAAGTATGTCATGGACAGTGTGAGATTTGAACTCTTCTTCCTCGTCCTTTCCATCTCCAAAGTATTTTCTTCTTTTCCTTTCCTGAAAGGCTGCTCTGCTGGACCCGCATGGACTTACCAGTCACAGCTCAGCAGCAAGCCCAAGCCCAAGGCAGGTGCCTGATAAAAGCAAGTGCTCTGTTCAGATCTCTGTAGTCTAGAGGACAATTTTGTATGGCAGTTAGATGGTGCAAACAGAAGAGTCAAATTGGGTTAAGAGCAAGGTGGATCTGTCTTCTGGAATGAGACTTTGAGACAGCCAGAAGGAACGTGCAGACTAAGGGCTTGGTGCAGAAAAGTATTTAAGCACGTGTCTGTGTAACAGAGCTGGGAATTACTTGTTTAAATGGCTCTTGGCACAAGAACGGGTTGGAAATCCAAATTCAGCACCTTGTGGCCTCACGGCTGAACGCATCTGGTCAAATCTGTGGGGCACACAGCGAGGCATAGTTAAACTTGCTGCAGCCTGGCTGGTGGTACTTTGGAGAAGGCGTTATTTACTTGGAGAGTAATTCATCAGGAAGCCTTCTCAAGTGATAAGTAATTTGCCAGGAGTTACTTTGCCTTATCAAATTAAGGCATCTGATATGAAATGAAATCTGATAATTTGCCTTACCAAATGCTGCCGTTCCCTTTCTGCTCAGATACGTGTCTGCCATGCCCACCGGGCGGAAGGTGGATCCCAGTGCGGTTCTCCGGTGTTTGAAGAGTCATCACCTCTTCTCAAAGGCTGAAGTCTGCGTTGTCAACAACCTGCCTCATTTACAGAGCAGGACGGGGGTAGGTTTAAGTTATTAGCTGGTTCATTTAACAGGCTTAACAACTGCTGGTGTTTTGAAGACTTATCTGCCCTCCGACCTCTAAATGTTTTCCCTTTGGGGTGTTATTTGGTACTATTCAGGGTGACTGAAGAGGATTTAGCCATTTGTCACGGCATAAGTGTTGAAGCAGGGTTTCCCTGCTTCTAGGGGCTCAAAGCTTTTTGCTCACTCTTTCTTGCTGTTGCCTCTACCAGCCCGAGAACATGTGGGCCATAATTGCAGTCATGGTGCTTTTCTCCGACGGCGTCAGTGACATCCAGAAGCTGATGGCGTGTCTGCAGAGACCCTGCTCTACCCTCTCTGTTGTGGACGTGGCCGAGACGCTTTACTGCATAGCGACGCTGCTCTACGCGATGAGAGACAGGAACATTGCGATCACTAACAGGTAAGGAGTGGGGAGATGCTTCCTGCAGGCTGCCTCTTTCTAGCCATGGCAATACGTAATGTATACAGTGAATATATGCTCATGAGCAGTTGTGTTCCTGTTGTTTAGGGCTCTCTGGTTCCTCCCTGTGTGCAGTTTGTTAGGAACAGTGTGCACATCCCTAGCTTTTTACAGGAACATTCAGGAGCGTTGCCTTTAGATTTGCTTTAATTCCTAGACTGTTTCATAGTCTGCTTGTTTTTCAGGAGACAGTGTTCAAGAAAAATAATTTTTTTTCAGGAACAAAAGCAGGTTTTAAAGCAACTATGGAAACTTGCTGATTAGAAATAGATACACATCAACTGCAACAATTTAATCCGGTTATTACCTTCCTGAGATGGGTCACTTACTTCACTCCTCTTAACTGATACTCCAAGTCTTGTGGGCTCCTGATGCATGTGCATAGCAATCCATCCTGTGCCTTTTGGTCACAGAGATGCCTGGTAATGCAGGTGAGAGCCTACAGGTTGCTTCAGAGCTGCAGTGAGGATGAGATAACGATTAAGGACACATATGAGTTCTTCTTACGAGAAGACTGGAAAGGAACTGCACTGGAAAATGTAACTATAGCCAGAAAGAAGATGGTTCTGTAAGCTGTCCTCTGTGAGGTATGGTCCAGCATGTGTTAGACACTGCAGAATTACTCAGCCATGGGCCATGTGCTCAAGCTACCAACCAGGGAAATCAGGATGCTTGTTTGGCCTGTTAGTGACTGTTAATTGCTGGCTAAGGTCATTAACTCGACTAAACGCCTGCTGAAGATATGGCAGATAGAGGGTGCCACTTGCTAGCAAAGAGAGCTCGTGGTCAAAATCACCCACGTCCCATCTCCATCTCCTTGAACAATCTAGACTAGAAGAAATAGGAATGACCACGTCTCTTCTGCTGTTATCTCTTCAAACCCCATAAGGTTTGTAATTTAGGGCGTAAAGAGGAAACCTGTCCTTGAGAAACTGTCTGATTATTTGCAGTTCCTAGAGCAACTAGTGAGTCTGAGCATGCAGGTCACCTAATGCGAGACACAAAGTCTGTCCTGGAGTGTGGCCCAGCGTGGCAGCTGTTAGGTGGCAGGAAAAAAGCTGCTCTAAAAGAGGAAAAACCACAGTGGTGTCAACCCTGATGTACGGTGGAGGTTGATTTTAAACCAGCAGTTGCCGGCATAATTAAAGCTGCAGAGTCACTGTGCTCCTCTCTTTGCAGTAACAAAGCAGCATGAACTATTGTCAGAGCTAACACACTTGTGTAAAACCATTGTAAGACAGTTGATGAAACTGATTCACTTTAGGGGCCTAAACTAGCCCCAAATTCCTTCTCACACTCCTCCAGACTCTGTTGCTAGTAGTGATCCAGGAGAGCAAAAGGATCCTGTGGATTCTGATCCCAGGTCATGTTTGCCTTGCAGTCCCTGAAACACAAACCTAGTAGGAGTGAGGGAGAGGCCACAAACAGAGCTGTCCCTGTGGTGCCTTTTCTACCTTGAAAATTGACTGCACTAACTGCACTTTAAAGCATTAATACTGTCCCCTGCAGCTCCCTGGGAGCTTGGGGTTTTGTGCATTGTTCTTTTGGAAGTATTCAAGATATTGATGGCCTTTTAAGTGGTTGCAGGCGTTTAATTTGTTAATGAAGATTTCTCAATGACAGTTTCTCTTTTGTCCTTTCTACCAGGATCCATTACAATATTTTCTACTGCTTGTATCTGATGGAAAATGCTTCTGTAACTATGCAGACAGTAGAAGAGGAAGAAGAAACGCTGGCATCATGCTGCAGACAGGACTTATTGTCTGGGTAATGCTATTTTAGGTGATCTGAGCAGTGCACCCAAGTCCACGGGGCCCTGGTGGAGTGCTGGACCTTGGAGGGGGAGCAGACGTTTCATGGCAGGAGCTGGTTGACAAGACTCTGAGATTCATAATGATTAGTACAAAACATTGCCATCTTCTCCCTGAATTCTCAGAGGAAAACCATAATCAGGCCTTAAATCTTTAGGAATTGCATTACCAAGCCCTGACTGAGTTTAAGTCATCATTCACCAGTGGGTCTATGCATCGGTGGAACACTGTGTGCTCCAGCGTGACGGCCGCTAAAATTTCACAGAGCCCAAATCACCCCCAAATCCCCTCCCAAATCACCACGCTCCCTATGGGTAAGGAGCTCTGGGAGGAGGGGAGAGTGCCTGCTTTAATTTTAACAGCGTATTCCTTTAGAAACGCAAGCTGCAGCCAGCCAAAAAGGGGATTGGCTCGCTGGTGACGTTACCCTAGTGCAAATAATGGGGCTGTTTATGAACGCTGCTTTCTGTGCATGGGAGGAAACGAGATACCAGCCGCAGGATATTGATTTGGCTCCTGTTTTCTGGATCCTGTTGGAGAACTGTTATATACTAACCGGTATATATAAATATATATCTGTTATAAAATAGCACTGGTTGGGTCGCTTGCTGCCTAGAAAGGAAGGACAGTAAGGAGTGAAACGCTTTCCTGGCCTGGGGAGATCTAGGCTTGGTTCCTTTTCTGCTGCAGCTACCCAGGGTTGAGTCATTTAGTTTCCTTGTCCTTACCTACAGAAGGGGAATAGTGGTGCTTTCCTCCATCACAGAGATCTAGCAAAGATAAATCCCATAAAATCACCGATGATCCAAGGTACAACAGTGAGAGAGGTCATACAGAAAATAAATCAAAGGTGAACAGTCGTTGGGTTTCAGTGCTTCTTGTTTTCCCAGCCCTTTCGTTCTACCCCTCCATCTGAAGCCTTTTTTCTAAGCATATTTTGCTTGTTCAGTGAACGATGAGTCCTGAGGGCAGCCATCTAACTGCCGGCTGTGAAATGTCAAGGATACCTGAGCAAGGCTTTCTGCCCTTCCGCGTGGTATCGGGGAGGACCCTGTGCGAAGAGATGGTTCACACATTTGGCCGATGACAGGTTTCAGACCTTGATGAATAAAACAATTGCACTCCAGCCGGAAGCGCTGAATGCCTTTTCTTAATGTTAATCGAAGCTCTTGGCTCCCCTGAGAGGCAGAGATAATTGATCTGTCCTACATGCTGAGAGCAGTTTAAGGTCCACGCTCTCAAAAGCAACTAAACAACCCAAACCTAAATCTCTGCTTTCAATAAGCCTAAGAAGCCGGGGTGCCAAATTAAGTTTTAAAGCATAACGACTGGCCTTTGAGAAGATCTCCTATGTAACCTTCCCCAAAGTTTAGTTTTTATTTTTGCTATCTCAAATCTTTTCTTATTGCCTGATTTTCTCGTTTGAACAGTTACCAACTTGCTCTAGTGCCACCTTCCTGCTTGTGGGATGGGATTAATCCTTCACTGTTTTCCTTCAGCTGCTAGTTGATTTGTTTGATTTACGTGAGAGGATTTATTTTATTAATTCCTCACTCTGTTTTTTGTCTGTTTTTAATAGCTGGCCTGAAGTAAAGCTGACCCATGAACAGCAAAGGATTTTGAATCACAAAATCGAGAGCGGTCAAATAGTGAAAATTATGGCATTTGCAGGTAAGAGCCAAAAATTCTGTTGTAAGAATGAATGCATAACCTCTAATTCTGCTCCTTCCGTCCCTGCTGCTTCTGTCCAAGGAACTGTGTGGATGCTGGGGGGATCAAGCTTACTTTTAACCAATACAAAAATTCAGAGCAGGATTTTGCAGAGGAATAGGATTGGGAAGCGTGGTGGTGGTTACTCCCATGCAAACTGGGTAAATATCATATTTGAACACGATACTGAAACAGAGTGTTTGGGTGCTGTTGATAAGTGCCCAGAGCAGCTTGTCAGGGAACCCAGGAAGGGAGAAGCAACTCCCTGTGTGTTGCTGAGCTGTGTGCTGAGCCTGTTTCACAGTGTTATTGTCCACAGGCCACTAGACGGAGTTGCTCTCACTTGTTTAGATTTAGCATCCTTGTAGGAGCAACACAAGCCAGGAAAACTTCTGCACTCATGTACTGTTTTGAAAAGGGGAATTGCATAAAATCGAGGGAGCCTATATAAAAGAAATGGAAAAATTAAATCATCTCCATCCACCTGCAGAGAGTTTCCTTTAAAGACACCACACTAGGGGCTCAGAGCTAATGCAAGCTCTCTGCCAGAACAGACTTGCAAAAGGACATGTACAGCTAAGCAGCCCAGCACAGAAGCCACCAATAGTGGTTTCTCACATCCGTACAAAGCCACCGCGTCCAAATGACAGAAAAGGGAACATTCATGAACTCTGAGAGATTATATGTAACCACAACAAGGCAGGGCAGAAAAAGATCTTGAGAAACCGCTGTCAAAAAGCAAAAAAGACTTGTAATTCTTCTTCAAACATGTGGCTGAGGATGCTTGCCAAAGCATCTGTTAGCTACCTGCAGTGTAAAGGATGCTGTAGAGTGAAGGACACGGTGGCAGAAAAACTAAATGTCTTTCTGCATTTGTGTTCCTCGTAGAGGGTCTTGGAAAAGACCAGCCTCAGGATCTTTCTCTACAGGGGGTCCACCAGAGGGTCAGTCTCACATTCACCTGGGAAAGGTTGCAAATAAATTATGCGTTGGTACTGTTTCGTTTCATGATCTGGACTGCATCACCCAGGAGATGTAAAGGAACTCGAAGGTGAAGCGGCCGAAGTAGCTGAGTGTGGCCTCTTGCTGAAAGCTGCCGTGGCAGTGGAGTTACAGGGACGTGGGAACAATCTACCAGCGAGCCCAGTATCTGTACCAAGTGTATTGGGTTTGCGTGGCAAAGTGTTGGTAATGGTGGGGCTACAGGGTTGGCTTCTGTGAGAAGCTGCTAGAAGCTTCCCCTGTGTCCAGTAGAGCCACTGGCCAAGGCTGAGCCCATCAGCAACGGTGGTAGCGCCTCTGTGATAACATATTTAAGAAGGAGGAAAAAAAAAACAAACAAACAAACTGGGGGTGGAACAGCAGCAGTGAAGAGAGGAGGGAGAATACGTAAGAGAAAGAGCTCTGCAGGCACCCAGGTTGGTGAGGGAGGAGGAGGTGCTCCAGGTGCCGGAGCAGAGAGTCCCCTGCAGCCTGTGATGAAGACCATGGTGAGGCAGGCTGTGCCCCTGCACCCGTGGTGGAGCAGATCTCCACCTGCAGCCCATGGAGGGCCCCACGCTGGAGCAGGGGGTTGCTGTGAGCCCGTGGGAAGCCCGTGCTGGAGCAGGCTCCTGGCAGGACCCGTGGAAATGTGGAGAGAGGAGCCCACGCTGGAGCAGGTTTGCTGGCAGGACTTGTGACCCCGTGGGAGGGACCCCACGCTGGAGCAGTTCGTGAAGAGCTGCAGCCCGTGGGAAGGACCCATGCTGGAGAAGCTCACGGGGGGACTGTCTCCCGTGGGAGGGACCCCACGCTGGAGCAGGGGAGGGGTGTGAGGAGCCCTCCCCCTGAGGAGGAAGGAGCGGCAGCGACAGTGTGTGATGAACTGCTTGCAACCCCCCATTCCCCATCCCTCTGCACAGGGAGGTGGAGAAATCTGGAGGGAAGTTGAGCCCAGGAAGAAGGGAGGGGCGGGGGAGAAGGTGTTTTAAGGTTTAGTTTTTATTTCTCATTACCCTGCTCTGATTTGATTAGCAATAAATTAAATTAATTTCCCCAAGTTGAGTCCGTTTGACCCATGACAGTAATTGCTGAGTGATCTCCCTGTCCTTATCTCAACCCACAAGCCTTTTGTTATATTTTCTCTCCCCTGTCCAGCTGAGGAGTGGAGTGCTAGAGCGATTTTGGTGGGCACGTGGTGTCCAGCCAGGGTCATCCCACCACACCAGGCGAAATGGTAAAAGATCTTCATGAGTGAATAGTTAGTTTGAATAGTTTGTTCAAATATTTGGTTCAAAAGAGACAAAAGTAGGAGCAGATGGTCATTTTTTCTGCACCGAGCGTGGTAAACCACTGGAGTCCTGGAGAGATTTGTGCTGGGACTTGCTTTGTCCAACATTCACGAGTCATCTGGGAGGAGTGTGAACAGCAAGGTGGCAAAGTTTTCTGACGCCGTCATTGCTGAGGATATGAGAAAGGGCAAAGAAGGAAACATGCCAAGCTCTTCTGTTGTGGTTGGTACTCCATGAGTGAAGCAGCCTTGCCACGAGGTGTCAACAGTGCTGTCCTGCAGCAAACTGGAGTAAAGGAGAGCAGCGTTAGTGGGAGATCTTACAGGCAAATGAGCTCATGAATCGTTCAAAAGAGCAACTTTAACATTTCACTTACCGAGCTGTCTTTCAAGAGAACCAGTACCTTCACGTATGCTCAGAATTCTAGAATATTAGGCGATAAAATTAATATTTTTTTAAAGCTTTTAGGCTGCAGACTGTAATTTTTCAAAGCTGCTTTGCTCCACAGCTTTTGCTGATTTCAGTTGAGCCAGTGAATAAATTAGCTGCAAATTAGTCCTGCTGTGCAGTTAGGCCAGCAGGAGGGGGAAGGTAAAGCTGATGAAAGGTGTGCAGATTCATTAATTCCTGATTCCAGATGCATTATTGTTTACTTTCTTCTGTTCTTCAGGTACAGGAAAGACCACAACCTTGGTCAAGTATGCAGAGAAGTTTGCTGATCTGAGTTTCCTTTACGTGACATTTAACAAAGCTGTTGCAGAGAGGGGGAAAAGTGTCTTCCCCAGAAACGTAACGTGCAAGACTTTCCATTCGTTAGCATTTGGAAGTGTTGGCAAACAGTGAGTGCGGATTTTAGATTCTTTCAGATTGAATGGGCCAGTGATTTTAGCATCCATGTGAGCCTGGGGATACACCCTCATTGCCCTGCTCTGGCACCGTGCTGACATAAGCCCCATCGCTGTTCTGGGCGCTGTTCATCCTGCCTGTGTTAACAGCCAAGGAGCACTTCACAGGGAGACAGAAAGCCACTGAAAATAGGTTTTTCCCATTTCCCACTTACACTTCAGTGGTACAACCTCTCGAAATGCTGATTTTCTTTAGCAGAGGAGGGATTTTCTTAACCCGAGTTGTTCTACTGATGCAGTTTGCGGCCAATTATATTAGCACTTCTAAACTGCAGACGGAAGGGAAAATGAACCACGACCTGGAAGAATAGGGGAATTCTCTTACCTGGCTCTGAAAACAATCTGTAATTGCAGGGGTGAATGATGGGAATATTTCTCTGGCTTGACTTTTCATCTGTAAAGTTTATAACATTAACAAGTTTGTGCTTCCCCCGGGATAAATATGTGCAGATTTTAAAAGTATTCCATTGCTAGGTCAAAGTGGGTGTATAAAACAGAGCTTCTGCAAGTGTTAGTGTGCAACAGAAGCAAAAGCAAGCTTGCTTTTCCAGTAGGCTTTTCATGTGTGTTCCAACACATCTCTCTTATTTTTTGTCATCTGTGGCACAGCTATAAAGAAAAAGGCAAGCTGAACTTCTCCAAAATGTCAGTTTACTCCATCAGTTCCCTCATCCGGAACCACAAGGGACAAGCTCTATTCATAAGAGGGAAAACGGTCTCTCAGACGCTTGAAAACTTTTTTGCCTCTTCGGATAAAGAGATCTGTGAAGAACACACTCCTGTTTGGTTCAAAAATACTCATGGTGTGAGAAAACTTGTCAGTCAAGAAGAAAAGAAAGTGAGTATCTGAGGTGAAGCAAGACTCGGGCTACAAGGTTTAGAAGGGACTGTAGTTATCCCACATCTCCCATAGTTCATGGGTATTTGTGCTTCAGCTGTAAGAACTGACTGTCAAAACACTTTTTTCCTCTGGTGACAAATCCAAAGGAATTGAGGCCTGTTGGTTCTCCCTGTTTGCACAACTGGTTTGCAGAGAGGAGATTATCATTGTCTCTGCTCAGTGCAGATGTTTTTTCCCTTCAAGACAAAAAGAGAAGAGATTGCATGTGTTTGTATCAGTGCCTGAGCAGTGAAGTGTTATTATGTGTAAAGACAATAAACAGTTTTGTAGTCATTTTGGTATGCAGAGCGAAACCCAAAAAATTCTCATTTAGAGTACAGACATCTTAGCAACACTTAAAATAGCATTGCAAACAACTGCTGGAGTTGTGGAGACAATTAGCCTTTCTGCTCTGCATTGATCACATCTGATCCGATCCAGTCCAGCCAGCAGAAATCCAATTTGCAGTTGTTATTTCTGGAAGGGAAGGAACTCACAGCCTCAAAAGTTTAAATACCCTTAAGCACCTTACAAGCTGTCCAGAGAAGCCAAAATAAACACAAAGTATGTGCTAATGTGCAGAAGTTAGGAGGTATTTTATTACACTGTCCTTATAGCTGAGCCAAAGAAATTATCTTTTCAGGGGGTTGCATTTGGGAAAGACTGTGTTGAGAACAGGATAACTGGTGGTGACACAGAGGTGAAGTAGGAGGGGAAAGGCCTCAGAGAAGCTTTTCAAGATCTGCTCTGCCTGGACTGTTTTTCTGCTCAAAACCATCTATCCAGACCCTTCTGTTTTCTCTTTCTAGATCAATGTGGAAGAGGCGAAAGAGATATGGCACAACATGAAGAAGCTGGATGGAGATGCAGAGAAGAAATACAAGATAACTTGTGATGGTAAGAGGGTACAGATATATATAGATTAGTGCTAACAGTGAGTGTTTGTTCCTTGCTGCTGCTGGCACGTCCTTTCCTCTCGCTTCTTGTTACGTGTGCAAATAGTGCCAAAGGTAGCTCATACTGGGAAAAACCTTCTTCCTTGTTATTTTCTTTGTGCATTAAGATTTTTGGAGCCATCAGCATAGCTGCCTTCCTCCAGCGCAGTCAGGTTGTTTGGGGGGTGGTTTTTTCATCCTTCACACAGCCAAGGGAGACAAAACAACATCTGGGAGCAGTGGAGAATTTTGCAACCCCTCCAAGTGTCAGGCAAATTCTGAGCAAGAAGTAGGGCCAGAAGCTTTTTTTTTTTTTTTTTTTAAAAAGTGACTTGTTTTAAAGATTATGATGGGAATGCGACCCTCTCACTGACACGCCTTGTTCCTTCTCTCAGGGTATTTGAAACTTTGGCAGCTCAGCAAGCCTCAGCTTTCAGGATATGATGCCATTTTTGTTGATGAAGCACAGGACTGCACTCCAGGTGAGTGGTGACAGGAGGCAGAGCTGCAGCCTTCCTAAGCATTTTACAGAGAGGATGCTTGTGGGCTCGGGGATGTGGGAGAAGTAGCACAATTAAACAAATTTCTTCCCCTCAGCTGTAACATTATAACTGGCCCTTCTCTTGGTCCCAGAGCCTTGCAGATTCAGTAAAGCAGCTTGTTAAGCAGGCTGCAAGAGTACACGTGCATCAGCCTGTGGGGTTGCTTTCAGTTGCTTTGGGCATCCAGACATGCTGCCCAGTCCCTTTTGCTATTGCTGTGCTGCTAACAGAGACAAAAACAGAACGTCAGCATAGTCAAGGACATGGTTTGTTACAAGAGTGGCGAGATATTAAATGGTTTGGCTGTCAGAACAGCAGAGCTGCTCCATCCCAGCCTGGCACCGGGTGCAAGTCTTGCCCATTCCTCGCACCACCCTGGGGGTTCCTGAGTCACACAGCAGAGAGCTGCTGGCTTTCTTTGCCGTGGATATGAGGAGTAGCATTCAGTTGCAAAGCAAGTTGCATCGGTTCTGCGAAGGGATCCAGGTGGATCAAACTGTGTCCTGAGGGGCGAAAGAAGAAGGACAGAAGGAGGCCTGGTCTTTGCAGTGGATATTAAATCAGCTGAAAGGCTTCTTCAGCCCATCTCCCACCTGCTGGAGGTGTGGTCTCGTGAGGGTTTGGTTGTGCTTTGGCAGCTGCAGTTGCTCTGCCAGCCTCGCTGAGCCTTGGGCAGGCTTGGTCAAAGCAGAGCAAAGGGCTTGCTGAGGTGCTCACTGAGTCACCACGCACACGTGCAGCGCGCCCGGGTCGCTGGGGATGGGTGCTGGATTTGGGCTGGGCTCACGAGCCGGGGAATAAGACGCTGTAGAGTTCCAGTCCAGGAAAAAACACCGTCAGTCTAAAATAGCGGGAGGATGTTTGTAGAGCTCCCAGTCAGCTGCGCCCTCCCCTTTGCTTATCCTCAGTCTGTTGTTTCCTGCAGCTGTGTTGACCCTTTCTGAAACGCTGTGAGTCATCAGGCCAGAGATAGGGTACAGCTCACTCTTGGTGAGCAGGCTCCCCCTTAACGCTCTGATGTTTTCCTCCAGCCATCGTGGATATTGTGCAGTCACAGACATGTGGCATAATCCTGGTAGGAGACCCTCACCAGCAGATCTATACCTTCCGAGGTGCTGTCAATACCCTCAACACAGTGCCTCACACCCATATCTACTACCTCACCCAGGTAAGATGAGGGTTTGCTGCTGTCCCTCCCTGGACAGATCCCTAATGCAGTGGAACATTTTTCACATCTTTTTTTCGGAAGGCAGCTAACAGCCAGAATTCCTGAGTTTGTCACCGTGGAGCGTTGCATTGCCTGGGCTAGTGGTGTGCTTTGCTGTTCACACTCTGCGCTGCAGAACTCCTTTGTGCCTCTTGGAGGAGTGATCTAATCACTAGGAAAGCTTGAGAAATGGGTCCTGGGACAGAGACCTTCGTATATGGCTAATTTCAAGGAGATCCCATCTTTTCTGGGTTAGTTCTCTGCTCCAGCTGAGCAGGCAGGCGCAGGTACACTCTTTGCTCATCTAGCCAGTCAGTTATGACACTGGGTCCCACGCAGAGAGATGAAGGAGTTAGGGGAGATCCATTTTCTTCTGGCAGTGACCTCCTTGAAATAAAACCACACTGATTAAGGAGGATATATTTTCTGGCTGCACACACCATCTTTTTTTGTGGCTCTGGATAAACTCCAGCATTGCCACCTCTGTCCCACCACCATCCCTTGGTCTGTGATATCTCCTGGCCTGTTTATCTGCCAAGGGTGTTAATTTTCATGAGCAGCTTCAGCTGATCTGAGTTTGCCCTGAAAGAGAGCTCTCGCCTTCTTTCAGCACAAGCCACGCTCGCGTCTCCGAGCTGGATTACCTAACCTGCTGCTGTACCAACTGAAAGCTCACCCTGATTAGGTTTTTTTGGCATGATTAGCCACATGGCTACGCAATTCTCACAGCTAATATAAGGGAGGAACTATCCCTTTGGGAATCCTCGTGGAATGAATGAGCTTCAACCAGCAATACAAGCCTCAATGCAACCAGCTCCTAAGCCAGAACGGTCACCAAAACACCCATCCCCCTGAGTTGCCTTTTCCCCTTGCACCATGCCAGCCTTGCTGAGGGGCAGGAGCCAGGGACGGGCACAAAGGAGCAGGGACTCCCTTTATTTGTGGTGGCACATCTTGTGACAAGTCTCAGGACCAGCCTTGCATCACCTCACTCGTGGAGTCGTTTGGGTAACAAGCTTTTTCCACTTCTCTTTGCCGGCGGAGGTGTTGTGCTCAGCCAGGCCCTGGTGTTTTTTAATCATGGTGTGTAGTGAAACTTGATTAGGGCTTTCACCTCACGCTGCTTTGACTGTTGGCCCCAGATCTACAGGTGAGGAAACCATGAGGATCAACCCCCCAGGCCTCCTCTGCTGCTCCTTTCCCATCACCTCCAGCCCCTGCCCTGCTGCAGGACAGATGTGCCCTGTCACATTAACTTACTGGGAAAGAGTCTTGGCAGTGTCAGCTCTTGGGGTGGAGAGGCTGGAAAACACTTTTTTCCCTGTATGGCAGTCCCATCTCACGGCGCAGTTCCTATCGCCTTGGGTGTAAGAGTGACCAGGATTTCTAGGAATAATCTGGGGGGTTTTGGGTGCTTTTTTCTAAGAGAAAAGTTGCCCAGAAAGTTGGTGGGAATTGTATGGTTCTAGATATAGTAATGCTTTTGTAGGTTCTAACAAGATTCCTCTTCTTTTTCCTGCTGTTTCCTTCATTTTTCCACGTAGAGCTTCAGATTTGGTCCTGAAATAGCTTACGTTGGAGCAACCATTCTGGATGTCTGCAAGAAGATCAGGAATAAGACGTTAGTGGGTGGGAACCAAAAGGGTAAGTTGTGTCAGCGCCTCTCTTGGCTCAGACAGCACTGTTCAGCGGCTGAGAGTTACAGAGCTACTGCATAATAAATAAAGTGTCCCAGGATTAATCCCAATTTATGGAGATCGTTGGGTTTAGATACCTGCTTTCTAACTGCCATGGCTAACTGGGAAATTTTTCATGCAGGCGACGTGAGAGGCACCATGGAAGGGAAGATAACAATCTTATCACGAAGCAATTTTAACGTGTTCGAGGATGCTGTGAACCTTACTGGAAGAGAGAAAGCAATTAAAATACATGTGATTGGGGTAAGGGGAGATTGCCAACCTGTCTTTCACATCCCAACCTCGAGCCTCCAAGCCTGTTAGCACTTGTAGCAGAAACACCTACGTGTGGCTTGAAATAGGTGTGGCTGACCCGCTGTCTGTAGCACCCGGGTTTAAAACTAATATTCAAGGAGAAAGCCACAATCTGTTGTGGCTGGGGAAGAGGCATTTGGAGCAGCTGCTCTCAAATCGGTGCAGGCGAAGCCTTTTTGGGCTCATCTGTCCCTTTTTTACATCGGGCTGGGGTGAGGTGTCAGCAGTTCCAGTTTGCTGGATGGGGTTGGGGTAGGGGAAGGGTGATAAATGGCCGTGACAAGTCGCTGCGAGTATTTGCATTAGTGGAGCACTGCTGACTGCCTTTGGCTGCCAACAGTGGCACAGTGTTCTTGCATCAGGGAAATAAAAAGCAGCTGCAATTGCAGGCGGAGTGTAAAAAGCGGTGAAAGGCGGTTGGCTGTGCCCTGAGAGAATAAACATTTTTCAAGCTCTCTCCAGAGACGAAGACAGTGGTTGAAGCTGAAGGTGACCTCTGGGCTTGTGGATGCCACAGAGGGCTGGGCTGTGCTCATTACTAATTTCCAGTCCTGTGATGGTCTGGTCCCTGTGTCAATACACCCAGGAAAGCCCAGGAAAACGGTGCACCTGCCTTTTTGGGGAGGGAAAATAGGGGTTTTCAGCAATGCTGGATGTTAGCCCCTTGAGGGAACAGCAGTTCTGAGGTTTGCACTGAATTTTCATTTGCAGAAAGCACCCACGTATCTGCAGGAGAGTGTATGTGTGTGTGCACACATCTGCAGAAATTCACGTGCTTGAATTGCAGGGAGGTTTTAATAAAGCTTCACATTTCAGAAGCCTCAGAGGAGTCATTACTCTTCAAACTCTGAATCATCAGTACCTATAATTTAATTTGAGATCTTGTTCTGCACCCAGAAATGCAGAAGCATGTGAACAGTTGTCCTGGTGCTGAATATTTTTGAGGAAGAGCCTGGTCTTTTGAATCTTAGGCTGATATTTTAATATTTTTTTTTTGCACTGTGAAGCTGCATATTAATTTTTTTTTTTTTTTTGCACTGTGAAACTGCATATTACAGTGGCATGAGTATTTGAACTGTCTACCCAGTAGCAAAATCCTCGCCTGCCTTTGCGGTTTGGAATAAGTCTGTGTTCAGACTGATGCTTCTTTTGATGGAACAAAGCGGACTGAATTTGGAAACAACAGGGAAAAACACTTCCTGAAAGTAAAAACTGTCAAAGCAAAGCCTGAAAACTGAAACATTTACTGTCAGTTTAGCAAGTTTATCTTCACTGTGGTGGCCCATCGCTTCAGGAAAGAGGATGCAGTCGTGCCTGGAGCTGGCTTTCCCATGAAAAAGCGAGGAGTCAATCAGCCAGCGGCATTGATGGCACTTCTAAAGTTCTTTTTAACAAAGCAATATGCAGCTATTGGAAGCTAAAATAACCAAACCCAAACCCTTTTCTTGTTAGTGAATGGAAAAACATTATAGAATTTTTTTTTTTTTCTTTGAAAATACTTGGAATATAAAATTCTGCCGTGGCTCTCTTATAATGCCAATCAGACAGTGTCCTGTTCTCGCTGTCTGTCTGTCTGTCCGTCCGCAGAGCGGGCTGGAGCGTTGCTTTTTCAGCTGCCTTTGCTTCTGCTACAGCTCCAGGGATTTCAGGAAACCCGCTCTGCATCTTCAGCACATTTCCCTTTTTCCCTCCCTCTTGACACTGGGCCCTGCTAGCTTATCTAGAAACTCTAGACAGCATCTTTACTCTTCTGTATTAAGATAAATTGTTGTTTGTTTTAGGGGCTTGCCCGTTTTGGCCTGAGCAGGATTTATGATATTTGGAAACTCAGTCAACCTGCAGACGAAAAGAAAAAAGGTGAGTACATCCTCTCCCTTCTCTGCACAATCCTCCCTGCAGCGGCACAGATGGTTTCCTTTTTGCTGCGGTGACGGCAAGCAACACGCTTCTTGGTGTTTTCTTTTATATTTCCTCCTGCAGTTATCTGTTGCAAACTGGCTGCTCAATGAGAGTGTCATGGGCTGTGCTATTTCGGCTGCTTCAGTGGCTGGTGTTATTACCAGAAATGCTGAAATTGCGGGGCCTGGGTCATGCAGCCCTCCCCAGCTTCCCACTGCGATGGCTCATGTTGAGTGCGAGCACCCAGTAAACTCACAGATTGTTTGGTTTTTTGTTTTTTTTTTGTTTGTTTGTTTCCCCCTCCTGTTTTCTGATTTGACTTCCATTTCTCATTTGTCTTAGGCTTTTCCTGTTTTGTTTTGTTTTGCTCTTAAACCTGGTGTGTTGAGTCCTTTATCACATGCTTTCTTTTCACTGATGGACATCACTCAGTTAAAATCTTCTGGCAGCAGTAGGCAAGTATTGTTATATATGGGGCACCAAGACAAACAAAGGACTTACTGAACTGCCACCAGTGATTGATTATATGGGTGGTGTTACTGGTTCTCTGGAAGGGGAGCTACTGGGAAAACTCCTTGCCACCTGGGTAAAAAGAGAAAACAGTGCAGGCTGGAAGGGCCCTGGGGCTGTCCCTGCCCTGAGCCCTGCTCCAGTTCCTCTGAAATCACCTTAAGAGTCTTTTCAGACTACTCAGGGTCTTTTCCCTTCAATTTCTGAATATTTCTGGGGACGAAGGTCATGCAGACTTTCTAGGACACGTGCCCTAGAAGGGGGTGAGCTCAGGGAATATTTGCCAGCTGCTCTCTCCTGAGCTCCTTAAACTTCCGTACCCTTCATAGTACACCAGCACTGTAGCCCAGTGATGCCTTTTTGTGAAACTGCCTGCCCTGATGAAAGCATCGAACTTTGACGGTGTTTTGCTTCAGTAAAGAGAAAATCCTGAGTGAAAATCACCCATCACAGAGCGAGGAGTGCATCCCACAGTGGCAACCCATCTACGGCCCCACACTTGCCTTCCCTAGTACTTACTCTGAAATTTGATTAGAATTTAAAAATGCCATTATAGGTGTCTGTCAAATAAACTCATGGCATCTGCTACTTGCTCTTTCAGCAAACCTTGTTATAAATGACTCCTTTATCAAAAAATGGGAAGACACTTGGGGTTACCTCGGTTTAAGGGAATATGCAGAGCGCATCGATGACAAAGAGCTGGAAGTGAAGATTGCGATAGTGGAGAAACACAAAGAGCGGATCCCTGAGCTGGTGCAGAAGATCGAGAGCAGCCACGTGTCACAAGCAGCTCTGGCAGGTAAAGCCAAGCTGTGTCTTGGATAGAGGAACTAATTCAAGTCTTTTGTCAATCCAGCTTCAGTGCTGAATCCACCTCGTTCCGCAAAAAGGCTAAATTTGGATTAAATCTGTCTTTTAGGGAGAAAGGGAGTTGAACAGCAGCTTTTGGGGTACATCTGGGACTCCAGGTGGAGTTCAGTGCAGCGAATCTGCCAGCAAGGGATTGCTTAATGTGGCTTTGCTAGAGGCAAATAAATCTTTGAACACAGTATTTCCTGCAGTTGGAAAACCCTAGGACTTTATCTTGCTTTTTGGGATTCCTGTTGGAGTTGCCCTGCCATTTGCTGACTAAAATTCGGGGAGGGGACAAAGAAATTGAGTAAAAAAAAAAAAAAATCATCAAATAAAGAGCATTCCTGTTTGGGAGTCAGGGCTGCAGACAAGCAGGCATTTTCCTTGGCAGGGAAGTTGTCCTCAGCAGTCTAGATTCCTAATAGACGTGCTTTTGCTTCTGATTTTTATTTGGGGAGAAGTGAAATGAGTGCAGAATGAAGTAATTTCATCTGACTTGGCACCTCAGGAAATTAAAAATACCATTATTGCTGTGATGACTGATCTATTTTCCTTCTTGTTCCCCACGTGCACGGGTTACAGATTACGTAATAGGCACTGTCCATCAAGCCAAAGGTCTGGAGTTTGACACAGTGCTGATTGCAGATGACTTTGTGAAAGTACCAGGTCTCAGCAGCGATTACCAGAGAAGAATTAACTTCAATACCGGTGAGGGAACGGCTCTGCGCGGAACCCATCCTGATCTGAAAGTGGGAAAGCAAAACGCGCTGCCAGCACGTGTCCTGCGAGCCCGTGCTTCTCGGTGGTGGCAAGTGCTTTGTCCTCCTGATTCTTGATCTTGTTTCCTTCACAGCGAGATAGGGGCTGGGGAATATTCCTGCAGTTGAGTTGGTAGCCATCTAGCAAAAGGGAAAGACCAACGCCGCGCTTGGGAAAGACACTGCTTTGCTTAGGGGCCGCCGTTCGTGCTTTGGAGGAGCCGGTGTCATAGTTTGAGCCTGGTTGGCAGCCAAACACAGTGCAGCAGCTCTCTCTCCCTTCTTCTCCGGCAATGAGAAGGGACAGAGAGCCAGGCTTGGGGTTCCAGATAGGACTGGGATGGGGAAAAATCCCCCTTTATGATCACGAGCAAAAGGCAGACTCGTTAGGGGAAGAAACAAAGAACATACATTTATTACAGACACTAACAACGCATAACAGAGTAGGACAGTGAGAAGCATTGCCACATCTTGAGAACACCTTCCCCCCACCCCTCCCTCCTTCCCGGGCTCAGCTCTGCTCCCGATATCTCTACCTCCTCCCCCAGTGGCGCAGGGGCAGGGAATGGGGGGTGCAGTCAGCACTGCCACTTCCCTTATCTTCGGTGAGGGGAGTGTCCGGAACTTGTTCCCCCTGCTCCATCGTGGTCCCCCTCTCACAGGAGACAGTCCTCCACAAACTTTCTCTGACATGAGTCCCTCCCACGGGCCGCAGCGTTCCCCACACTGCTCCGTCGTGGGTCACTAACTTCCTCCGACTGGATTCCCTCCCACGGCTGCAGCCCTTCCCGAGCTGCTCCGGCGTGGGACTCCCCCGCATGCTGCAATCCTCCCAGCACTGAATTACAGCAGCGGGGCTGCCTTTTCCCATGAGACCCCGGCCTTCTTCGGGCACAGCACCTTGATTATACCCAGCAGAAGCCACAGGCCACAAATCAATGTCTGCTCCACCGTAGATCTCCATGGGTGGCAGGGGGGGCCGCCCTGCCGTCTCCCCACAGGATACAGGGGGGTCTCTGCTCCGGCACACCTCCCCCCTCCTTTCTCCCTCCGTTCCTCCACTGACCTTGGTGTTCACTCAGCTGCAGCAACTCCTCCTCACAAGTCCCCCTGCTCGTCACCACGTCCCTTCTTAAATACATTATCGCAGAGGTGCAGCTGATGGGCTCAGTTTCCAAACAGAAGTGGAGCTGACTTGGAGCTGGGGGAGCTTTGAGAAGCTTCTCACAGGGGGCCACCCCGATAGCCCCCTCCCCTGCCACCAAAAAACTCCACCACTCACTCAACCCAGGACAGCCGGTCTCTTCCCAGTGAGCAGAGAGGAGCTTGCAGAGTGAAATCTAGAGCATGAGAAAGTCCTCCAGTGCCAAGCCTGTGCCCGGGAGGTGGAAGAAAATGTAGCAGTGAGCTGCTTCTCTGGGCACGTAGAGTTCTGCCTTTGCGTGGAGGGGGGAACGTGGAAAAGGAGGCAGGAGCTGTCGGTGGCGTCAGGAGCTGCACGGCCAGCGCGGGAGGGTGCTGCGCAGCTGGGCTGCTCTGCCAGAGAAGCACCTTCTAGAAATACTTGCTGAAGCATTAAGAGGGATGGCAGAGCTGTTCATTCTTCTTCTCTAAAACTACGGGTGATGTTTCCTCCAACTTAGGCTTGTATCCTGAGGATGAATGGAATCTGCTCTACGTAGCAGTGACACGCGCAAAGAAGTGTTTGCTGATGTCAAAGTCCCTGGAATACCTTCTAGCGTTGGCTGGGGTAAGTGAAATCTTTCCAAGGTAAGCAAATCCTCGAGTTGGGGCAATTTAAGGCCCCGATACCTGCGCTGGGTAGCACGCTGCAGCAAAGCCAGGCCGTCGTCGCGTGTGGTCTGGCTGAGCAGCCCTGCCTGGGAGCTGCAGCAGTTCCTCAGCGGGATGCGCCAGCGCTCGCCGGGGGCAGAGCAGCCAGCCAGGGAGGGCAGACGCCCAGACACGCCGCTGTCCCGGCGGGATTGGGAGTCTGGGGCCAGCTCTGTAAGGGATGACGTCTCGGGCGGGATGGGCAGCTGCCAATTTAAAAAAAAAAAAGCCAAGAGAGTCAGCACCGCTACCCATAAAATCTGCTGGGCTCTGATTTATGTTTGGAGGGAGGGTGCGTGGCAGAGAAGCATAAAAGATCGTCATAAGATTCACCCTGATCCTGAGATTCATGCTGAGTGCGGGCTATGCCCTGGCTCCTGCTGCCATAGACTAAAATAGCTGAGGTCACATTTTTTCCTGGGTTCACGCTGCTTTGTACCACGATTTCTGTAGCAAGACACAAGGTTGCAGCGGTTTTTTTTTTTCCCAGTCCTTGTGTTTGGGTGTTGTCTTCCACAGGTCTCCATTTCTTGTCTCAGTGCAAGCGTGTAGGTTCCCTTTTCTCTGTCTGCAGAGGTTGCCAGCTCTTACTTCACTTCCTCGTGAGCAGCTGCTGGTTTCTGCTTGATTTTTGTTGTCACCAGGGGTTTGGAGGTTTTTTGTTTTGTTTTGTTTTTTAAAAAACGCATCATGTTGCAAGTCACTTCCCAGGGGGTTAAAAATATATGAAACAACCTATTCCGGTATCTCAGCTCCCTCTGAGCGTTGTTCCTTTTTTGGTTTTGTTTTTGTTTATTTTTCCCCTCCTTGTTTCTTAGGAGCATTTTCTTCGGGTGGAGCTGATGAGCGAGGCTGCAAAGGACGGAGCAGCTGTGGTTTGTTCTGTGCCACAGTGTACAGCAACTCTGCAATCCAGCTCCCGGCTGGTTGTGAAGAAGCTCCCTTTGACTCACGTACGTCCCTTCCCTGGGCTTTTGAGATCCCATTTCGGAATCGGGAGCCTTCCCGAGCCACTCCGGTCGCTTACGGGGTGGTTGTGGTGTGTGACTGTTCTGAGCTATTGCCCCGGGGAGGGACAACCCGAGTGTTGAACTTCAGTGGAAGCGAGCAGGGAACGTCCCAGAGCTGGATCTCATGCCCACAGCAACCCGGCCCTTTGCTTCTACTCACAGCCCCGGCTCCTAAGCGGGGGTGACCTCCCCACCGAATGAGTCGGGGTGGTGTTGCAGTTCCCACAGATCGAGCCTTAACCTCTCTTCTGAGATTAATTGTGGTCTCAGGTAGGGCCCGTTTGGGGGTTTGGTTGTGTCACATCCCGCGTCTGACTCTTGGAGCCTCTGCAAAGGCCTCGGGGCACCCATCTGAGCTTAGCAGAGCACCCCTCGCCCCAGTGACAATCCAACTTTTGGATCCAGTTTCCCCTTTGATCCCACCTTCTGGCTCTGGGCTGGATCCTTGCCCGGAGGGTGCAGGGAAAGCCAAGCTCCCCCACTCAGCACGCAATAAATCAGTGGAGCTCCGTGGCCAGGACAGGAGGGAGCAGATGGCTCCGACCTATCGGCTGGGGACACAAGGACAGAGACGGGCAAAGCCTCGTCCTTCCCCAGCCAAGACCTGCACAGGGACGTTTTGGTTGGTGCAGCTATTAAACAAGCTGTCCCATAAGGGATTTCCCTGCAAGGGAGGTGGCAGGAGATGCTTCGGGCGCATCGTTGCTCTCTTCCCTGGACGCGAGGGGATTGTGTCTGAGGCTGGAAGCCTTCCTCCAACCCTTCTCTTCTCTCAAATCTCCTCTCTTCACCCGCAGAGCAACGGCACCAGGGATGCAGGCGGCTACCTTTGCCGCGCTTGCGCGCAGCAGCGCTTCGGCTCTCTCACACCGCTCGCCTTTTCCCCGGCGCTTCAGGAACAGCCCATCCAGCCCTAACGAAGCCTCCCCAGAGCCCCGGCTGCACCCCGGAACCGTCCCGGGGGACGGGACGAGGCCTGTTGTCACATCCCAGCTCCAAAATCGGGTGGAGGTTGGAGCAGGATTTCCAAGCAACTCCAAGAGGAACTGGCCAGGCTCTCTGCAGGGAGGTGCGAGATCTTTTCTCCGGCTTTGCCTTGCCCTCCAAGAGCTGGTCGGTGTGGCCTGCGCCGCATCGCCGCACAGAACAATATGCACTATAGAAACCGTATCGGACGGGACGGTTGGTTCTTTTTTTTTTTTTTTTTAAGCATTACCCCTCCATTACCACTGTCACCAGGAAAACACTTCCAGTGACCAAACTACCGGGATATTCCTGCCTATTCTGTTACATCATGTATTGGTGAAATCCCTCTGATCCACCAGAAGTGGAAAGGCAACACTGGAGAGTACCCAAAGAAACACTCTATTGCCAGAAAATGGACTTTTTACTATCAGCTCTGGGAGAAGTCATTAATCTCTCCCAGCTGAATTAGTTTTCCTTACTTGTAGCCATGGGGTTTCCCCAGATTCTGTTTCCCTTTTCCCTCCAGCAAATCATCAGGGAAGAGAGACAGCGTCTGAAGAACTGCTTTGGTTTGGTTTCAGTCTAGCTCAGAGACAAACTGGAGAGCATTTCCTTAGCGCTTTCTTTTTTTTCTCTTCCCTTCTCTTAAGAAGTCATCTTGGGTTGCATTTATTTCCCAACCATCCCAGCAGCAGCGGCGCGAGCAGCGCGATGCTCTTGTAAATCAGATGGTGGCTTACGTTTGCCATCTGAAGACGCTGTGGAGGTTGTACCAGAGCCCGTGTCCCGCGGACGTCAAAACTGAACCCGATTTTGGAAGAGACCTGCTCTTGGACACGGCCCCCAGAGCCGTGCCTGCTGGAGGAAGCTCGTGCATCCTGTTGATTCCCGTCGTTATTCACGGAACGGTAGCTCCTTTTGCTGGTTCTCCTTTTGCTTTCGAAACGCCGACTCCAGAAAGGTTTCCCCCGTTCCGCTCCCCCGAAACGCAGGCAGCCGCTCACCCCGGACCTGGAGGTTGGATGGAACCCCGAAGCTCGGCACAGACGTTGCATCCAACCAGCCCTTCCAGCCTCGCCCGTTTTCCAACCGTCCCTGGGATGAGCTGGGGAGAAGCGGCTCCAACGCCGGAGCGTTCGGTCCGTCCCACATCCAAAGTGCCGCTTCCTCCCGCTCCGGAGCAGCGACACAAAACAGGAGCACAAGACACAGCAGCGAGGAAAGAAGCGGGGAAATCCATTTGTTAAGCACCTTCCGCTTTCCGGCCGCCCGCTAAAAATCCTTTCGCCGCCCAGCTGCCACCTTCCCTTCGCCTCTGGAGCACGGCACTGCCGGCGCCCGCCGCGGAGATGGGTTTCACCCCACCCCCAGCTCCCGTCTGTCCCCGCTGCCACCCCCCACCATCGCGGCTGCCGACCAGACCAAAAAAACCAACCGCTGCGTGTGTATTATTTTATATACAGTATATACACATCTATACATAAAACAGCGTCAGGATAAAGCCGCCTGTTCTGGAGCGAGGGGGAAACGAGTGGATAACGACGGATGATGGGTGAAGGGAAAACACGCAAAGGAAAATATCTCCGAAGTGGTGTTATTGCCTTCAGGCTTTGGTCGTGCCTGTAGAGAAATCGCTCCTGCTTGTGGTTGCCCGCGAGCGGCCGGAGCTGACGGGCACCCGGGGTCGGCGCTGAAAATGCCTCTGAAGGATCCCTGAGCCGCGGCGCGAGGGCCGAGCGCGGCGGCGGGACGGCGCCGGCACCCTCCGCTGCGGTGGCGGGCTCGCCGGCGAACGGCTGAAAGGGAGCGGGGAAGGGGTGAGGACGGGGCAGGGGGAAGCTCGGCGCTGCTCTCTGGGGGTTTGGGGTGGTGATTTCGGGGTCAGCCACAAAGAGCAGGCGCCCCCCCCCCGGCTCCCCATCCTGCTTTTTACCATCCGCCGGCACCTCCTCCGAATCCTGGCTCCCACCCAGCACCTCCCCGTCGCCCCTGGGCGCTCGTGGCGCTTCACCCACCCACCGTTCCGCCGCAGGGCTGGGCCAACCCGCCCACCTTTGGGGTGCTGGAGCGGTCTCACCCGTGCGAGTCGCTTGGTCGGGCTGGGAAGAGCGGCCGTGTGTCCCCGGGGTGAAGATGCTCCGTGAGGAAGGCGGCTGGGGAACCCGCTCTGCCACGCGCCGCTGCCGCTCGGGGAAGGATCCGGCTTTCCCTCGGAGCCCCGAGCATCCTCCGGGCTGGCGGGTGCACCGAGTTGCCCGGCGGTGGGTGCTCAGCCCGTGGGGAAAACACCGGGCGGCGACATCTCATTCTCAGCAACGGGAGCGGCCATGGGGATGGCCACCACCGCGTAATCCCGTCCCGCACGCCTGCGGAGGGGAGAGAGGAGCATCAGTGGCACCCAAACCGATTTTCCCCGGCGTTCCGGAAAGCACAGAGACCGAGGACAACCCCTCACCAGGCTGGGAAAACCTGGCGGGGCTCAACGCGCTTACGTTTTCATCCTCCAGCAGCAGCAGGCCACGACGCCGGCGACCACCAGCACCGGGAGGCCTGCGGGAGAGACGCAGCTCGTCACCGGCATCTTCCAAGCCTCGGCAGAGAGCCCAAACCGCTTTGTGCGCGCTCGCACGGCGCCCTCCCCACCCCGGGAAGAAATTCGGGTGCTGCATCCTTCCTCCCTTGGAGGCACTGCCAGAAACCACGGCATAACCCTCCCCGAGGTGAGCTTTGAGGCTAAAAAAATGGCGAAAACAACCCCCTGCTTGCCAAAATAAGCTTTTTGCCCGTCTTACCAATGGAAGAGGCCAGGGTCTGGATGGAAACTGGGAAAGAAGAGAGAAATGGAGATGATTATTTTTTTTTTTAAGCTGGAAAGGCAGGGAGGCTGGGGGTGACCCACACTAAAAAGGGCGTTGGAAACAAGGGGAAAACGTATTTAAAAAGGAAAAGAGCCTTTTGCTTGTTGAAACCGGCCCCGTGGGTGGGAGAGGCGGCCTGACCTGCAGCGTGGTCCGTAGGGGCGGTGGGCAGCGAGGTTGTCCCCAGAGCTTTCCCCGGGGCTGTCACCTCTCCCAGTGAGGATGGCTCCAGGGGTGGGAGTAGCTCTGGTGGCGTGGGTGTCACCGGTGCTGGCTCAGCCGGGGCTGGTGGCACGAGTGACCGGTTGGCAGCTCCGGGCAGCCCGGGCGTCGCTGCTGGAGAAGGGCTGGAGGTCGGGCTGGCATCGGGGCTTCCCGCTGCGGAAAAATGGTGTAAAAACCTTTTAATTTAAGGTTGTGGTCAGGCACGGTGCTGTTATTTTGCCGAAAAACGGTGTAAAAACCTTTTAATTTAAGGTTGTGGTCAGGCACGGTGCTGTTATTTTGCCGAGAAACGGTGTAAAAACCTTTTAATTTAAGGTTGTGGTCAGGCACGGTGCTGTTATTTTGCCGAAAAACGGTGTAAAAACCTTTTCATTTAAGGTTGTGGTCAGGCACGGTGCTGTTATTTTGCCGAAAAACGGTGTAAAAACCTTTTCATTTAAGGTTGTGGTCAGGCACGGTGCTGTTATTTTGCCGAAAAACGGTGTAAAAACCTTTTCATTTAAGGTTGTGGTCAGGCACGGTGCTGTTATTTTGCCGAAAAACGGTGTAAAAACCTTTTCATTTAAGGTTGTGGTCAGGCACGGTGCTGTTATTTTGCCGAAAAACGGTGTAAAAACCTTTTCATTTAAGGTTGTGGTCAGGCACGGTGCTGTTATTTTGCCGAAAAACGGTGTAAAAACCTTTTCATTTAAGGTTGTGGTCAGGCACGGTGCTGTTATTTTGCCGAAAAACGGTGTAAAAACCTTTTCATTTAAGGTTGTGGTCAGGCACGGTGCTGTTATTTTGCCGAAAAACGGTGTAAAAACCTTTTCATTTAAGGTTGTGGTCAGGCACGGTGCTGTTATTTTGCCGAAAAACGGTGTAAAAACCTTTTCATTTAAGGTTGTGGTCAGGCACGGTGCTGTTATTTTGCCGAAAAACGGTGTAAAAACCTTTTAATTTAAAGTTGTGGTCAGGCACGGTGCTGTTATTTTGCCGAAAAACGGTGTAAAAACCTTTTAATTTAAGGTTGTGGTCAGGCACGGTGCTGTGATTTTGCCGAAAAACGGTGTAAAAACCTTTTAATTTAAGGTTGTGGTCAGGCACGGTGCTGTGATTTTGCCGAAAAACGGTGTAAAAACCTTTTAATTTAAGGTTGTGGTCAGGCACGGTGCTGTGATTTTGCCGAAAAACGGTGTAAAAACCTTTTAATTTAAGGTTGTGGTCAGGCACGGTGCTGTTATTTTGCCGAAAAACGGTGTAAAAACCTTTTAATTTAAGGTTGTGGTCAGGCACGGTGCTGTTATTTTGCCGAAAAACGGTGTAAAAACCTTTTAATTTAAGGTTGTGGTCAGGCACGGTGCTGTTATTTTGCCGAAAAACGGTGTAAAAACCTTTTAATTTAAGGTTGTGGTCAGGCACGGTGCTGTTATTTTGCCGAAAAACGGTGTAAAAACCTTTTAATTTAAGGTTGTGGTCAGGCACGGTGCTGTTATTTTGCCGAAAAAACGGTGTAAAAACCTTTTAATTTAAGGTTGTGGTCAGGCACGGTGCTGTTATTTTGGTGCTCAGGCTCGTGCCCGCTTCGGGCAGTTGGCAGCAGGGACCAGACAGCTCATCCAGCAGCTACGAAACGGCTTAATTTCCACCCACCCCCCCCACCCCCCCCCCGGTGGAATTAATTTAATCACGCCGTTGAAAGAATTCGCTTCCCACCCAGCGGTGGTTGCGGTTTTGTCGCGATCCTGGTCACGGTGGCCTTAAATCCACCCCCCACCCACCCCCTTCCTCCACGGGCTGCCTTTGCCCCTTCCTCACCCCTCTGGGTCGTCCTGGGGGCGCGCGGCACGGTCGGGAGCTCGGGGCTGGGGGGTTGCGGAGGTAGAGCCGGGTCCCCTTCGGGAAGACACAACGCGGAGACGTCATCAACGGCGGCGCCCACGCCACCCCCCCGTCCTCCGGGGATGGAGGCGTGTGTGTGTGTGTGTGTGTCCCCCCCCGCCTCCTCCCCTGTCCCCCAGCGCGTCCCGGCCGCCGAGCGAGGGCTTACGGATGCATTGCAATGTGATGGGGGTCCAGTCGGGCTCGGCGGAGCCGTCGCGGAGGATGCACTGGATGAGGCTGGAGGTGCCGGCTTTGCGCTTGTAGCCCGGGTTGCAGGTGTAGCGCAGGCGGGTGTTGAGCAACAGGTTGTCGCCGGCGTCGATGTGAGCGTTGGCCACGTCCTTGGGGTGGCTGCATCGCGCTGGCGCTGGGAGGGGGATTAAAAAAATAAAAAAAAAACAAAAAAAAAAAAACAAAAAAAAAAAAAAAAAAACAAAACAAAAAAAAAAACAACAGAGGTGGAGATCACAAAAAGGGAGATTAAGCACCCTCTGGCCTCAGCTTGCCGTGCCAAGTGGCACCCAAGAGGGTCAAATCCTGCCTGGGGGTGGGAACGGGGGGATCGGGGCTGGGAAAGCCTCATCCTGCCCGCAAAAATTGAGCGGTGAGACAGCTCTGCCTGAGCGGGAGGGCTGGGGAAAGGGGAAAGCTCCATTTCCAGCTCGTCTTGCGGTCACTTTTAGCAGCTCCTCCGGTCGCTAAAGACATTTTGCAGATTTTCATTCCCCGCTCCCTGCCCTGCAGCGAGCGGCTCCGGCTGCATCCTGACCCCCACTGCTGGAGTTCGGCTGCGCTCGCCGCCGCCTTTTTTTTTTTTTAGTTTTTTTTTGCCCCCTCCTTTTATTTTGCAGCTGGATTTGAAAAAAGTTCCAAGCGCCGTGTGAGTCCTCCAGCCACTTCCCGGGGTTTTTTCCCCTGCCAGAGGCTGCACCCACGGCCCCGGCGGCGCCTGAAACCTCAGCATCACGTGGCCGGGCAATGGGGCAGTGATGGGCTGGGAGTTACGGCTTTTCTTATCCCCAAAAGGCCTCGTGCTTCCCCTTTTGCCTTGATTTGAGGTCGGTTTCACATGTTACAATTTCACTTCTTTTCTCTGGTGCAATGGAGAAAGTTTTAGTTGCCCCAAAACCGTGCCCTCACCTGGAGCCCTGCCGCAGCGTGGGGACGGCTGAGCCGTCACCCCGGCTGCTGCCGGCTCCTCTCCCCCGACGCGAGCCGCTGTGAGGCTCCAGCGCCGGGATGGAGGGGCTGCACACAGCGGGGGGGGGGGGAAGCAACATACGGGCTGGATGGAGCGATGGACGGGGGAACGATGAACGGCTGAGATGGAGCAATGCATGGCCGGGATGTCATGGGGGGCCGGGACGGGGCGACGCGTGGACGGGACGGAGAAATGAATGGACAGGACGGAGCGACACGCGGATGGGATGGAACAACACATGGACAGGATGTCATGCATGGTCAGGATGGAGAAATGCGTGGGTGGGATGGAACAACAGGTGGATGGGACAGAGTGATGCGTGGACGGGATGGAGCAGGACATGGCCAGGATGGAGAAATGCATGGGTGGGATGGAACAACATGTGGATGGGGCGGAGCGACGCGTGGACGGGATGGAACGACATGTGGACAGGTTGTCATGCATGGTCAGGATGGAGAAGTGCGTGGACGGGATGGGACGGAGTGATGCATGGACAGGATGGAACAACACGTGGATGGGACAGAGAAATGCATGGATGGGATGGAGCAGGACATGACCAGGATGGAGCAAGGCATGGATGGGATGGAGCAACGTGTGGACGGGATGGAGCGACACGTGGATGGGATGGAACAACATGTGGACAGGATGTCATGCATGGTCAGGATGGAGAAATGCGTGGATGGGATGGAACAACAGGTGGATGGGACGGAGTGATGCGTGGACGGGATGGAGCAGGACATGGCCAGGATGGAGTAATGCATGGGTGGGATGCAACAACATGTGGATGGGGCGGAGCGACGCGTGGACGGGATGGAACGACATGTGGACAGGTTGTCATGCATGGTCAGGATGGAGAAGTGCGTGGACAGGATGGAACAACGCGTGGATGGGACAGAGAAATGCATGGATGGGATGGAGCAGGACATGACCAGGATGGAGCAAGGCATGGATGGGATGGAACAACGCGTGGACAGGGTGGAGCGACATGTGGATGGGATGGAACAACATGTGGATGGGATGGAGCGACACGTGGACAGGATGTCATGCATGGTCAGAATGGAGAAATGCGTGGGTGGGATGGAACAACATGTGGATGGGACGGAATGATGCATGGACGGGATGGAGCAGGACATGGCCAGGATGGAGAAATGCATGGCCAGGATGGAGCAATGTGTGGATGGGACAGAGAAATGCATGGATGGGATGGAACAATGCGTGCGCAGGACGTCGTGCATGGTCAGGATGGAGCAGTGCGTGGACAGGATGGAGCAGGACATGGCCAGGATGGAGCAAGGCATGGATGGGATGGAGCAAGGCATGGATGGGATGGAGCAACGCTTGGATGGGATGGAGCAATGTGTGGATGGGATGTCACACATGGCCAGGATGGAGCAATGCACAGCCAGGATGAGGCGATGAATGGCCGGGATGTGTTGCACAGCATGGATAAACTGATGCCCGGCACAGATTGAGCGATGCCCAGCTGGGACGGAGCGGTGCCCAGCCGGGACGATGCACATTTGGCATGGAGGGATGCACGGTCGGGCTGGGATCGGGAGCAGGATGGAGATGGGAGCACAACAGGGATGGGAACGCACCGGTGATGGGGACAGGAGCACAATGGAGATGCGTAAGGAACGGAAGGAATTCATGCCTCAAACATTCATCAACACAGAAAGCCTCAAGGACGAGCTGTGGCCTTTGGGATCAGTCTAAGGAACGCTGCCCAGGGAAGGGCGGGGTGTAGGGAAGGATGCACGTCCCCACTCCCTTGCGGCTGTTTTGCCAAACTCCTTAGATAAACCTCAAAGAGGGGGAAAACCGCCCAAAAGGAGCAAAACCAGATGTTGGGGTTAAAAAACTGATAAGAGAGATAAACCACCAGCACCAGATGGACCGAAGCAAAAATTGAGGAAAAAAAATCAAAGGGGGGAGGGCGGTGAGGGAGGACGACCACCGACTCAAGTAGGCGAGGGGGGTTGGTGCACCCCCACTCTCCCTCCACGCATGCGCGGAACCCACGCTCCACCTTTTCCTCGTCTCTCGTGGAAAGGAGGTCGTGGAATAACTGCCTCTCTCGGTCTAGTGTGCAAATCAGCTGAAAAAAAAAAAAAATGAACTTAAAAGGCGACTGCACCTGCCACCCGAGATTTCCAGACCTGAGACAACGCTGGAACCTGGGGTGGTGACCTGACTGTTTTTGTCTCCTTTCTTTTTCTTTCTTTTCTTTTCTTTCTTACAGACCTAGAAGAGACCCCCTTGCTTACTGTCCTTTTCCAAGTTGTTTCTACCACAAGTAAAACATTTGAACCGGCCGTTTGCTGTCATTTCACCTCAATTTAGCCCGAGGGGATCACAGAAACTTTCCAGGATGTAACAGGATGGAGACGGGAACGCGACGTGCTCCGCCAGTCACCCAAAACACCCGGAGAGAAAAATCTTAATCTTAAAAATCTCCTGCCCCAATTTGTTATCGATCCCTGGAACATCCCAAGGCGGGGGTTCTACTCCCTTTCAGATCTGGAGCGCACCCAGGCCGTGTCCCCTGGCATCGGGACACCCCAAAGAGCTGCAGCCGCCGTGCCCAGACACGAGGGGTGTGGTGGCCACGCGTGTGCTGAGCACGTCGGTTCTCAGCCTCCTCCAGATGGTAGCGAAAATTCTAGGAGCGTTTCAGGGAAAACACCAGGGGCCTTTTTTCAACACCCTCGCACGTCACCAGACCTGAAGCTGCACCATAAAATAAAGGAAAAGCCCTTTCAGTGCCAAGACAACGCACAGCTGTGTCTGCGAAGGGAGCACGGCAGGAAATCCAGCTGGAAGCATCAAAAACGTCCAGGAAAAACAAGGACTTGCAAGGCCTGCTTACGCCTGTCAGTTTTTAAACAACCTGATCTCATCATCTTAATCCCACTGAAGCGCTTTTTTTTTTTTTTTTTTTTTTTTTCCCAGTTGGTTTGACTGTAAAAGAATCTCCTCTTCCAAAAAATGCCCAAGTCCTTCAGCGGCAAAGGCCCCAGCGTCTCCGCTCTCCAGAATCACGACCCCGTCGTCTCGCACCATCGCTGCCTGGATTTCAGTTCATTTGCTGAGATGAAACACGTGCCAAGGGGGAAAAAGGGAGGAAAATCTTCGCGGCTTCAGGTTTCTGGTGCTGCAACAGCCCTGGAGATGCACGGCCAAGATTTCAGCTTGCTTTTATACCTTTTGTAGTGAATTGGAAATGGTGGAAAGTGCGGATGGTTGGGAAGAGCCGTAACCCTGATAAATCTCTTGCTTCCAAGCAAGAGCTGCGCTAAGTACAAGCCTCTCCTTCTCTTATTTGCTTTTTTATTGAAGCAAATTGATAAAATCCCCTGGGTCTGGATGCCGCCAGGGACTTGCACGCAGGAAAAAAAAACCATCTGTCTTCTATTTCCCTGGGGCTTTTTCCTGTATTTTTCCAAGGAAAAGCTCACAAGACTCTCCCAGGGTGGCCAGAAGCACCTCTCTGCTTGTCTCCGCTCCCTCTGAGCTTTGCCGCTCGAGTTTGCCCGTTGATGTGTCAGCCCTCGTGCTCGAAGAGCCGTTGCATCGTTAGCCCAGCTCCCAAACGAGCCGTGGGGCTGGGTACCAGCCTTCCAGGGAAAATCCCTCTGCCTGCCTGAATTCCATCCAAATTCCCTGCATCATCCCCTTGGTATTAAATTTCCAAGTTGAAACGCGTGCACAGTATTCTGGTTTGGGTTGTGTTTTTTGTTGCATTTGCATGAATTAAGCTCACGTTTTTGCTTTTTTTGGCTTTCTCTGCCAACGATGTCCAATGATGCCGGCGAGGGTGAGCTTGTGCTGGCACATCGGGATAAAAAAACCACGCAGGCACGTGGCCGGGGTGAGTCCCAGGGGTGGAGATGCTGCCGTGTGCTGTCGTCCCATGTCACAGAGACGTCCCCCTCCAGCTTCACGGGGCTGCAGGGGGTTGCACAACCACAACTAGACACTGGAGAATCCACGCTGGGAAAACCTGGGCTGTTTTTCCTAGAAAATTATCAGCAAAAGGGCCAGAGCGGCGCTTGTTTTCTGCTAACAGTTTAAAAAACCCAAAATAAAAAGCGGAGAAAAGAGACATTTCAGAAGTCTGTGCCCAAGAACGGAGAGTTCATGAGAAGCACCAAAATCACAGAAATAAATACGACTTTTTTCACATTTTAACTGAAAAATATTTCCAAGGGACTGGCTGTGCCAGGGATGGAAGGCAGGAGACGTGATGCCCGGCGCGAGCATTGCGGGATGCGACGGTGCGGCTGGCACAGAGGGGCTGCGGCACCTCCTCAGTTATCCACCAGCTGAATGAAAAGCAGTAAATAATAATTCTTTTTCTCTAACACCTCAGAAAACCACGTTTTCTGCCCCAAACAACAGTCCTAATTGCATCACCACTACCAGGAACATCGTCTGCAGGTCTGGGACGGGGGCTGTGGGAAGACATTGCTTTCGGGGCAAGATATTTTTAAGCTGTTCCTGGAATGCACCTGGCAGCACGTGCAGCTCTTCTGCCTTATTTTTCCCACTAGAGTCAGTTTAAAGCCCTCGCTGTACCCACCAGCTGCTTGAAAATAGGAATAAATTCATTTTCTAGGATGCTGCAGCTTCGACACCAGATGGGAGCCAGGGAAAAGGAGAGAGCTAAAACTACCCTGAATTTTTGCAGTCCCTTCCAGCCTGATTTCCTCCGCTTCCACGGAAATCCTTTCCAAATTCTCACATTTTCAGCTATTTAAATCTCTCCTAATGGTCTTGCTGCTGCCGCCAGCGGCTCCCCATCCACGCTGAGCCGTGATGGTGACTGTTCCCGAAGCTGCTGGGTCCATAGAGCAACGGAGCTGGGGAAGGGTCTGGAGCACAAGTTTTATGAGGAGCAGAGGAGGGAACTGGGGGGGTTCAGCCTGGAGAGAAGGAGGCTGAGGGGAGCCCTGATGGCTCTGTACAGCTACCTGAGAGGAGGTTGGAGCGAGGGGGGGGTCGGTCTCTTCTCCCAGGGAACAAGCGATAGGACGAGAGGAAACGGCCTCAAGTTGCGCCAAGAAAGGTTTAGATTGGATACGAGGAACAATTTCTTCCCCCCAAAAGGGCTGTCGGGCACTGGAAGGGGCTGCCCGGGGCGGCGGTGGAGCCACCATCCTTTTTGGTCTTTAAAAGACGCGTGGACGTGGCGCGTGGGGACGCGGGTTGGTGTCGGGTCAACGGTTGGGCTCGGTGATCTTAAAGATCTTTTCCAACGTAAACGATTCTATGAATCTGTGCGGTTTGGGGAGGCGACGCACGATGCTTGCCCGTGGACAAGCCACAGTCCCGTGGAAAGCCCACCCAGGGTGAAATCCCATGGTGCTGCAGCTCCTGTGGGTCCATCGCACAGAGCTTAAAATCACCCCCCCCAGGCTCCCTGGAGGCTGGTGGGGAGGTGCTGTGAGCAGCCGGGGAGGGGCAAGGGGAACGCAGGGGTGCAGCCTGGGCATGCGTGGGTGCCCCAGGGGTGGGCATAGGGTACCCCAGGAGCAGTGTAGGTGCCCCAGGGGTGGGCATGGGCACTCCGGGGAGGGTATGGGTGCCCCAGGAGTGGGCACGGGGCACCCCGGGGAGGGTATGGGTGCCCCGGGGTGGGCATGGGGCACCCCAGGAGCAGCGTGGGTGTCCCAGGGGTGGGCACAGGGCACCCTGGGGAGGGTATGGGTGCCCTGGGGTGGGTATGGGTGCCCTGGGGTGGGCATGGGGCACCCCAGGGAGGGAATAGGTGCCCCAGGAGTGGGCATGGGGCACCCCAGGGGCAGTGTAGGTGCCCCAGGGGTGGGCACTGGGCACCCCGGGGAGAGTATGGGTGCCCCAGGGTGGGCATGAGGCACCCTGGGAAGCAGACTGGGTGCCCCAGGGGTGGGCATAGGGCACCCCAAGGGGGGTATGGGTGCCCCAGGGTGGGCGTGGGGCACCCCAGGAGCAGCGTGGACACCCCACAGACAGCGTGGGCATCCTGGGGGTGGACATGGGGCACCCCAGGGAGGGAATAGGTGCCCCAGGAGTGGGCATGGGGCACCCCAGGAGCAGTGTAGGTGCCCCAGGGGTGGGCACTGGGCACCCCGGGGAGAGTATGGGTGCCCCAGGGTGGGCATGAGGCACCCTGGGAAGCAGACTGGGTGCCCCAGGGGTGGGCATAGGGCACCCCAAGGGGGGTATGGGTGCCCCAGGGTGGGCGTGGGGCACCCCAGGAGCAGCGTGGACACCCCACAGACAGCGTGGGCATCCCGGGGGTGGGCATGGGGCACCTCAGGAGCAGCGTGGGCACCCCAAGGACAGCGTGGGCATCCCGGGGGTGGGCATGGGGCACCCCAGGAACCCCACAGACAGCGTGGGCATCCCCAGGGGTGGGCATGGGGCACCCCAGGAGCAGCGTGGGTGCCCCAAGGACAGCGTGGGCATCCTGGGGGTGGGCATGGGGCACCCCAGGAGCAGCGTGGACACCCCACTGACCGCGTGGGCACCCCACTGACTGCGTGGGCATCCCGGAGGTGTAGCGTACGCAGCCCACGGAAGGCATGGACAAGCCGGCGGCGACTCGGGGAGCCCGGGGTTGCAGGGGTGGGGGGGGGGCGGTCCCACTTACCGGTGTCGGCGGAGGCCCAGGGCAGCAGGAGGGCGAAGGCACCGCACAGCAGCGGCAGCAGCGGTCCCGCCATGGGACGCGGGGCCGGGCCGGGGGGGGCTCAGCGCTCCCGCGGAGGCTCAGCGCTCCCGCGGAGGTTCCGCGGAGCTGCCCCGCCGCCGGCCATGCCCGGCTGCGAGTCACCTTTCGCTTTCGCTTTCGCTTTTCGCCCCGGGGCCACCGGGGAGGGACGCGGAGTCCTGCCGGCATGGGGAGCCCGCGGGGAGGGAGGAGGGGGATGCAGTAAGCGGGGGGGGGGGGTGGGGGTGGGGGGGGTGGGGCGGGGGATGTAATACCTGGGGTGGGGGGATGTAATACCCGGAGGGATGCAATACCCGGGGAGTGTAATACCGGGGGATGGGGGGTGGATTCATTGCCCGGGGGGTGGGGGGGCGGAATGAGGTACCTGGGGGGGTGGGGAAGTGTAATAGTGGGGGAGGGGGTTGAGATACCCGGGGGAGGGATGCAATACCCGGGGGGGTGTAATACCGGGGGATAGGGGCGGTGGGGGGGGGGGTTGAGATACCTGAGGGGGAGGATGTAATACTAGGGGAGGGGGTTGAGATAACCGGGGGAGTGTAAAGCCAGGGGATAGAGGGGATTTATTGATGGGGGGGGGGGGGGGTGAGATACCTGGGGGAGGGATGCAATATCAGTGGGGTGAAATATTTGAAGTGGGGGTGCGTGGGTGTGCATTACCCGGGGGGGGTGCAATAGCAGGAGGTGAGGGAGAGGGGATGTGATGGCCAGGGAGAGGAGCGGGGTCGGGGGGGGGGGGGGGGGGGTCGGGATGTGCTACTGCTAGAGCAAGCAGCAGCCGGGGTGATGCGATACCCGGGGGGCTTGTTGTATTTGGGGGGGTGCAATAAAAAAAATGAAAAAAAAAGGATGTGGTACCCAGAGAGGGGGGATGCAGGACCAGCAGGGTGCAGTATCCTGGGGAGGGCTGCGATTCCTGGCAGGAGATGATGCGGTACTGGGCGTGGGGATGTGGTACCCGGGGGGGATGCGGTGCCCTTTGGGGGGGGGGGGATGAAATTCCTGGGGGGATCTGGGTGAGATGCCCTGGGCGGGGGGGCGTGGGACCCTGGGGGTGCAGATATCACAATGCTGGAGCTAGAGTTTACTGGTCCCCAGGCAAACCTCCAAACTGGAACTCCAGCTACGATTCAAGGCCCTGGAAGATCTTGCAGCTCCTTGCTCGCGGCCTGGTTTTGTCTGTCTCCGCTTCCTCTTCTCTTGACTTGCGAGTCGTTTGGTCTTGGCAGTGAGTATCAGAAAATAGCTTCACAATAACTACGAAAGAGGAGGAAAAGCAGTATTTGGAAGCTACACATTTCAGCGGCCACTGAGCAATTCTTCATGAGAAGCGGGTAAATTCTCCCTCTGCCCATCGAGGAGAGAGCGTTAACCTCCCCTGAAGCAGAAGAGAGTCGCTGAGGGTGGCCCAACCAGTTGACAAAACACTTGGCCCTGCCAAGTGTTATTTAGAAAGAGCAACCTACAAGACTGCAAATCTTGATAACATGGTGTAAACGCCTGAGGATCACGACTAGAAAACGCTGCACCAGTTATACACCAGTTAAGTGATACCCTAGATTCCCAGGGCTCGGTGTTTGGACTGCTGTTGATTAAGCACACTCTTTAATCTATGTACTCTGGACAGGTTGGGATTTCACATGATGAGTGCTATGAAAATCAATCAGCAGGTTAGAGTTCACAATCAGCTTACATAAGAAATAGCTGAGGGGAGTAATACTGGGATTTGGTAAAGAAAATACAGTCTGCAAAGACTTTACCCTTCTTCTCCAAGCATTCCTTCAAAAGTCATCTAAAACCCAATCATGTTGTAAATGTTTTGGCGTGAGGATTTTTGCAATAGAATCATAGACTCACAGACTGGTTCGGGTTACAAGGGACCTTAAAGCCCCTCCAGTGCCATCCCCTGCCCCGGGCAGGGCCCCCTTCCCCCAGCCCAGGGGGCTCCCAGCCCCGTCCAACCTGGCCTTGAACCCTTCCAGGGAGGGGGCAGCCACAGCTGCTCTGGGCACCCTGGGCCAGCGCCTCACCCCTTGCACAGGGAACAATTTCTGCCTTAGATCTCATCTAAATCTGCCCTCTGTCAGTGTAAAACCATCACCCCTCGTCCTATCCCCACCCCCTGATCCAGAGTCCCCCCCCACCTCTCCTGTCCCCCCTTTAAGCCCTGCGAGGCCGCTCGAAGGGCTCCCCGGAGCCTTCTCTTCTCCAGGCTGAACCCCCCCAACTCTCTCAGCCCGGCCCCCCAGGGGAGCTGCTCCAGCCCCCCCAGCATCTTCGTGGCCTCCTCTGGCCCCGCTCGAGCAGCTCCGTGTCCTTCTGCTGTTGGGGGCCCCCGAGCTGGCCCCAGCACTGCAGGGGGGTCTCCCCAGAGCGGAGCAGAGGGGGAGAATCCCCTCCCTGGCCCTGCTGCCCCCCCTGCTCTGGCTGCAGCCCAGGGCACGGGTGGGTTCTGGGCTGCAAGCGCACGGGGCTGCCTCACGGGCAGTTTTCCCCCCACCAACCCCCCCAGTCCCTCTTCTTGGGGCTGCTCTCCAGCCACCCCTCGAGGGCCCAGCCTGGGTTTGTGCTGGGGATCGCCCCGACCCCTGGGCAGGACCTTGCCCTTGGCCTTGTTGAACCCCACGAGGTTTGCCCGGGCCCCCCTCTCCAGCCTGCCCAGGTCCCTCGGGATGCCCCCCCTGCCCTCAGCGTGTCCCCCACCACGCAGCTCGGGGTCACAGGTGAACTTGCTGAGGGGGCATCGATCCCACTGTCCGTGTCCCCAGCAAAGATGTCAAACAGCACCAGGCCCTACCCCTGAGGAACGCCACTTCTCACCACTCTCCACTTGGCCATCGAGCCGTTGGCCGCAATTCTTTGAGTGCAACCACCCGGCCAATTCCTTATCCCCCGAGTGCTCCATCCATCAGTTCCACATGTCTCCAATTTAGAGACAATGATGACTTCCTCTTTGTTGGGATGCATTGCTCTTGAGCTCAGAGGAGATAATCCTTGAATATTAACCAGCTTTCTTGGACCCCTCTTCCCCTCAGGGCTTTATCCCATGCTACTCTACCAAGCAGATCCCTGAAGAGGCCAGAGTCAGCTCTCCTCAAGTCGAGGGTAGCAAGCTTGCTGTTCACCCTCCTTGCTGCCCTGAGGATCTAGAACTCCACCATTTCATGGCCACAGCAACCAAGGCTCAAAGTGAATGTGAAGCTCAACTTCACATTCCCCACCAGCCCCTCGTTGGTGAGAACAAGGTCCAGCACAGCACCTCTCCTCATTGGCTCCTCTATCACTCCGAGGAGGAAATTATCATCAATACATTCCAGGAACTTCCTGGTTTGCTTATGCCCTGCTGTGTTGTCCCTCCAACAGATATCGGGGTGGTTGAAATCCCCCATGAGGACCAGGGCTTGTGAATGTGAGGCAGCTTCTGTCTGTCTATAGAAGGCCTCATCCACTCAGTCTTCCTGGTCCAGTGGTCTGTAGCAGACCCCCACTATAACATCTCCTGTCCCTGCCCTCCCTTTAACGCTGACGCATAAACTCGGACGGCTCCTCATCCGTGTGAAAACAAGCTCTGTAGCTACTAACCTTCAATACAATACGCAAAACAATGTGCCAGAGTTTATATTGGTCACAATGGAGAATTGTGATGCCTGAGAACAACACATTTTCAACAAGAAGCCTTTCTACAAAAATAAAAACAGATCTATTGAATGACTGTGACTGCTGCTTTCCAGCATCGCCTCACGGAGCCGTGCCTGATCCCTGTGTCAGGGAGCCCTTTGTGCCCTGTCCCCCAACACACGGCAGCAAAGGATCTTTCCCACCTCATCACTGTCCCATACACCAAGACAAGGATGCGACCCTAAATCATCCCTCACGGTGGGACATAGAGATAATCAAGGGCTGAGCACATCTGTATTTTCAGAGGGCTTTGTTGTCCTGCATCCAAGCTAACAATTTAAGAGCTATCTGTTTTCAGTTGCTTCAAAGATGTGAGAAACATTTTTGGGGCTGAGCTATCCGCCACTGTCTCACCAGGTATTGCTTTTGGGAAGGTTGAGCAGAAATGGTTGAAGGGTTCTGCTTGTTCCTCCTTGGATGTAGAGTGTGGAAGAGTTGTGTTATTGACTATGACTCTTTAACTGGAGATCTTGGGGTAAGAAAAGCTGGATTCTAGGCCGGGACTAGAGATCATTCCAGTGTCTTCAAAGAGAGACAAACTGCTTGTTTCAAGGTGCTGGACCAGGAATGAGGAGCAATCTCCTTCCTGAGAAAAAATGTTCCTTTGGGCTCACTTTCCAGCCAAGAGCAACTGAAATGATGCTTTATGCAGCAAAATAGTACAAGACTGAATGATTAGTATGCTTTTGTTTTCCTTTGGGGATTTAACCAGGAAGTATTTAATTTCTTATCAGCTCTGACATGTGTTCCTGCACTGAGAACATATAAACCCCTCGGGATATGACTTCATCATAAAAAGTTCTCATCTCACAGGAATGTTTAGCAGTATGGTTCGTCCCTGCTAACTGCATATCCTAGGTACAGAAAGTTGCTACAAACCATTTGTAAAGCTTAGGTTTGCAAACTGGAATGATTTCCCATCAAGTTAGCATCCCAGCTCTAATTTTATCTTACCTACTATTCATCAGTTCAGGCAAGAAGAAGTCACTGCTCCAGACTCCAAAAAAGCGACACTGCCCACTGGGCTCAGAGGCACCGGGAAAAATCAAAATACAGCCCTGAAAAAAAGGAGATGGAGGTTTTTACTTATCCAGGAAGAAATTATAGTGCTAGCATTTTGTCTTATGGGAAATACAAAAATATTGAGCCTTTAACCAAAGAAGCAGCTGTTTTTCTGGTGCTGTGATAGTAATTATCCTTGCTGGGGGGTTTCAAGAGGCAAAAGTAAGTGTGACTTACACCTGCAGGGACTAAATAAGGTTGACCTGACACTGCTTCTCACCCAGGAGAATATAAATGCAACAGACCTTATCCTATGGGTGTTACAGATGAGTTTTATAAGCTAAAATTGCTGAATTATGTTGATAATGATAATGATGATAATAATTAGAAGAGGAAGACAAAAATGAAGGCAAAT